TAGGTTAAAGTTTGGTAACTTTTTGGACGAAAACGGCTATTTGACAGAGGGTGAAAGGGGTGAAGAAAAACGTCGACATATACTATTTACCGATGAAACTTGGATTTATCTTCACCCTCGGGGGAATCCTCAGAACACAAGGTACAGGACAGAAAAAAGAACGGAGGTTCCAGCAACATCTACACCGAAAAAAAGTCTTCAGATTATGGTTGCTGCTGGGTACTGTTCGAGGGGCGTCTCTCGTTTGCACATCATTCCGAGTGGTCAAAATGTAAACGGAGCCTATTACCGTGACAAAATTCTTCCTACTTACTTCGAAGCCATGGACAATAAGCTACTTTTTCCAAGTAAGAAAAAAATAACTTTCATGCAGGATGGGGCACCAGCTCACACTGCAAAAGAGAGCATGCGCCTCCTAGGGGAGCACATTTCAACAGTCTGGGGGAAGGGGACTTGGCCAGGAAATAGCCCGGACTTGAACCCAATCGAGAATCTGTGGCCCTATCTCAAGAATAGCGCGTATGAGCAGCCAATTCCACGAACCCGTTCTTCTTTAATTCGACGCTTCCAAAAAAAATGGAAGGAAATTTCGGTTACCGTTTTGGAAAATCTGACGCAGAGTTTCCCTAAACGAATTAGAGATATGCAAATTGCGTGTGGAGGCATCACTAAATACTAAGGTATTGTATACCAAAAGGATTTATGTTAAAAAAAATTTTAGTACAAATAAAATCACTTTTATTACCCCCCCCAAAAGTGGACTCGTTTTTAAGTGGACACACTGTACTATTTAATAATCGGTGCGTCTTGGAATAAATTCATGGATTCATGGGATTGCTGATTGGAAGTGTAAATGATCTGAATACTATCAGTTACTGTATTTGTCGTTATTCATATTTAGATTGGAGACCGTTTAGTCGAGTCTGTTCTACCGGTTCATCCGTTCTGTGCCTCACCTTCTGGTTGACTTTAGTGCTCTTGTACTACTTTGAAAAATATTTTTAACATCATACCTTTATTTCAGTAACTAAAAAACAGGAAACAGCCAATAAGTATGACTGGGGATATAAGAAATAAACTGGGCTGGGGTTCACAAGATGTGCTGTAACTCACTCGCATTCCATTAGTGCAAAGTAGAAAGTGGCACTCATCCACTAGTCGAGTATTGGACATTCAGTCTCAAGGACATCCTAATTCGTTTGCGTATTTAGTATCATGATGTTTGCTTTCTGTTGGTAAATTCCATTAAATACAACAGCAACACTTCCACCATTTTATTTTACACCTTCCCCTCTCGTTACTGTTTCGAGTGTATTTCTAGCAAGCTCTTGCCGACTTAACTCGGTCCACACGACTAATTCTAGGAACAGAGTCCGCAACAGCCGCTAGCAAATTGTTGGTAAGAGGATATAAGTGTCCACTCGTATCGACGTCGACACAGGCGACATGCTACCTCAGATCGTAATAATAGGCGAAGTACTGGTAAACCAACTCTAACGTCGTAATAACAATGCCGTAACGTTATGGCAAGGCGGCGTACGGAAAATTTTCATGTCTTGCTTCCAAGAATAACTTTTTGCGGCAAATCCGTGGGAACTCTATTTTTACTTTACGTAATTTACTGGTGGCCCCTTAGCCACTGTGTCTGGTCTGGCTATATGTTTCTATTTATATGCAGAGTTAACACCGCACAAACTTTATTCACGCATGGATCACCTTCCTTCAGGTTAGTTTTTAACTCGAGTCAGGGCTTATGGAACAGTCGTATATATCAGTCTGTTCGTCCGTCCGTCTGATTTTCTATAGCACTCCAAGGTCTTGTCTTACCGCCTTGACACTTGATACACATTTAATGTGAGGTAAATTATGAGCTAAGTTCTAAGATGCTAAGCTAAGATGGACAAAATAGGTCAAGTGGTTGACCGAGAGGGGTCACATAGGGCGAGAGGGTCGTTGTTGCAGAATATTCGGAATGGTCGTAGAAGGCTGATGTTTGGAATACTGGTCATACATACTTATTTGTTTACAAAACTGAAAGTGTAATGATATAACGACCAAATTATTGTTAGGAAGGACCCATGTAGAATCACCCCATGGGTTTTAGAAAATGGCGAAGGTTTACGTTTGGCACGAAGGTTCAGGAGTATGTTAATAACGTAACGTTATATTTACAAAGTGCATATAATGAAGTAAGTGGGAATAGAAAAGGCTTATTCAGTAATTAGCCTCGAACAAGTGAAAGCGACATCATCCAACCACAAGAGGTGACATATTGACTTTCTGTTGTAGATTGGCAAGGACTTCTACAGCCAGTTCTCGTTGGTGACCCATGATCCAACTGGCATTGCTAATTCTGTTGGTATTGCTGGTGGAGTGAGCTATACGTTGGAGTTGGTGGTTAAATCACAAGGTGAATTATTCAGAATATTATATTCGATAAAATAAATTTGGCCGGAGCGAAGGTTGGGGAATTTGAAGTTACAAATGAAAAATGTGGCTTTTGAACTTCAACCACGAGATGCGACCCATCATGTACCTGGCATTATGCGAGACAGGAGATTATGAGCAGATGAGTACAACCTGGCAACGACTGTCTTACGGTAGGATGAATTCGGGAGGGTGAAAGTCGACGTATGAGAAATGAGGTGACTTAAATCTACATCAACGGTGGCAATTTATAAGCAAGAGTTGATGTGATACAGGTGACGAATGACACCGTTTTACCACACGCTACCTCCGAGCTTTCTCCTCCTCCACCTCGCCACCATGGATTTACTGCTCTTGTTGTTGGGCGACGACAAGGTTGGAACAGAGTCGACAAATGGTTGGGGAAATTGTAAACATTCCAGTCTAATAAAGACGAATGAGTGGCCATAATTTCTGAGCGATAATAAAGGGAAATGGAGTAGTGCATAAAACATCACTTGTACATCTTAAATTTCCTCAAGTCACACTGTGGCTCAGCAGGAGTTTATCCACGCCATACTATGTTTTATGCATGTGTATATCTAAGAAATACATCTAGGAACGACCACCTGGCTGACTTGTGGACGCCATAAGTACGAACAACATGGGGTGGAGGAGGTCACGAACGGAATATTTGGCATTTCCTCATCTGGAGGATAGAGTAATGTTGGGGTGGGGTGACCATGAGAGAGAAAGTATTCCAAATGCCATATAGCCGGAGTAAGGGTTATCAACTCGGCTCCTAATACGCATTTATGGTGAGCGTGATTGCGTGACTACATAACTTGTGTTTCCAGTCTGAAGGAAATAAAAGAAACTGGATGGTTTCCACCAGCCAGCTCCAAAAATCTTGTCGCTTCAGCATAGTTATTGCGATTATAAAGGGAAGGGGATGCGGTGGGATGCCGCCGGACGGATCCAATTTAACAAAAGTTATTATTCTGCCTAGCACAATATGCCGTTATTAAGTTGTCAAATGACCCACTAAACCCACCTCGAACATGGTGTGAAAGTAAGTACGTTTAACTCTTGACTCGGATTTGGAAGACTTCTCTTTATGAACAAATCGACCACATTTTCAATTAATTTTGCATTGTGCCTCCTTCGTTCAGACTTGTGCCGATTGTTAAATTTACAATAACAAGTATTACTCCGCACGCCTCAATCTCCTCGACTTCAACATTGTGTTGGAAACTTGTGATCCGCCATACTTTCGTCATTCCGTCCCCACTTTTGAAATAAGTCAAAGCGAAAATATTTCTACGACGTCAGTTTCATCTCTATTAGATACGTATGCCTGTGCTCACAACTAGGGACTCTTCCAATCTCAGTATTATAGCTTCTCGGCCTCATTACAAGTTCATAAACAACGAGGCCTGCTCCCTTTGTAACAGTCTCATTTGTTCTACTTACTCCTTTTCAACATGACTTTTTGCACATTAAAGTCCGCCTCATGAACTATGAAATGAAATGATGTGATTTACTTTCTAGGCTGGTGGGTTTTGTACTCGATTACACAACAATTTTGCTCACCTTCTTAAGAGAGAGAGGCGACGATACTTCATACTTTGCACATCATGCAGGATTATCGTGACAGCACACTACATACCCATCTCTTCTGGGAACCCCAACCTTTCTTCTCCACTTTCTCCGACTTAATGCCTTGCGATACTAAGTTGTTTCTCACGAGAAATTGGAGCTTTCACCAAAGTAAAAAATAAGCCTGGAATTGGAGATATTTTCCAGTGAAACGGGGTAAAACCTCGGAATTAAATGTGAAGATTTTATTTCACGATATTTCTGGTAAAGTTCCCCACAGGAATTTATATCAAATTACTACATGCTCACCAACAATCATTTTCACCATAATATTTTTAAGTAAAATTATGCCGTATCCTGTACGTGTACGGAATACGATGACTGTAATAATATACAACACGCTCCTAAAAATAAGAGTAATTTGATATGTTTGTGGAATTCTTTGGAAATAAAATTAGTTTTGTTTATGATTGTAACGTAACTTGGCATGCATGCATTCGTATTGTGCGTTTACAAGTTGTAAGCCATATAAGGGCGCCAAGTGTTTACGTAGACGACAAAGCAGAGCCCTTCTCATTATCGAGTAGGGAAGCCTTAATAAGGTGGAGAGAGTAAATAGTAGGGAAAATTTGAGATTTTATTGTTCGGGGAGCTTAGGAGTGAGTGGTAGTGGAGAGGTGCTGCTGTTGCTTTGCTTTGGTTTGTTTGGGCTGTTGACTCCATTATTGCGTTGAATGAATAAAAGTCGAGAACTGCCAAGACAGAGGCAATGCGATGGTGAATGGGTGAAGGGGAAAGGCGTCTCAAAGCTACGTCTCAAAATGCAATGGGCATAATACACGACGACGACGAGCAGAGGTCTTTTATCCTTCAAATGTTTTACATTGCCTTCCTTCGCACAATGCTGTACTTTACACATGAGAATGATAAGGCTGGTGGTGGATGTGTGGTTATTGGGTTTCTGTGCCAACTTCGAAAGCCTCCTTTTCCATGAGAGGGACAGGTTTTGCGCCTCTCTCATTACTACTATAGAATCACGTTAAACTCTTCTTTTCACTATTTATTCCCATTTAAATAGAATTATTTAGAATATTTGCGCGTAGTAATAACTCAGTTGTTTTCAATTTACATCGTGTCTCACTCTGTATTTGTATAGAAATAAGTAGACTGTTGGTTCTTTTTGTTATTTGGGTAGAGCAGTGTATTGATCTTGAAGTTGCAAGCCACGTGTGATATCATATTTGCAACAGCGTTTCACTTTATAACTCAACTCAACTGGAAAGTTTTACACTTTAAGCTTCAATCGGTTGTTGTAATTTGTGATACTTAATTATTTCATAACGGAATATAAATTTAAACTGGTAATTAATGAGTATAAATTACCTACGGTTCTGAAAATCGGGGAAAAATATAATAGAATCTCGTTTGTTAAATAATTTTGTTGTGCATGTGGTTGTAAATATATACATAATTTTGTAATATAGGTTTATGCAACTCAATTAATTTAAGATTTTAAAAATATTGCATCTTCACAAACTATGATCCTTTGTCACAAAATTGATATTTTTATATCTATAAATTTATACGTATACTTAATTCTTGAGAGTGGAACTTATTAATAGCAATGAGAGCTTTAGAAAGTAATGAGAAGATATGTAACATGTATTGTAACAAAAAATAATAATGAGAGGTGAGTTGAATATTTAATTTTCTAAGACCGTGTATATCTCAGAAATCAGAAAAGGGACCCAATCAAATCAGTATTTAGGATAACGAAACAAATACGACTCAACAATCAATCATTGTGCCTAATACATAATTGTGCGTTGTTTTATAATGTGCGTGTGCTGCTCATACAATGATGTATAAAATTGTAGCTTTTTATATAAAATGACACTCCAAAGTGAATGGTCATATCATTACGACCAACTGCCTGAAGGTTTGACTTGTGATCCCCTTACTATAATCAAAAAGGTGTCAACTTTATGTGTTCAATTTGCAATAAATCCAGGAAATAAATTGACCTCCCCAAATCTCAACCCTTGGGGAACTTTCTACTATAGTTACTGTACTACTAAATAATCCACAAGGTAAACTGAACTGACTCAACAGCATGTGGACGGGTGACATAGGAGTAACATTTCTAAACTATTCGAGCAAATATGGACAAAAATCATAGCTCTTGTGACAGAGGGTCAGCAAAATCGTCTTCTGCTGAAGAACTTGATCCCCGCATTCACGTAAGTGCCTATAATCATACACCGACAAAAGTTGCTGGACCCAAAACCACTGGACCCAAAATTAACTTGGTTTCACTCCTCTGATTTGAGTTGACGGACCAAGGACATTTTTGGCTCAATGATTAAGTCATACTCGTATATATATCTACGTTGTATGGAGAGATTTCAGATTTTCCCCGGAAATCGTGATATTTTCCTCGTCTTCCGCAGATTCCTTATTCACCCTCCAGCTCTCTTTCTCTCTCTCCTACTTACACCTCAGCAACATACGCTACAAAGGAGTTTTAGATCCAGTTGGGTAGTTTCCAGAGACGACTTGTTTGAACTTTAAAGTTAAAGTCGGTTTCTCCTGATTTTGGCGTGGAGAAAGTCGAAATTCTCCTCTCTCTCTCTCCTTCTTCCGTGGGGTATACGTACTTATGTACAAGAAAACAATCGGCGTTGCCTCCACCTTAAAGTAGATTCAAATGTAAAGCTTGGTGTTTGCTCCCCTACTTTTAAACCTGACTTATGAAATGAGCTGAGCATTGATTTTGATTTGGAAACTTGTCTAACTGGTGTTAACTGGCTGCTTTCTGCTCGACGACTACAAAGGTTTGAGCACAAGTAGACATTTCCTCTTGCCATTTTGGTATAATTCGAGTACGAGTTTTGGGAGGAGAAAGTTGGCTATGGCTGGAGGTTGGTTGTACGGATAGATCAAGTGTTAGTGCTGCTGCTGGTCCAACTTTATTATTGTTTATTGTTGAGATTATCAAAAAGTGAGAGAGTTGGAGGAGGAAGATACGGAGCGGATGAACTAAATTAATCTTGCTCTCAATAAAATATTCTTTATGTTTGTTTTCTTGGCAGTTATGATTTATTTATTACACCTTCGCATCCCTCTTCCTCCTCCGTCCTCTCTCTCTCCCAAGGCTTTGAATGAACACTTTCTCTCTTGCAGACGGAGCTCGAGAAGCTCAATTCCTCCACTGACCAGATAAACAAAGTAGAAAAGGAGTTGGAGGTAAGCTAAGTGTCGGTACTTGTAAGTTAAGGGAGCATTATTTCACCTTCTGCTGCTCCCACCACGATAATGCGCCGTCTTATACAATCCTATTATTATTGCTTGAGATCAAGTCAAGCAGGCAAAACTCTGGCTCTCTTTCCTCCTCCTCCTCCTTCGCCCTCTGCCCTTAATGATGATGATGTTGATGGGTCGAGACTGGGGATTAAATGGAAAGTTGCCTGGCTGAAATGGAATGCACAAGAAAATTCTTGAGCTTAATTTTCTTGCATGAGTTAGCTATCGCATTAATAATCTCTCCGTCTCGGTGATTGCGAGTTGAGCGACTTGAGGAGAAAGTCGTGAGTGATGTTGGCACTGGCTTTGCTTGACTTTCTCCTATTCGCTGGGATCACAGGGAGTTGCACAATCCAGCCAAGTGGAAGAATTCATAACACAAATGTCATACTCTTTACAATGTCAAATAATGAATATAATGTTCGATACGGATGATTACGAAATTCAAGTTTTGTGCAAATTCATTATTCGTATAATTAACAGAAATGTTCCGCCAGACGTATTTTCTCCCTTGCATAACGCATACATATGCATGTGTAGGAATTATTTAAGAATTTTGTATGATTTAGTTTGCGGCTCACATTTCCTAAGGAACATTATATTATATCATTTTGCCATAAAACGATTCCTTCCAGCGATATGAATTCCGAATCTGAAACTGTATCACACGTAACACAGCCCTAAAACACATGCACTAATGCAACAATAATGTAATACATGGTTATTACTACATTAAACTTTTTGACATTCGTGTTTATTTCGTGCAGGAGACAAATGAGCAGTTCCGCATTTTATTGTCGGCACATGCTGGTGGATTAGAAAAATTGATGAAAAAATTGGGATCTTCCGTAATAGACAAAGCGAGGCCGTTCTACGTCGCCAAAGAAGAGGCAGAATCCCTTCAGAAAAAGTGTTTGGAAACAGCTGTTCAATTCCAGCGAGCAAATGGTAAGTCGCCACCCAGCTCCCCTCGTATTACCACCGCTATTAGTCCAGCTCTACACATTATTGGTAACAGCAGAGAGCACATAAGTCTGTGGGTCATAATGTCTTATTGAAGATTTCGGATGACAAGGAGAAAATGCTCGTTTATTACGTTGCCGTTCTTCACTTTCTCCCCGTTCTTTACTTTCTTCCCTCTCACTCTGCCTCGTAAGAGTTGGTTGCAGGAGGACCCTGGTAGAGCCAGCGACTGAGGAATGACTCCATTTGTCCTTCATCCCGCTGCTAACCTATTGCGTTTGTATTTTAACGGATTGTTTGTCTAATGAATCTTTCTCTTAATATTTCTGGTGGGTTCCTTTCTCGCTGCAGGAGTGACCGGCTGCTGAAAGTTGTTTGCTTTTCTGCCTCAAGTAGTACATAACTCGGAAGAGGAACGCGACTCACAGCTTCATGCTACTCGTGCACGCTTATTTAGCCACCGGATGATTAATTACCCTTTGTTATTATTGTACAAGGAGTCCTCATATCCAAACACAGAGAACTTAGATTATACATATGCACACATATATATCTACAAATATGAATTTCCTTGCAACAAAAGACCATAGTTCACAGGGACTAAGGTTTGGGATGGGATTTATGTGTAAATATTAGCCATCGTGATGGTTCACATTAATGAGAGAGAAAGTTAGTGTTTTTTTACGGAGGGAACGACGAGTCTTTGCATAACGAGGTATTAATTCGCAACTAATTGGGTTAGACTTCATCATTGACGGCATCTGATTGACGGGGTATAATACAAAGTGAAGAAGGTGATTTTCATCCAATCCTTTGGTTCCGCAGATATTCACCGAGAAGCGAGAAAGTCAGTTCAGCTGGCAGAAGGCCGCTATAACAAGGAATCTCATTTTGACGGAGCATGTCAGGAAGTGCTCAACCATTTGACAAGTAATGTAAGTAAGAGATGATGATGAGAACAATTGTGCCAAGGGGTTTATTGAGATTACGAGTATATTTATGCATATAACTCGGGTTACACAATAAATTTGCATCATATTCGTGTGGCAGGTAATGGAGGCTGAGAAACAAAAATCGACACTCACCGATACTCACAGAACTTTATCAGATAAATTTTTTGAAGCAGAAAAGAAAGTTCACGAGCTAGAAAAACTACTGCACAAAGAAATAGTGAGAACCAAGCCGTATTTTATTCAAAAAAACAGTCTCAACTCAACGTTGAACGATTTGCGATCCCGCACGATGAAGCTCTACAATGACAGAAGCCTAGCGAAGAGGGCCTACTCGGATGCGTTGTACAACCTGGAGCGAATATCGGAGGAAATTCATAGGATGAGAAACAGGACGCCCGGAGAAGGAGCCGAGGAGGAAGAAAAGCAGCAGCATGAAGAACAAGCCCAAGACCAACAGCAACAACTTTCACTTGAAGACGAACCCAACCAGCAGCAAGTTGACGAATGATAGCAGAATTTATTTTATTACGTGCGACGACAATCAATCATAATACCTCGGAAAGTTTGCAATAATAAAATCCATTGGGCATTTTCATCGCAACAACGTTGCAGAGTTTTTGTCGACAATATTATTAATGTTTATTATAACTCCCTGCTATTAATCATAGTTGACTTTTAATAACATTAGTCTTAGTTTTTAGTCTAGCGCATCGCAGGCAGTGTTTGTTTATAGGATAATCATAATTAATAATTTTAATCTGATGAGCTTAGCCTATTATATTAATTAACGTCCCCGGTTTCCGCGCAAAGGTTGACTATCTGGTCCTCCACGTCCGGGACGTCTCCGGCGAAAAAATCCACACTGTATATATAAATTCAGCCATTACATTTACATTATTTTCCCATAATTTATGGCCACCCCGCAGCAAAGAGGTGGTGGCTGGATAAAATGTGTAGGTGGTGGCGGTGCAAACCTTGTACAGAATATAGATGATGAGGAGAAGAAGAATGAGTCCGGCGAGTGCGGCCAGAAAATACACCCACCACGGAATTGCCTGCAAATATATATGTGTATAACTTACATATAACCTATATATCCATCTAAGATTTGCTGCACAAAAAATTGTAATGGACTTACAGATGGAACTGAGAGATCTGGAACTTCCTCAATAGTGGTTACAATTTCATATTTCTTGAACTTTAGGTAACTGGGGTCTACGTTGTACGGGAGTTGAGTTACCCGAGCAATGATTTTTGAGGATACATTTACATGTTCTCCACCAAACTCCTAAAATAAACATAATCATGCAGCCCCTCTTCCAATATGCAGCAATAATAATAGTAATTAGTCTAACGGGTATCATAATAATTGTACCTCCACAATCGTCCTGCTAAAGACTCTGCTCCGGAGCATGAAGAGGATGCTGCTCCCACTGGCTAGCTCGTGGATGCGGCATCGAATTTTTATGCACTCCGTTGGTCCACACCTCAACTCCTTTTCCAAGCTGTCGTCATCAGAAGCAGCTCTTTCATTCCTATGTCGGTTGTACGGATATTGTGGGGATTCCTGAAATGCCCCAATACGGCAAGAAATTAAACAGGGTACAAAGGAGAAAGCAGTATGTACATACGTCGGGGAAAATAGTGGGTGCTAGGTCTGAAATATTTTTGTGGGATGATGAGTAAGAGGAATAAGGGACAAACACAGTGTGTGAACTTTCCTTCCCTGAATATTATCTATCAACCTATTTTATCAAGCTCAGTAGACTAAGAGTTGAGACCGACGAGGACCTAATCAAACGGGACAAAACCCACTCGTGGTAAAAGTAAGGAAACGAAAGCATACTTGGTATTCCCCTCTCGAAGACGATCTACTCACTTCACTTTGGGAAGAGCTGCTGTATGAACGGGACGAGTAGTTAGTTCGTTGGGTGTATCCCCCAGAGGATGATGATCGGTGTTCGGAATGCTCCCTATGAGTACTGGAGTTGGATCCAGCATCGCCATATCCTCCACCGCCACTACTGATCACAAATGTGGAGCTGGAACTAGTGGACCCACCACGACGTCCTTCTCCTCCTATAAGGCCTTCTTCTGAATCAACGACAGTTGTCGTAGCCCTGTTGTCCCCGTGGACAATGATATTTTCCCAACGTCTGTGTAAAATAGTGAGTCCCAATGGATTGACATCTTCAACAAAATCGCACTCTCCCGGCCCGTCGACTCGGGGCTGTTCCAGCAAATACATAAAATGACGACTGTCCCCGTCGTGCGTGATGCCGGCGAGATAACTGGGCCAAATTATGGTAACTTCAGCATTGGCTATGTGACTAGGTCCCTGACACAAAAATAGGGATTTCAAATAAACGTTCTCATTGCATTAATTTCTTAATGCTTAAGTAAAGTTGTGTTAAAGGAATTACTTGGCATTTGATGTCATATATATGATAAACTTCTGGACCTGATAAAGCATATCAATGGTTTGAATATGTACACATAAAGCGTGTGAATAATACATATCGCAAATGTGCCAATAGTGGTAAAATACATAAACTAGCAACCAACCAATTTCAGATTCAGACTTGAATTCGCCGGATTGCTTCCATTGAGATGCGTTATGCTGTATTATCTCCTCTTTGCTGACTCCATACACTTTCAAGTCTGTTGACACCCGAATGGGAAGAGAGAAGGACTTGGCGTTATCACCCTTGGGTTTGTGGGTAACAAATATTAGTCAACCTTTACTACATATTTCCCATTCTAAAATACCGTACTTTGGCGTAAGTCTCCTCCGGGTTGGTCGAATTTACAGTGACATGAAAATCATAGGAGGATTTCACTTCGGAGCCGTACCTGGGTTGAAAAATCACCCGAAACTTGGCTGTGGCAAAGGTAGGCATCTGTAGGTAAATTATGGGAAAACTAAAATGCTTTGGGCCACTTTTTCTTTGAAACAATCCTCAATTTCACACATTCATGTTATCACATGTAGTGGATGGCTACCACCGACTGACGAGGGAGAGATTGAGAGTTGGGACATTATGTAAGTACGTAACCAAATCTCGGGAAAAGTTGTTTGTGCAAAATTGCGACACTGAATTGTTTACAATTTGCTAAATCTCTCGCTTTCTCTCTCGCCTGGCACTGCTGTTATTTTCCAAACGTATAATAATTGTAGTACTTACTGGATTGCCAATGTCACATTTAATCGTATTATTCGTGGATGGAGACGGCGCAGAACAAAGGATCGGTACATCTTTCCTGCTGTCGGTCTTTTTCTCAAAATTGACATAAGAAAGCCCTGGAGGGACCGTCATGTACCTAAAAAAAAGTAGAGAGAACGACTCAGCTCGAGAGATTTCGTGATTGCGTTTGACGCTCGTTTTTGTTTTGGTCAAATTTAGCTTGGATATAACAAGCGTAATTAGTTCTAAGAAAGTAGCAGTAGTCGAGGTTTTAAACAATTCTATAGTATTTTTTTCTGATGCGACCAATCATGGTGCACCGCGCCATCAAAAACAAAGCTCATGTACCAATGTATGTATGTACTTATATAAACGAAACCTACATCATGGACTCGTAACTGTCCTCTCCGTTGTTGTGAACCTCCACGTCCACATGTATTCGCTCAGAACTTCCCATTAAGAACGATTTACTCGGCCTAAAACCAGCAAATAGTGTAGGATTACACCCATTTCTGCCAAAGTCTCTCGTTTCCTCAAAATTGCCTCCGCATTTCATAGACGGGTATTAGTGCACCACTGTGAACTAGCCACAGCAGAGCTTATTGGGATTCTCCAGCTAAATATTTACTGTGGTATTACTGCGAACGTATGGATTAAATGACTACTCACTGAGAAACCTTTAGTCTTAAATCTGGAACACAAATATTATCTTGTCCACAGTTCTTCTGTATTGAAATTGAATCCTTTTCGGCGGACGAGGTTGTAACGTCTATCACGGGCTGAAGGTCTCTCTGCTGGTACCTGCTCTCTCGCATGGAACACTTGAGCTCGGCCTCAAGACTCGTAAGCTTGTCCCTGATATGTGGCTGCGACATCATTACATTATAATTTAACCTTGCTTCTCTCCTCTTACTTTCTCTCTCTCCTCCCTTCTCATAAATTATCATAACTCATTCTGACGGAGAGCACTCACCCGCAAGTACACCTAAAAAGAAGTCAAAGACGTGTAAAATACAGAAACACTTTAGCAAAAAACCTTGTGTAGACTCGCACCTGCTGACTCGTACAATGTTGCTTTCTCTTCGTGAGACGCACCGTTTCATTCAATATGTTACGTCCCTCTTGGTTCAAAAAGAACATTCTCGGATCCTTCGACTTTTTCGAATCCAAATTGTATTGAACGTTGAAATCTACACAATGAATTTCGTACATATCACTATCATTATGGTAGAAAGCAGCACCGTATTGTCTCCTCAGTTGATTTCAAGCATGGGCATGTGGCTGCAAGCCGTTTACGCCGTGTTTGCTCACCAATGACATCGTCGGCTCCTTCGCCATCGTACTCCATGCACAAGCTGAGCGGAAGACAAGTGACGGGGGTTAGGTCTCGCAGGGTGCAGCCCTTCTCTTCCAAATTGACTTGCTTGTTTAGAGCCGAGGAAAAGGACAACTTGGATTTCACACGCACCACCGGCTTGGACCTGAGTGCGATTCAGAAAAATATATGGAGGCAGTTACACTACAACGTCATTCAGCCCTCTTTCCGTGTCTCGTGGGAAGGATTCCTGAAAATGGAAAGCCTCCGCGAACGCATGCATACGTGATACGAGTTAAGAGGATAAAGTCTCGTACCTAAAGTAGGAAACGCTGTCAGAGTCTGCAAAAAAATGGCGATTTGTTTTTACTACAAGAATGATATAAAATCAAAAAATGGTTTTAATTGTTAACAAATACTTACCATACGATCCAACCAAGAGGTCCGGGTACTGGTTGCCGTCCAGGTCCTTGCCACCCTACAATAATTAAGTGATTTTTTTGTTTTTAATTTATTCATTAATTATTTTTTGTCAATCTGCTACAGAAATATTAAATTATATTAGTAGTACATATGTATGTGCATACTGATTATGTAAACATTATGGAGGAGAAAACCTATACTAATCCTTTTACATAATTTTAATGAGGTTGGTTCTATAAGCCCAATTTGTTTGATATTCTGCCTTCTTTGTAAATGAATGTAAAACTACACAAGTGTGCACTTTATGTAATGGGATCATTCCAAATTGAGACGAGAAAAAGCCTGTTTTTCAATAGTGTTAGATAGTTTTCAAGTACGGGTAACTTGTCTAGTTCATGTTCATTTTGTGGACCATTTACATCGCATATATTTATGTGTCTTAAAAATATTTGCTCTTATTTTCATGCATCGTATGATTTGCTAATATGATATACCATATTTTGCATAATAGTGCATAGTATCTAGGTAGAGGTATTATTTATAAATTAACATGTCTATATAATATGCATCCTTTCATTGCTTAATAAAGTTATTATGGACGTTACGTAAGACTATAATGTTTTTAAGGTTTCATTATTTTAGAGTACCAAGTTGTTCACTTTCTACTTACCGACAGTGAAAATCCAAAGGTTGATATTCCTTGAGATACGGACTCTCCATAGATCACCTGATGGGAAGATCCAAAACCATACATACATAAGTCTCAAGCTCTTTGTTATACAATGGGCTGCGTTCATCGAAACATCCGCAAAAACACTCACTCCACCATCATCCCCAGCATGCAATATGAGCGAAGAGGAAAATAGTGAATGAATGGGGAAAATCTAACATATCACCAAACATGAACTCAGAATTGGCCAGAATTCGAAACGGATTTGAATGGTGACAAGAATAAACTGGAAACTATATGGAAGCCATAAATCTAAATGTCACAAGATTAATGGGAATGTGAATACGCATCCGCTGAATACGGAATGGGGAAAGGAAGAATTTTATGACGACGTGATGTTCAATGTTGATCTTCCGATTCACTTCCCTTGCTTGCACACATTTTCGCCGTACACACACTTGAGCCTCAACCTAACAAAGCAATTCTGCTGCTGCTGTGCAAAGTAAAGTGGGTGCTGTGCTGGTGGGGATGGTGGTTGTGTGAGGAGTGTGATGTAGTTCGCGGTGGCTAAGCTTTCTCCTCACCACTTCTGCTTGTATTGCGAGGAGCAAAGTGAAAGTAATCCTTGTGGGATCAACATGATCAAATAGGAGGTTGGATTTAATGATGAAATCTAATTAGTGGTACCTGAGTAAACTCTTTTCTAACACCTGTTGAGCTCCCTTGAAAGATGTAAACAGCGCCGCGACCAGTAACGCCGTCATAAGGAGCACCCACTGCAAAATCTGTTACACAAAACGGCAAAGTATTTATTATCTCTCTTTTCATCATCATACCATTTATTTCAAGCTTATGGGCAGATTTTATTTTTCGTTTCAAGCACAAAAACGTCAAATGAACCAGGGTTTTGTAATGATTTGATTTAATCATGGCCACCAAATTACATTACTCACCGTTAAAACCGTCCTTGTTTATATCGCCCAGTGAAGTCAGTGAAAGGCCAAAGCGTCCCTTGTGCGCGGTCCCATCCACGGAATCCCATTTGCGGAATTTATGCTATACATACAGAATACATCATGTATTTCAAATTAGATTGAGGTGTTTGTACAAAAGCAGATCGATTAGAATAATTGAAGTAGCATAATTCCGGAGGAAGTTGGCAAACAACGTTGACGCCATGACGAACGACGTTGTTGGGAACTTATCATATCGTATTCATTCGAATCATGTTGTTCCCAGAATAAAGGAGTGTTTGCATACCCGTTTGGTTTGGTAGATCACGTAAATCCTTCCGGTTTCAATTTTCATGCCAGGATCGTTAAAATCAGTGTACATTGGAGAGCCGCTGCAATTATAAATCCATTTTAGACGATGTACATACATTCATATACGTATGTACACATAAACTAGGATTTATTGCTCGTAAATGAGTGAGTTATTGGGTGAAAGTCGATTTAACTACACACTTCATGCTCGATGAACATGAACTGTTAGAGGTTAGAGATCTGAGCTGTTGGGGAAAGCTTTACTGGGGCAAAATATCTTTGGCGCACATTTGCATATTTATGAACGTGTGTACATTTTTAATTAAGCTTGCGTTTATTCTTTTTGGCCACGAAATTGTGTTGTTGGAATTGTAATAAAAAAGTGGTATCAAAGTTTATGTGTTAATTACACCACAATGTCGTCTAGTCCATCACCATCCATGTCCAGAACGCATAAGGAATATCCAAAGTAAGCACCGATTTGTTCTCCAGTAATGTTGTGCAGATTGGTCAGGTCGGAGGAATAAATCACAACCTGCGGATGACATATTGTTCAGATTAGAACTTCATCTTTTTTATTCAAATTCATGGTTTCCCATTATTAAGTTTTCATTTTCTTTTTCATTTTTAGCAAATCCTTCCTTTCCCTTAAACTGAATTCAATTCAATCAAACTTGAAAAGTCAAGTTCGTTAATTCCAAAAAAACATGACATATTTTATCCATGAAAATAGAAAAGTACACAAAGGAAAGCAGTAATTGGAAACATAATGCGCAAGAGAACATGGTATTTCGTTCTTGTTGTGAAGGCTCTCAACATGTTTTATAACAGATGTTAAGGTTTGTGAACTTTCTCCACGTCATTTAAAATGAGATTTCCATTGTCATCCACATGTGAAGTTTAAACGTATAAGTTCAAAAAAGCATAGTGCACCTTTCAAGAAAGTGAACATATAATAACTACCCACCTTTCCAGTAAGATTTGCTCCTCTGGGCATCCCAACAGCCACATCAGATTCATTATCTCCTGAGAATTCTCCATGAGCTACGGAATATCCTAGATAACTGTCATCATCCCAGCTCGGCCCTTCCTTCGTCCAACGAATGTCCCGACTCCAAGATGACTGCGAGTAAACTTGGCCTGTGGGTTTTAAAATTAATTTATTGTACACGCGTACATAATGCGCACAAACCCACAGGTAGATTTCTATACGCAACAGACTCCCAAATTCATGACCATGACTCTTCAATAAAAGCAAAAATACCAAACAGGGGCATTATGCTCATGGAGTAAAGGAGGTCAATTTATTTACTTGCCGTTAAGTTTATGAAAATTCATAAATGTAACGGTAAATAGAAAGTTACTGTTTTCAGAGAGTTTGTGGCTCATTTATTTATGTAGCTATCTATTTTTTAAATAATAAAAATCAGCCAAATCCGATATTGGCATTAATGAATAAGAATTAAAACAAACAAACCTGGTTGAAGGAACTGATAGAAAGGAACACGGTTGTCCCCAGTCGATTCAGTTTTCCGAGAGTCGATCATAAACATTTGACCTTTTGTAAAAAAAAAGTGGCAAACACAAAGTAAAGATTACAGTACATGAATAAGCTTATAAATAAATAGTCAAATGTCACAGAATAATCAAAACTTTACGCATTCTGCGAATTTTGTTGAGGAAAAATGAAATTTGAGTCAACTTAGAGATCAATCGAACACAAAATTGCTTTCACTCACAAATGAAGGAAACAGGAAAAGCAAATTAATTGGGATGACGATGAGTCACATCAAAGAACTTATTTTATACAAGAAGAAGGTTGGTCGGTTATGAGGAAATACATATGTAACGTTCATACCTTGCCAGTACCAACTCCCCACAGCACCCAAGAAAATTCGTCGCCCATCCTGTTGAAAACACAAGGAAAGTTGTTGACAAGGAACACTTGTATGTTATGCATGTAGAGGCTCATATAGAACAATATGAGAACACATTGTTCATTGTTTTTGTTTTGACTTAAATGATTAGATAACAAAGTTGATAGGGCGAGATAAATTTCTGGCGAGTAATTGAGTTACCAAAGAAAGTTGCATCTATATGTACATTTAGATATGAGAGAAACTTCCTCGCCTTGTCCTACGTGCACCCTTTTCTGCTACCGTGTTTTATGTATGAACTATCCTTGTCAGGACTTATTTCAATTATACATCGTACTGGGATCAATGTAAATAAGTCAAACGAAACTCATAGCTCTTGCCATCAAAGCGGTTCCTTCTTTATTCATGTTGTCGTTTCAATTTCGCGTAAGAGAGTAAACTTTCGTGACAAAGTCAATTTGGTAAAATCAACCCTCGCAAAATTAAACTACTTATTTTAGTAGAACAATTTACACGGAAATAAAAAGTAGACACAGTTGTGAGCATGTATGTGTGTGTGTGCATGCTGTACATGCAGGCCATCTTTATGCGCCACAACATGCATGTGTCTGATAGTCTTGGAAAAGTCAAAACAAGGGGAAGTCTGTTAAAGGTAGTGTAATTGCTTCCATAAATTTCCGGAGATCAGCTCAGAAGAACGGCTGCCTGCCTACCTCCTCCTCCTCTTCCGAAGGTAAGTTTTAATTTCGTGTTGGAATTTCTCAGTAAATTTCTCAAGCGGAGCAGTAGTAGTTGGTTAGTGGGTAGAAGAAGGCTTTAAAAAGGATATAAAGCGGCCGATATTTCAGTGAAAGTAACGCGGCTCGTAACTTAAGTCTGGTTGGGCACCAATGCCACAAATACATCATGTGGGCTGGGAAACGTACATACATATATGCAAAAGTGAGTCTCTGGGATGTGGGATGGAAGATATACGACCTCCGCACCAGAGCACGGCAGCATATGTTCAATTTATTTTATTTTATTAGAAAGTATTCGAATGGAGGATCCAAAACTAGCCTGCAGCCGCATCTTCCTCAGCCCAAACTACTACTGACTTGGTCGGCAGGGAGGGAATATTTAGGTTGGTCAGCCAGCAAACCCCATCACACGTACATACACACCCAAATATATATTGGGTGGTACGACTATATTTCGGGGCATTGCATACCCTGAGACAGAATTTACCCGGTTTCAAAGTTTTACTGTGAAATAGGTAAGAATTGGGCACAAAAAGATTCAAAATAGAGAAGAGAGGGTCGGCTCGCTCAATCGAGCACAAAATTGTGAATATGTGAAAGTTTTCCTGTTAGGAAAGTCACCGGCGTGCTTGCTGCTGGCTCAGGGCAGGATCTCTCTCTACACGTAACTTGCACTTTCTCCTCTGCCAGGGTGAGGCCTACTACGAACCGTATCATGGCTAATATGGGGCTCCATTTAATGCTCTCCAACTTGGTCGCTTTGGGCCAAATCCATTTATTTTCAGTTACCTTCGCTCATCTGATTTCATCCTAAACGCCTTTGGCGAAATGACATAAGCAAACGGTTTAAGCACTAATTACAATTGCTCAGGGAACCAGGAGCTTACGCAAAAAAGTGTTACCACTTTCATCGCTATTAAGGCTGTGTCGAAACTTTGCAATTATTCCAGTATGATGAAATGGCGCATCTCATAAACTATCATAATAAATGAGCAAGCTACGAACACTTGTATAATACTGCGTTGATGAAAATGCGAAGATACATACATACGTGCGAGTACAAGTTTGGTAACAATTTCCCGTAGTACATACACATATTGTACATCACTGGTTATGCATCCACCGCCAAACTCAATAGTATGGCGATAACCATCTTCATATTATCGACGAAATCAGGAGCATCAAGTTTGACTGCTATTTATGAATCAATGTTGCATGGCACACGTGGAGGTTCAAGTTTGTATCAACTTTTATTGTTAGTCAAAGTCGAGTGAAAAGGTCTCAATTCCACCAAGTCGTTTATACTTTTGTTATAGAAAGAAATATATGTATATAAAAAGAAAAGTTGAACAATTACCGAGTCGATGTCTCCTCCAAGACCCAGCTGACAAGAACCCTGACGATGATATCCCCATCTGGCTGAAATTGAGAAATGTAGCACGTATTATTTGTTAAAAAAATAAAAATCTGTGTGCAGCATGTATTCAGTTGTATGACTTGTCTACTCTATCTACATCACTACATGTACGTATCCCGAATAAAGCGGTGCAATATGTAGCGAAAGCTGGACAATAACTTTTCAATAATAAAATTTTGGTTTGATTTTCCAACTTTTGTCTGTGGATGAATTCCTCTACTACTATTTATAAACAATATAAGTTGGCCACTTGTCAGCAGCTGGTCCTCTGCATAAACTTTGGAATGACAATGTACGAGTAAAACTGACTGTTCTTTCCTCGCTTCGTTCTATGTATCAACCACAAAACGAGAACTGGAAAATCTCTCGTGAAGAGAAAGTTGATATGACAGCTGCAATATATCTTCCCGTCCATTACCACACTATTTCAAATATTAGAATTTATATCGGCAAAGAAATATATAAAAATCGAGACAATCATTTCGTAAAAAACTATTTTCATTTTTATTTTCCAGAGTTATCAACGCTAAACGCACCATAGTGTAAAAAACAATAAGACGCAATGTCTACAAGGTTTAGTTGATTACGTATTCAAAGCAATGTTAACCCAATTTAACCATCAAGAACATCTTATAAGGAAAAAAAATCATACATGTTCTGCATGGTGAGTATTCCGTAAATTCGGTGAAGGAGTCCTTGGCCACGAAGCAAGTGCCGACTGGGTCACGTCGTTTGCGATTAGTGCTGAACCAAATATACCTCGGAGCACAGGCCTGGAATTAAAGCAATAAAAATGACGTTCTGAGCAAAATATATTAACACAATCTCTTTGTACGTAGAAGTGTGTATGTACACGAAGATTAATTCTCTGGAATAATGCAACGTTACCGCTCAGAAACGGAGCAGTTATGTAGCAGGAGAAAGCAACGCCTCATTCAACATTTGTCAGATAAATAGAGAGAGAGAGAGAGGAGAGAGAAAGGGAATTTTGGAGAAGGTTGACTCACCCTCCCACTTAAAGAGCCATGAAAAGACCTGCAGGTTGCGAAACTGTGAAACCCACAAAATTGTACTTGCTAACTGTCGAGAGGGAGAAAGGACTCGAGAGGAGGTTGGGCTGGTCGATGGTAAATGCATTAGTAATTTAAATAGATTAAAATAAAAACTCATCACGGGAGAGAAAGAAAGATAAGAGAGGAGAGAAACTGGTGAATAAAGATATGTTGCCTCGTCGCCTTACTCACTCGGTGAAATGATACAATTCTGCGTATCTATCCACCGGGAGAAAGTGGGGTATAAATTAAGTGTGCAAATATTGTAACTGGATCCGCCTCGATGCAGACAGCAAAGACACGGAGAGTGCAAATGAGTAAGAGAATCAAGAGAGAGAGAAGCAGGAGAAGAATGCAGCAGGGCTTATTAAAGGATGTCTCGAGTGACACAAAGTACACACTCAGTTATTACACGTAACGGAGAAAATTAAACCATACAAGAGCTCAATTCTTGTTATAAGGCTACGACAGCAGCAAATAGTGGACACATTTGTCAACCTTAACAATAACCATTTTTGGGTGACAAGTTTGAAATTTTGACGACAACGACGACGAGGCCTCGCTATCAAAGAACAAGTTTCATTTTCAGGGTTAAATTGTATTAGCCCTCAATATCTCCTCCCTTGTTTTCTCTGCCTCCCAACTTCCTACTCCTACCAAAATTTGCGCGTAATGTAATGTAGACACTGGTGAAAGCATCCTCAGGAAATGAAGCTGTATTATGTGTAACATTTCCAACACTTTCTATTTCGCTATTCTACCCTGCACTCCGACTTTGACTGAATGAATGAGCAGTCCATTAGATTCATCACTATAATAACGCAATGTAAATGAACAATCATCATCATCATCATCGGGAGAATGTAATCGATTTCTAAAAGAAAATTTTCACATTTTTCCCTCTTTCATGGCATCAAACAGAAAACTACTGCACGTGTCTGCTCGAACGCGCTCTTCTTATTGAGAGATCATTGAGCCGAAATGATCATATAATGAGGTTTCGCATACATTAAATTATGCATTATTGAGCCGTAGTCGTATTTTGTGAGAGTTCTACGGTATTGTGCTTTCCTTGATTAGTGTAGTCCGTCGCATTCAAAAGTTGAAATGACTTTCTTTACTGCACTCTTGAGATGCTGGGACGGAACGAAGACACGACTACTCTGAAGCATTAAGCTCATCCAAGTCCACTTTCACTCCACTCTGGTGTGGAAGAGAGAGAGAGAGTGTGTGCGAGAGGGTACTTGACATGGGAGGAGGTTGCGGATGTTGGATTACTTGGAAAAGTTTTATTTTATCCGACGGTTTGCCATATAAGTGGATAGTTTTGCTAAATGCAGAGGCACGAGAATGGTTGGGATGGGACAATGGACGAGGAAGTGCGAGGAGAGGGAGGGATCGAGATGGTGTTGGGTCGGATAGTTTGACTGCACGAACGATAGATTAAAAGTGAGAATTTTCATCTAGTTCCATTACAACCAAATCTCGTCCTTATCTGGTCATAAGGATAACAACCCGTAACGCCTGCTTAATTCTTTGAGAGACCTTTTACCATTTTAGAAGAAGAGAATGAAGCTACTCAAACTCCCTTTTGATTACTTTATTCCTCCTTCCAGAGAAATATCGTCCTTGTTCAGACATAAGTTTCAAGCATCTGTGCCACCAAAATACATCATAAATGACGACGAAATGGAAGTGGGAATTTGTTATTAGATTTAATAGATGATGGAACTGATAATATTTGATGAAGAGCTTCTTCTTCTGCTCTGAAGATACCTGCATGTCATCCCTCCTAAATATCTGCTGGAAAAGCTCTGCTAGACATTCGGGTTCTTTCCTAACCGATTTTCGCTCCCTTAATGCATAAATAAATTCACTCTACATATTCAGTCAGATGAGAAAACTAACGGAATATTGAGCCATTAAATACAACTCAAAAATATTTATTTTGCTTTCATAAGTAAAATATGCGCACTCCACAAACTAATATGCTGGAGTCAAATGCATGGTTTCGGTTCGAACCAAATCATGCGTATGTATCATATGTGCTGTGATGCAAAACTAAGCTGTACATAAATGTGGATGGCGATGTTGCCCTCAAAGCTTTTCGCCACGTGACTTGACCAGCCGCATGGCCAGTCCAGCCAGATAGGAAACACAATGGTTTCTCAGCTCAGTTATTTTACATACAGACAAACCTTTGTGAAATCTAAACATCCGACGACCAAAAAGTCGCATATTCACTACGGCCATTCGGGATAATATCCGTAATGGATGCGGCCATTTCTGTCATAATGCCCCAATAAAGTATAAACTGCACACCACGCAAAGAAGGAAGCGAAGCAGGTAATAAAGCAACTCTACCAACCACCCAACTTGGCCATCGCATTATTTTAACCGACGAGTAGTGGACTACCTACATCTCATTTCATTACTTTTGTTGTGGGTGGAAAAGTTGCCTATCTGCGTTCCACACTACTGTTTCATGAGCAAGCGGAACGAGTGAGAGGGAAGAAGGATGCTTTCACTTGCACAGTTTTGGAATTGGATGAAAGTTTGTCGAGCACTTTTACAAATTTAATAGATCAATCTCAAAATAAAAGCCTCCCAACTTTTTAACAAAAGCGCACAATCCACATTGAGGAACATCCAGCTAATAGAAAGGAGTTTGAATTGGTGGCGCAAGATGTACAATGGCAACTCGACAGACGCAAACAACTTATTTCGGTTCAGTTATTTAATAGTATAACGACTGCTACACTTTATCTACTTGAGACACTAAGAAGTGTAAAAAAAGGTAAATGAACTGTCTCACTGGGTAAATCAGTGTCATTTTTATATCGCACTCTTCAAATCTCACTTTCACCAGGCATTTCTTTAACCCCGTTTTACATTATTTTTACATTATTAAATAATTTAAATTAGCATATACAACAAATTGAAAATCTGTTGAACTTTTAGCCCGAGTTGGGACTTATGTAAACATCATGTCATCGACATCATCTGGCCGACGATTTCATGATAACCCTCGTTAAGCTCATCTTATCGAATTGAAATTTGGTACACATATGGTAAATGAGGAATAAGAATTAGCAGAATCATAAAGGTCGGGTGGGGTCGTTAGTGCAGAACAATTGGAATGGTCGTAAAAGGCTTTTTTTTTGCCAGGGGGACCCAACAGGGTGACCCGCACTGCTTTTTGAAATCGTAGAAGAAATATGAAATTTGGTATCAAGGCTAATGGCACATAAGACTAAAGAATATAAGTTAAATTTACGAATATTTTTATGAGAGGAACCCAGCAGGGTGACCCATACTGGTTTTTGAAATTGGTGGAAAAAGCTGAAATTTTGCATGCCAGGTTAAGGGACATATTTGACGATTAGTGGACTCTGACTCAACACTGCACTGTAGGTTTTCTTACCAGGATGATCCCATCATCGCCAGAACTTCGGACTGTTGCTCCAAACCACTGAAAAGATTTTTCATCTATTTGCTTTCCCTCTACCATATTGTTTCCTGTAATAATAAAATAAAGGCACTCAAATGAATAATTAAGGCAATTAGTATGTACAGTTGGATTCGTTATAGTTATCTGCATTTACTATGATCTCAATAATTCCAGAGAATCTTAATTTTTAGCTTGGAAACCAGCTTATATTAGCTGATATTTGTTGACAGTTGAATAAAGGTTTATAATACAACAGCTATGCCAATTTACACAGCTAAAGCCGATAATCATTGATCATTTAGCCCAGTATATAACTTCACTTCGTGCCCAACCAAAACCGAAATTGTTCCGAGAGGGCCTGCACGTCGATTTTAAGAATCATAGTCATCGAGGAAAAGAAGTCAATGCTGAGAAAATAAGCAGCCATTTTCTCCATATCCTAACTCTGGTAACTCTAACGAGCATTCCCAACGGCCATGCCACCCTTCGTTTAATTTAATTTGTGTTTATGCTTTATTGAATAATGCTGAGGAGGGGAGCTTGCGAGGTTGATAATAACAGATCTTGGTGCCCTTTGGATATGTGGTAGGGACCCATGAGTGTACTAAAACCCTGAAGTAGTTTGACTCCATGGCCACATTTGCGCCCGCCACACCCACTCAAAAATGTCCAAAAAACGCTTTCACCCCAGTTTTCACTCACTCAAATCCACGCCAAAAATCCAATTTTACTCGGATTTTGAAATTTCTGTCACCATTATACTCCCAGATAGTTGCTTTCTTCAATCCAATATCAAACTCAATTTTATTGATGATTATTTCGCAAACATAATTTATTTTGTTGATGACTACAACAATGCTCATTCAGAATTTTAAATTTTAAAAATACTAAAAATTTCGAAAAATTGAGTTTGATATTGGATTGAAGAAAGCAACTATCTGGGAGTATAATGGTGAAAGAAATTTCAAAATCCGAGTAAAATTGGATTTTTGGCGTGGATTTGAGTGAGTGAAAACTGGGGTGAAAGCGTTTTTTGGACATTTTTGAGTGGGTGTGGCGGGCGCAAATGTGGCCATGGAGTCAAACTACTTCAGGGTTTTAGTACACTCATGGGTCCCTACCACATATCCAAAGGGCACCAATATCTGTTATTATCAACCTCGCAAGCTCCCCTCCTGAGTAAACATTTATTGATCAACTACCGACAGTGAATTATAAAATCCAAGTATAAACTGTTCTTGAACAACGCATACATGCATTCATGAGCTTCGCAAAAACACATCACGTCTTCGTGGAGTGCTTTTGAAGATGCGGATGTAAAGCTACTCAGTTTTCTTCTTGTTCCGCACACAGCCACAACCACACCAATGCCAGGACCATTTCAACCACCATTCTAGTAGATTCACGTTACACAGTAAATACGTACAGAATACATATAGCATGAATCATAACATGAGAAAGTAATATGATTTTGATTTATTGAGTGTGCAATGCTTGGGAGGTTGAAGTTCGAACAAAAGAGAGAAATGGTGGTATGCATTATTTATGAATTAAGAAGGTATTGATGCATCCTTCCGAAAGGAGAGAAGAAGTTCCTACATGCATATCGACAGAATAAAACGACACTCATGTATGGATGTGGTTTCTGGAGTATCGAACAGACAAACCATCGCGTCGTTATTGTACATAAATACATATATTCTAACGGCCTCGTAAATATCCTCCTTCCTTGATACGAAGGCATAATATCTTCATATAACATCAGATAATAGTTACCACAACACGCAGCATCCTTCTAAGCAGATTACAGGAACTGTCCTAACAACAATACAGCTCGAAGAGTGGCAACTTGGCAGGAGTGGCAACTGGCTGGCATACAATGATGATAAGTGTGAAAGTGTACGATATGGTCTCATCTGTCATTATTCCATACCAATGTTACATGCTCAATTTATCAGTGTTTTTTTGGGTGGACATTAATCCTATCTAAGAAGAAATAAGATACACATACAGCACGCAAGTCGGGATGGAAATCAAATAACCAAATACCAGATCTGGAATTCGGAAAACAATATCAAAATGAGAAATATTTTGATGAAAGGCAATGTCTCAAGAATTCGACACAAAATACTTCCAAAAGGCACAAATGATGCTCAACATTATGAGTTATTTCCAAATTTAATTCATCATACATAGCACGAACGAATCTCATTTTATTATTGGCAAGGACTGGATCTGGATGTCTGGAATGACGAAAGGTTTTCTATTTGTATTTAATTTGCAGAACGCGTCTCAACCCAAGTATCAAGTGATCAAGTGGAGGAGGAGATGGATTTTAAGTCTGATGGGAAAAAAGTGAAGCGTCAGAACCAAAGTCGCAAAGTTGTTAGCAGGAAGCGTCTCATACTAATATTGCATGTGACGACTCTTGTGTTGTTGCTACATAAATAAGCCAACATCTCTCTGCACACACCACGAAGATGTGTCTATGGCTGATGAGATGTTTGGTTTTCCTCCAACTTCTTCCTCAAGTCTTCTTTTTTAGGGTACATTAAACTTAACGTGTGCTTCTCATCCGTTCTCTGGTGGAGAGAGTGACATGATTGCATACATGGTTTGCTGGTCTCAGATGGTGTTACAATACATCACATTTGGGCTCTATGATTCTTGGGTTTATTTCTATTTATAGGCTTTCTCAAATACATATTGAACGCTTAGAAATCTTCACATCCGAGTGGTGCGGAAATGGAATAACCTGATCGAGAAAACACTAAATTCTCAAAAAAAAAATGTTGATCTCCCATATCAGGAATCTTGCTCATGAGAGTTGTCCTTAAATTAGAATCCAACTTGACATCCAAACCCATGGATAAAGTGAACGTTACTTTTTCCTGGTATTACAAATACGACTGTACGCTTACTGGAATTTCTTGAGTAGTGCATAAATATATTTTTCACTCTCGTTTGGAATTTTAAATAACTCGATATCAAACAAAACATTGCAAAATTTTCGGCAGGATTACAAAATTCGTATTCAATATTTGCAAGGTTGAGAGGCTTGATGTGGATTCAATAACCTGGAGAATGCTTCAACCGATCCAACCAACAGAGGTTCGCGTCGTCACAGCACAAAATTGCGCTTACGTTACGTACTTATGTACATACATAGATAAGCGATTTCTATGAAACCCTTCACACGCACGGCAATGCTTAGTTTTCCTTATTCGGATCAAAACGCTCTTTGATATGAGATGAAAGCAATAAAGTTAGAGTGGAAAGTATAGCACCTCGTTTTTTAGCTTAAAAGTGCGATGTAGTGTTTAAATTTAATACCATCATTTATCTTTCTAAATAGGAAACAGAGAACGAAAGAAGAAAGCGAGAGCTCTGCAGTTTAATTTGATCGTCTCGCTTGTTTTTTCCTTGATGTGTTTTATGTCATCGGTCCTTGGTGGTGGTGGTGGTGGTAAACACCTTAGATGGGTTGATGAGATATTGTATACTTACATATAACTGTGTTGCGTAAGTTGTCGCATTGCATTCACTGCATCACCATTGCATTATTATTTAGCTGTTGGACATTTTAGGCTTGATTTTGAGAACCCCTTACTCATTCATCTCAACAGTCCATCCACGAGGGTAGACAATAGTCGAAATTTATTTTTTGTTGAAACACTCCTTACATACATGCATATGTAACCAACCATCCAGCGTAAGGAGGAAAACCCTTTGAATTATTTTGAATTCCATTTCCAGTCCATTTTATTCCATGCACTGCTCTGCTGCATAGAACACCCTCCAGCACAAGGGGAGCCAGATATGGAATAAGTATAAATATTTCGATGCTTCAATGCAACTCATTGTTTTCTTCATGATTCGTGGCAAGATGATGTGCATTGATCTTTCCGTGTGTTTCCTCACATCTTTGAATCTCTTCTAGAGAATAAAGGTCACAGGAATGAGCATTAATTCAGTGCAGGACACAGATGCATAACTGGTGAGTCTGTGTGGTTCATTCCCTTGATATAGTGTACACATGTCTGTATAAGGAGTAGGAGACGGGGGTGACTCCTTATTAAAACCATCTAAATTCTTGCACCTACCATGAAGCAAGTTGACTCAAAACTATTATTCCCACTGTTAATATGCCACTTGGCCAAAAAAGTAAGTGAGATTAGTCAGCATTGTCTTCCCACACACTAAATTTGTAGCTTTTATTGCAGGCCATGCGTACGTTGAAATCATTCACCTTATGCACCAGTTTGTCTCAAGACAGGAAAACTATATAGACTTGAGAACCATCCTACATACTCTTTTTACCATATTTTTCAAGAAGTCTGATCATTTTTTAAAAGATGGCTTTAATTTTAACGTATGTCAGAAAGGATGACGGAGAAATATGACACAAGCCATGTATAAAAGGGTATTTGCAAGATCCAACCCTTTTGGACCCCATAATAATAATACGGCAGTAGCTCAAACTCCACACACATAATTCCAACTCTGCTGCAGCGTCTTGTTAATATACATATCCTTGAAGATTTTCAAGATCCAAGGCGCTTCTGCAGTTGCACCAAGTTTCAGGATTTACTTTCGTAGGAGAGAAGATGAAACTATATGACTCAGGTCGAGTCGTAATAGAGATGTAACACATGGTCTAACTCCAAACACATGACGCCGACTGGTTCTATATTCTCCAGAACTAGTGCTTTTCCTTTGCTCCACTAAAAGTGAGAACTCGCCGAGATTTTAATAGTGAGCAGCAGCAATGCCAGGAAGCCAAGGGGCAACTTCTTCCACCGTCGTCGTCATCACATATACTAATATCAGCAGCTCATCTTTCTTTCTCTGCCACAACTGGTGGACATTTCCTTCAACGTAGAATCAAAGTTCCCTGCATACAAACATACCTTGTCTGTCGAAGGGAAGTTGTTGACACGAGTTCTTGTGGACGCAGCTACATCGGTACACAGCACCCGGCTTTCTCAAAGTAGCCTGCAAATTTGAATCCGCCGTCGGGGCACCGACCAATATCCTGAAATTCATATAGAAACAAACTCTGTCACTCTAAAGAACCACCCTCTCTATCCAATTATTCGAGGCTGGTAGGGCTGTGGGACTAGAGATATTGGGGAAACTGGCTGAAAACCATGGAGGCTGAAGAATTCTGTCATTCTTCTCTTTAAAACTTTGGTGTCTCACAAGTCCCATGATGTGAGAGAAACAAGGACTTCATTCATTAGGAAGCTCTTATGTGTAGTACATGGAAGCTGGGAATAATCCCATTTCCATCTCATTTTGGATTTTATGGTCTTAGAACCAAAAGAGGAAACTTTGAGAGACGAGGACTTTTAGTTCCGTTGTGTGTGTGACATATACTTACCAAGACGTATTGGAGTCGTGATGCTGGGCGACGGAAAATCCGAACATTGAGCCTGAAATTCAGAAAAGGACATTGTTATTTTTCAAATTCTACGTTACTAATCTGGCATAACCGATACACGGGTATACCTCCAGGACCATTGTGGGTTATGACACTTGGGATGTCAATGTTGAAGCCTTGAGTTATCCTAAAACTTGTTAGTGTATAGAAACTCACTAAAACCACTAAACTTGGGAACAGGGCAGAAGCCTGCTTAACAAACTGATCCATTTTCGGCATTTTTCAATTTTTCACCAATTTGTCCACTTGTCAAACTTATTCCCACTTTATTTGGTACTCACACCATAATTTCATAGACGGGAAATAAGACTACATAATAAATTCCCGAGAAATGCAACCACCAACTTAACGGTCACCGAAAGAACAACCACATGGCATTTGGCTGAAGGTAACGCACAATAATGAAATAATCAAACAACGCCACCACTGAACTTCTCTTCCCCATTCACTTTGTACACCCACAGCCAACAAGATTTGATGGCGAACTCCTTCTTCCTGCTTGTGCTTACGGGGTACCACTAAAAAACTAATGCACGACCACTCTAGAAGAGATGCAAGGTGTATCTAACTGAATGACTCCAATCGCGTAGTCATTCTTATTAGACGATGATCCAGCCAGAGAGTCGAGTAGTTAAAGTAGAGAGAAATCACTCGAGTTAGTGGAGTTACTTCGGTGTAAATGTATACAAACTTGGGTGATGATGAGTTTGTTAAAAGCGAAATGGTGGAGGATTCACTTCTTAAAAGAATAGCGTATGAGTAGTCTCAATCTGCCACACACCGATACTTCTTGATCCAGCAACAACACTGGCTTCTTAGCTCAAACCTTCCTTAATTTTCAGCTTTCTTAATACAACTGAGTCAATAGAACGTTATTAGTCACACTCTGCATTTCCGATTTTGTGGTAAACTTGAGTTTAAACTATCAGAATGATCAGACCGAGGAAGGTTTGCGAGATTGGATTTTGTGAAGGGAGTCGGAGAACGTATTCGTATGTGCATGCACGACGATGACGGGTGAATTACCCGGCATGAGAGTATTTTCTTGAGCTTGTTCCGTCCGTGGGGATGTGTGTATGGTGGTCTTGTAGCGTCTTGCACCCGATTGCTGTCCGACTTTCAAACTATTTGTGTATCTTGTACGTATGTATGAGTTTGTGTGTTGGTGGTGGAGATTCTTTCCAATACACGTCAAGTCACTGACTTGGCAAGAGTCACAAGCATACTGATCACCGATCACCTCGCTTGGGAGCTTGTAGGCTAGCGGATTGAATCTGTTTCTCTATTTTCTCTCCACCCTTTTACCATGTCTTTAACTCCCACACCAGCACCAACAGAAGAGCTGAAGCACCATAGCTTTGTTAGGTTAGCGATAATGATGATGATTATAGTAAAGTTGACTGCTTTAGAGTGCAAGTCGTCGTCGTCGCCCAAGACACGGCAGTGCGTAGGAAAATGTGTGGAAAGAGAGACAACTTCTACATTCAACTCTCTCTCTCTTTCTCTTATGAGTCTAAACTGATCTACTGGTTGCCACAGTAGGGCGGATGGTTATAAGCTAAAGTTAATGTCATATTATTATTATAGATGTGGACCAGACTTCCAAATGGCATGGCTCTGGTGAAAAGGGAGAAACCAGCCAATAAAGAGACCAGTCATCTAGTGGAAATGGTAGGTAGCATTACACCCACTCACACACTCTCACTCTTACTGACATGCAGAGTTATATATGACCGAAATCTGAAAGTCGAACGACCTCGAGAGACAAGATATAAGGCAGGTTAGATAACATACACGCATAAGAATAATTCGTTCCAACAACGGAACGGAAGAAGGAACAAGAGGCAGGATATACCTTTCTTTCTCGTGTAACTCCCCGGACTATATCTCATTGCATGCCGTATTTATGCACAACATAACAAGTTACATTACAGCCCCTCCTCTATCTATTTCAAGAATATTAAGGAAGTCCATCTTGCCTTAATGCATGCAACCCTAGTCCGACTACCGAAAACCGAAAAAAATGAAAGAGTGTGTGTGTATTCCATTTCATGCAACGACGTTTCGTGAAATCTTTTCGGACCCAAACAAAACACAATAATGCATAATATGCGTATGCTTACAAGCAGGCCAAGTATGCCAACTTTGCAAACAGCAGAGTATAATATTGTGCATTCGGGAGAATGAGACTGATTGGATGAAGGCCTGGCACGGAATCGTTTGCTTACTCGAACAGATTATTCTTAGGAAGGAAGAAAGATGCTGTAAACCGGAAGTGTACACACCCAACATTACCTCCTCCTTTCCCCATCAGTTCATGTTTATTTCGACGGAGTGTGGTGGTGGTGAAACTGGAAATCATTTCCCTCTTCGTCGTATCATCATATCATTCTGCTTGTCGGGGATTGGGATTACCTACCACAGACCGGCATCGTCATATTATACTATTTCTATGTTACTTACTATGTACCACTACTTGCTCCGAATGTATTCCTATGGTACATTTCGAAATGGAGAGGACAGCTAGCAAAGTAGGCTATGTATACACACACACGACACAAGAGATCCAGGCTTGGTCTGCCAAGTTGTAAAAGGTTTCAAAGGTAATCATCGTCATTACTTAACCCGGGAGTTCTTCCTTCCTTTCCTCAATTTTCAGATCATGCCACACAAAATGACCCACCTTTTCTACCACCCTCATCATTTTGGGGTTTGGTTGCAGTCTAAATTTGCTAATGGCGTAATAAATGCACATGGTAGAATTGAATTCAGGTTACTACAAAAGACATCCTGTTCTAATGTGCTATGGCAAAAACTTGCCATTGCCGTTACTTTATATGTAATGAATACGTCTCACCGTGTGGAATATCTGACTCCATTCGTCTCTCTCACGTTGGGTAGATGAACATGGAACTAAATAAACTCACGAAGCTCATGCACAATTCCTTTACTAATCTAGACATTAAAAGTGATGAGATTAAACGCCACCCAAATCGCTGCACGACTTATGAGACGACACACATACGCTCGCTCTTGGTTGCTTGGGCTTATGCCGTGAAAGGTCACATTCCGTGGGAGAAGAATCAACTGTTTTAGTCAACGGACAGAAACAGGTAGCCGAAAAATGTCCATATTTTCGTTTGGCACGAATGCTCACGTGAATTCCTCTGTCTCATTACACAATTCAACACGACGGAGAAACTGTTAAAAAGAAGAATATGCAATTCAAACAAATTGTTATCTCCCGGAATAGGATTATTTCCTTTTGTAACAAAACTGCTCATGCAATAGAGAATGTAAAACGAGAGAGCTTGGTCACAAATGATCCGCCTATTTAATAGTGCACCGAAAGATTAAATTTCTGGGAATAAATTGTAAACAAAGCATCAGTGATACGCAACTTGTAAAATAATATACGCCAAATATGCCTTTATTTGGTTGGGTCCTTACCTATTTCTTGCTTGAATGAGAAAAATAAATCGTCAAAATTCCAAATTCATTTACATGCATGGCTCCTCTGGATGATCTCAGGATCATGTACATAAATAACACAGTGACAGTGATGTAATTATCCCATAGATGCAGCGAACTCTGATTCATCTTAGACACACGTTTATTTATTAGTCACTCTAAACGCTAGAATTTTCCTTAACTTTACTAGACATTTAGCTCCTTATATTTACATACATATTTTGAATAACTTCGATGTTTTAGTTTAGCAAATAGTGGGAAATCCAGGTAGGCATGCATGTGCATACACCAAATGACTGCAAGTAATCTGTAAGTATACTGGTTCTCATTTTGGCAAACAAACACACAACAACATTGCATATTACAACATCATCGAGGTCGAGAAAAAGTGAAATGATTTATTCAATCAGTATACCTGATTGAAATTTATAACTTGCCAACCCATGATTATATATGAAAAGGGAGTGTGATGGTCTTGCCGTTCTCATGTCTAAGCCACCTTCATGTCCATTATAAAATGCAAATATGTAGCAAAGTTATGTTGTGATTTTCTCCTTTACCGCATGTAATGGTGCTGGTTCATTATATATTCAGAATTGGCACAGGGGAAATAAAGTAAATATGAGGGCGTAATTTGGTAGTGGCGTTGGGTAGTAGTGGCTACTTTCTCAGGACAAATAATACATAAAAGAGCTGAAACCCAACATGAACCCAAAACAGCTCTTGTGTCTCTGACATCAATATACAGCTTCTCTGAGGATGAGCTGCACAAACGAAATCATTAAATGCTTTTGTATGCAGCGTCAGTGTCGTTTCAAGGTAGACCGAATCTATGTATGCACTTATTATGTATTCAATGGAATTGGACTGCTCAGGTTTTACGTATGGATGCAAAACGAGATCGACCAAATTCGAAATTAAATATCACAATGCCTGCCAAAGGGAGAATTAACGGATGCCCTGCCCTGGATGTTTTTGAATAGTTTTCTTAGCCTATTAATTATTTACTCTTATAAAGATAGGAACGAAAATAAAAATCGCGAGCGGGGTACTAAATACTGTAACAATATTATTGCAATTGTTTGTGAATGTTATTTATTAATTGACACATTATATATGATTAACACTAGATAACAAGGGGTGAATTCAAATGGGCACTTATCTTGCACTACAGTCGTCTATTAAGATAAAACACACTGCTAGGATTGGACTTTCAGACGACGACGGTGAAGGCTCATAATAATATGGGATTAATTAGTGGGGATTAATATATATTAATTATACGGATAACAGTGTGCTGTTCATTATAGAATAACTACTTTTACGATAAATATATCATGATGTATCAGCGAGGTAGTCTTTATCAAACAAGTTCAACTGGCTGATTAGATAGTTAGCTTTGTTTTTTAAAACTTTTGATGCGCCAGAAAGTTCTTCCAGGGTTGAGATTTCCTGGTCCAATTGCTTCATTTCCTGTTCCATCTCAGAAGTTGTAGCGTCCACCAAATGACATAAGCGAGCAAATGTTTGAGACAGCTCTCTAACGAAAGAAGAACAAACAAACCCAACTTAGTAGTAGTTTCAAAAAGATAAAAAATACCATGGCGGCATTAGCGCGGCAGCATAGTAGGAATTTAATTTTTCCTGGGGCTACACTTACTGCTGAACCTGATGGCTGCAGTTGGCCGACGTTAAGTCAACAATTAAACGAAGCTTTTGAGTGGCATGCTCCACATACTGCCTCTTGAACTCCCTCTCCTTTGCTTTATTTGTCCAGGTAAGTCTTTCATACATATACAGCCCGCCGTATACCACTCCAGTCACGACAATTACCCTCCAGCCAACCGTCTTCAAAAGCTACATAAGACGCATACATATGTAATAATATATTTAGAAAACGATCCGGGGATTTCTAAACCCGGATATAAAGTTTTTATTAATCCCAAACGTACAAATCCTGCAACAAGAAGTCCCCCCATAGTTCCTTGACTCGTAACTGCGGCCAAAGCGAACCTTGAAGCTACAGCCCAATCGTCTGGATTGGCAAAGAAATTCGGGCCATCACCATTCGTTGGAGTCATAGGTGTTATCGACTGGTTTGGAAGAGGGGGCAAACCACGTGGACCACCCTGGAACGATAAAACCATAATAGCCGTTAATATTTTATAAAACACATGAGAGATATGTTTATTTACTATGCGAGATAAGCGCACAGCAATATCATGTGTTCAAAACAAACAAACAGAAAACAAGAAAAATTACGCGAGGGGTACGGAATAGAACATATAATTCTGTATATATAGATGAAGCAGAATATAGAAGAGGAAATACAAAACCATTCTAAATTATTATTATGACTATGCCCATTATACCTGAACGGCATTTGAGCACGAGCCAGAACCCCCAAGAAAACCGTATTGGTTACGATTCATAACTCGCTTCAGGATGGCTTTAATCCCAAAACTGAACTTGAAAGAAATGTCTTCACGGAAATCCCCACACAAATTATCACAATTGAGACGATAACGAACTTCAAATGGTTCACGCTTGTTCGATTGGAGAAATGCAAGTGACAATGCTTGTTTTTCACCAGGGATTAGTGCCGACATCTACAAATAATAAACATATCAGGTATATAAATACATACATAATGTTAAAAAATAAAGTTATCTCTCCGTAATAATACAAATTAACGCTAAGTTAATAATTTTTAATTGCTCACCCTCTCCGTCATTTCTTTTTGACTATTCTCCATGTTCATAACCAATGCTGAATTTAATCTCGCCGTAAGATTCTGCCCAAGTCCTTTCTCACAATAACTGTGCAATTCTTTTTTATAGACATTAAGGACCATAGGATCCCCGTGAAATTGGTTAGGAAATTCATCCACAAGAACTCCTATCCTGCGAATTTCTTCACTCAACGCTTTGCTTACTTTGCACTCTACGTCTTCCACCATTTGACGTATCTTGTCTGGAGATAAACAAAGTAATTTCTGCATTAGTATAAAACAATTTTATTAAAAAGAACATATCGAACCTTTCATTTCGTGTGTCAATAGCTGCAACTGTTTATCCGTGAAGTCGAGCTTATCCCAGAGTTCTTTTCTCATCGTCATTCTTTCTGACCTCCTCGTTTGTGATGCATTAAGCACATGACTCATAACATCCTTTGTATCTGACACAATATGCTGGCCACGATGTGAATGTTGTTCAAATTTAGTTTGAACAGCAGACTTAGAAATAATCTCTTCGAATTTTCGCTCAAAATCTTGAAACTCCATGTATCTGATGGAAAACCCTTCAGCAATGGCACCGGCTAAGAATTAATGAAATAGGTTTAAATCACAATGCATTATTATCAAGTTTAATTAAATATGCCCACATTGTAAAGCAAATCCTTTCAGTTCCTGTTGCCTGGCTTGTAAAACCTCTTTCGCAGAGATGAAGAATATTCTTTCCGAAACTTGATTGGGTGTCACAACTTTTAATTCGTTGACCAGAAAATCGGATGCCCTTTCCATATGCTGGGCACGAACCTTAAGTAATTAACCAAAAAATATTACAATAATGAAACATATTGCATTTATATATATTATTTAACGTTTCCTCGATTATTTTTATGTTATGTTGATTTAGGCACGCTAAGCTACTTAAAATATACCTCGCTGGCATCAATTGGCTGCATTAATTAACACATTAATTAATTAAAATATGAAAGTCCAATTAAACTGAAGTCCAATGTAACTTTACATTAACATTACACTTTCGGAAAATTACTCGAGTCAACCTAGTCATACATGGTAATTACAATTGCTTACCTCATTCATAAAATCCATTTCTGATGCTGCAGCATCCCATCTATTGTTCAAAATGAAAATATTTGGTTTCGAAATTTGGTTCGACACCTTGTGAAAAAAGTTTTTCTCCTGCAAACAATAAACAGAGTATTTTAGAGATTAACCAAAGGATGTGATGCAAATATAAGTAATGTTATATCCTACAGTTAACATCAAAGTAGATTCTGCATTAGAGACTAGAACGAAGACATCGGCATCAAGGCAATATTTATCAATCCACTCATCCAAATTTGGAGACACGTCGATTCCTAAAATAATATTCCGCACGGTGATGTTATATAATTTCTAAATTCTTATATATGTGATATAATTGCTTACCTGGAGAATCCACAAACACGACATCGTCTCGCAATAAGGGACACTTGTCTTTTGGCTGGAAATATACAATAAATTACAATAAAATTTGCATGTCAATTAATTTCTTAATAATTCATCATGTTATGCATACCCAGTATATTTTGACTAGGGATGATTCTGTCAATTTTGTTTTGCATAGCGCATGAGCCAATTGTGCTACGGATTGAACATTTTGCCTTTCTGATGAACCTTCCGCAATCAAATAAGCCTCTTCAGCAGGTTCACCACCTTGGGGACCAAAATTCAATTTAATTTTCGTCTAGAGTTCTAATGCACTTGTATAACCATTTAATAAATACATAAAATGTACATATTTATATACCTTCAACTTGTAAGAAACAACTTGTCGTGTGGCCAATTCCACTAGGAAGAATTTTTTCACGCAACATTGCATTAATAACTGTAGATTTTCCATTACTTGTTCTTCCAAAAAATACCACCTATAATACATGTTGAGTGTATGATATAAATGTATATAAATTTGGCTAGAAAATGAAAAATAAATCAAACTACCTTCATGTGATCCCTTTTTAACACTTCCCGAATTCCGTATATTTTCTTCAAGTACTCCATGACAGTCACATTTTCTTCTTTCGAAATCAGGTTCTGTTCCGAGACTTTGTCTGTTTGAACAAGTTTATAATAGATATAGTTCACAAGGACAAATTCGATTTTACCAAATTGCAAAGGATAATTATGCGAATTACCTTGTACAAAGTCTGAAGTTTCCTTGATATAACCTTCGATTTGTTGAAAAATATCGTTGATCCTCTTTTTTGCTTGTACGAAAATCTGCAGAGGTGACACATCAGAATCAGTGAAGGCTGACGATTTAGGCGCAAGCAGGGAAGGAGCATCCCCAGCTCCCCGACGTTGGTTCGAAGACTGTCCATCCATCATCGAAAAAGAACGAATGTATGCCGACATTGTTCACAACTACGTCTAGATTCGTGACCAGAGCTGCCAAACAGAAACAAATAAATCATAAAACAATAATAATTTCAGAAGAAGCATTACCGTTACAAATTTTTAGCCAAATTAATATTGAGAAGCACAAGAATAATGTACGATAAGTCTATCATTACAAATACACGTGTACGTGACGCTATGAAAAAGAGGCTGTTGTTATCAGGCAGAAAGACAGCAAATAACTCAAATTGAAAAAGCATTACAGGTTTCCACATTAAGAAATACAAAATAGGAAAACAATGTCCTGTTGCACGTACCTCACGTAACAAGAAACCAGAGTCCGAGCTGGACAGTTGTAAATCCGACATGATCTACTTAACTACAGCTGATTTTTGTACTTTGACAAGTGTAAATTACACCGCGTCCTTCCTCCCCTCGTTGCAGAATTGAATTTGTTTGTATTCCGCAACCTGGCGACTATAAGTAATTATTGGTAAAATAAAAGCATGAACAAGAAATGATGTGGTTGTGTGAATCAGTAGTGGCGTGGCTTATGTCCTGAAAATTTAATATATTTCTGTTTTTAGCAATAAAAAGTGACTTTATGATAAAAGTAGTGACTAGGCCACGAGGTTTTGTTCCTTGCGGCAGCGGAAACACCATAAAAAGTTATGAACAATCGCTATTATCTAATAAATATGTAGAAATTGGCTAACCACGTTGGGCTCTCACCTGCGTGAGGGGTGTGCCTGGCGAGAGAAGGGGAGGTTGAGCTGAAGGTCGCTCGCACGCAAATGATGAAATTGCGATGGATTCAAGTTACTATGTTCGAGTCCAGTTCCAGTTCCTCAGTCCTAACTCACCCCGCCTCACTTTATGTAATGTTAACAAACTTTGTGCATACACATGCTATTATAACTTCAGATAAGATCATACACATTCAAAAAGAAATAATTTAGACGAGGAAATTTGTATCGCGCTGCGTATTTTTTTTATTGTATCGTCGTGACACAAAGAAGTAGCGTACGTCTTACATGTTTTTTACAACGTGTATGTAATGTGTAATAGACCATGATACGTGCAGCACTGACTAAAACAGAAACCAGATCAATACAATGCAATTTTACATATAGCATCATGAAATTAACAATTGATAAAATTGGTCATGCAATGTAGCTATATTCGTCAGCAGAGTTGGGGGTTCTTTCCAAGTATTGACGTTCAATAAGTGTTTCGATGCATTTCTTGATTACTCCAATCGTGGGGGAAAATCTACCGTTTGAGAGGGACAACACCTAAAACCACAATTAACGATAGATTAAACTTAATTTCACTATTGAATTACAGATAGTGCAAATACTTTATATCCGCAATGTTTAATATTTTACCTCTTGGATAAGAACGTTGTGCTTGATTACCTGTTGGAAATTAAAACCAAAGTAGTAATAGTTTGAAGACTCACGACAAATTGTTATTGCAACTTTATTAAGCAAAATATTATATGCGAATAAGTTGAAAAATTTGAGTTGTTTTAGGAGACGTGATTCAAAAATGTAATCCAATGGCAAGTTTTACTTGTGGCATAAAAAATAATGGAATTTAAACTTACTTTTCGTGACTTCATAATTCGAACGATTGCTGCTTGCATAAAGATTTTGCGATCTTCCTCGACTGCAACGTGGGTCTGTTCAACCTCTTGTGGCGTTTCTTTCTGGACTGCACCAGATATCTTGAACTTGGTCTTTTTGTTATTATACTCCTTGTTGAGTTTCACAACACTATCTTTTGTAATCTGTTGTAAATGGAACATAGTATGCTGATATATATAATCAATGATCAGCTGCTATTATATGCAATTCTCTAAGAGTAATTTTTTTCTACTTACGAGGCCATCAGATTCCAGTAATTTACAGTCCAATAGACTTTGAATATGACGAGTTAGCTGATTTCATAGAAATTTTATAACATTAAATAATGTTTCAAAATCCTATAAAAGAATGCAAATTTTAAAAATATCATACCGTGTCTTCATTCAACATAGTAGCTTGTTGCATTTCAGAGAAAGTCAATTCATAAGATTTTTCAAACAAAGCCATAATAGCAAGTTGAAATGTTTGCATGATTATGATGTAAGTTTTCTTCGTATACGATATTTTTACGTCGCCTATTTCAATCGTAATTAAAAAAATTAGATTCAGAACAAGGTCTAAGTAAAAGTTCTATGCCTCACTAACACGTCGACAAATGGTGAAGCCACGATAACTTTCTTCCGTTAAACTGCTTTCCGTAAAAGGTTTCAAACTGTAAAATATATAAAGACCAAGTTAGATGTCGTAGTGAACAAGTAATAAAATGTAATAGTCTAAATATGTAGCGAGGCGTGCGTACTGTTTGAACTGATTTTTCCAAAATTTGTGGGATAGAGAAAGGCGATGGATTTTGCTGTAAGGGCCACGCCCCAGCCTGAAAAACAATTTTAAAAAATTACTGCAAAAATTTCGCACACAAATTTGTACACATCGGTAATGCATATATTGTGAAAATTACCTGCAGTACTAATATAGAAAAATTCACGTTAAGTTGGATAGCGTCAGTTGTAAGAAAATCATTAAATTTGGTGCTTAATTCTGCGGATAGCGTAACGTCAGTAAACATTCGGTGTAGCTTGTTGGTAAATTCGTAACCACATGCTTGCTGTAAGATTGAAGTCATTGCTTGCATTAAACGTGAATTAGAATTTCTATAATTTACAACGTCAAACTTACAAACAATAATTGATATAATGGCAAATACGTACCTTTAAGCGATTGATCATTCCTTCCTCTGAGTCCATAGACACACTAAGTTGGTGGATTAAACGTTTAGCAAGGTTCCGAGAATAAAATTTTTGAAATACATCCTTATCGTCTCTAAAAAGGAATACATAAAAGATTATATAAGAGATATAAACAATTGATTGATTATTACTATCTATCCAGCCAACATACATATAGCGAAAAATTGTAATCGATTGATTCAGTCTTTCGTCGACTTCGGCTTCTGTGAATCCTTTATTGGACTTCTTTAATAGAGAATCACAGAATCTTGCAAGCTGTGGAAAATAAATACAAAATTATGGATTGGTGAATTATTAATCAATAACTTATTAATTAACTTACCAATTCTGGTGATCGACAAGGTGTTTTTGCAGATGATTTGAAATTTATAATGGCCGTACAAGCTTTGTCGAGAGCACTAATGAAGAGCTGATCAGACTTAAAGACTTCACTAACGACTTCTTTGTACTTTTTATAAACATTAATGACGTTATCAACGAAATCCACATGGGCAGTGTCTGGTTTCAGCGCCCGCACGGACTCTAACCCTTCTTTTCTGACATGAGACTCTACAGACTCGGCCAAATGACTTAAGCCGGCAGAAATGGGCTTTAATAGGCAGTACATGTTTCCTAGGTCCTTTTTGTTATCAGACTCTACCATGCTGCGACATTCCTTTAGCAAGATACTCAAATGATCTTCAACCAGTCGTTTGTGACACTCTGAACTCAGCTTATGATAGGAACTGTAAAATGGAGGTGTAAAACAAATACGATGTTGATTAAATTATACACAAATTATACATTGATATAAATAAAAATAAAAATGCATAGTACCTTGGGTGGAGATATCGTCGAGCTCTCATGTCTTCTTCATGTAACTTTTGGATTACTTTCTCCATATAGTCCGAGACTGACAAACCTTCCATAAGTTTATCCGCTTCTTGTTTGTAATAGTTGCCGGTGTCACGAAGAAATGGAATTTCGAAAGCTCGTTCATAAAACTAAACAATATTAATCACTCGATTACTGTACATAGTCAATTGTGGAGCTATAATGTTTTAGTGTATAGACGAACCGTTGCAGAAGCACGAGGGTCGCCAGGAATACGATGCTTCGGATCCTCAACTGAAACTTTTAAAGCATTAACGATTAATCTTTAAATCTGTAAAAGATGACTTTTTTCAATTGAGCATTAACTAGATTATTTAACTACCTAAGGACTGAATAACACCATTAACCGTGGAAGTTGAAACTGAGGTATCTCCCTTCCTGTCGGACCTAATGGCTTCCAAGACTAGATCAATTATTCGATCCTGAATTTTTTCCAACATGTCCTGTCGCCAAATCTCGAGTCCTGAGGAAAAAAAATTCCAAAACAGAAGAGACAAATGTAAAGGTTATACTAATAAAAAATATTGTTAAAACATAATGCCAATTCAACTTAATAGTTCACCGCATACCAAGTTCCCCAATTTCGACCATTTGTCCAGGTGCCTCTGAATATGCACCTCCATATGTAATATCCGCATCAGTGAGCTTGGATTTTTTAGCATGCTGCTGATTTAAATACCTATTTGAAAGTTAGTAAACTATTGTCATGATCCTTTATCTTTGTATCCTTAACTTAATTTATTACCAATACAACTGATTCAGAAATCCAATTCCTTGACTGTACTTGCTCCAAACGTCGTAATACACTTTCAAGAGTGTAGAATTGTTTTCATGCTTATCCAGCTCATTTCTTAGGTCAAGAACATGCTTTTTCAAAAAGGCCTTGGTCTCGTTGTACAACTCGGTTGTAAAAGGTTCAGGATGCGCCACACATAACGAGTACACATCACTACAAAATAAAAATGACAATGTTAACTTTAAACAATGAGCCAGTGGCCAATCAATAATATACTTGTTGATACCTGAATCTGTCATTCCACTCTGCCCTGTTAACCTTTGTGAGAGTAATTACACCTTCAATCGTGGCACGAAGAATGTCCCACGTCTGCAGAAAATCAACTTGACGAGGTTTCAACGACATTTTAATTTTCAACCCAACTTTGCACTGGCCGTTTCACTAATGTTCTGTGCCTAGCCGCCGTTCTTGTCTTTGCGGAAAGATAAGTAAATTATTAATTGTGAATTGGATATAGTAGCGTTGCGTAATTGTTATGAAGTTGTTTGCAATTCACTTCACCTCACTATTTGCCACTTAAGTCTTATGTTTGGTATCTAATTACGGCACATTTATTTCATTGACCAACCACCACCACCACAGCCGCCTTAACACAAATATTAATAATTTTTGCTGATGATCTGATTAAGTTTGTACATGCGAAATCCAAATTATAGTTTGTTTGTTTTGGTAAGTTGTAAAAGTCGGGGTGAGTGAAGGACGAAGAAAAATGTGGAAAGAGAAAGTGCTGATTGGATGACGACGATAAAACTTGGTTTCCACCACATCCGCAAAACATTTTCTCGTCCTACCCAGCTCATCTTCCAAATTGAGTGAAAGTCGTGAAAGTCATTTTCACCAGAAATGTATGAATTTTCTAATTTGCTCAGGCATAATTTTATTTTAATTAATTTCACTAATAATAATAATGATAATAATGATAATAATAATAATAATGATAGAATAATTTGGCATATTGCATATTGAATACAGCTTTATAATGTTATGCACTAATGTCCCGCTTCCATTCGTCAATTGCAGCTGCCAAGCGGGCAAGACCTGAACAATTTTAATAGAAAAAAATATGTCGATCATTAAGGTTATTAAAATCTGATAAAAGACTTACCAATGTCCAGCCCATGTGTACTGTATGCAGTAAACACGAATCGAAACCATCCATGTTCTGCTCCCATTTCCCAAGAAGGCGTCATGTAAATCTTGTGAGCATACAGCTTCTTTACGAATGCTATGTATTAGAAAGAGAAGAAATATTACGTACTGCACACCTCTGAAATTATCTTATGTTTATAAATGTCATTGCTATGCTATATGTAAGTAATGTAATAGTAATAATAAAAGAAGGCTACACCTTTCGAGGCTTCTTGACTTGGTGGATTAAACAGGGGACGAAGATCCACCAGAAAGAAAAATCCAGCAGTGCTCTTGGTCGTTGTAAATCCAATTTTGCAAAAAAACTCTTTACATTTAGCGTACGTAGCTCTGAGTCGAGAATGATTTGTGGGCACAAACTTGTTTTTAAACCAATCTGAACAAAATGAGGTGATGGTTATCATCGTCTTTCATCCTCCAAAGATCATATACATTTAATATTTTTTAAAAGACCAACCCGCATCGGAAATGACATTTGTGAGAATGTGCATTAATGGAAGGGGAACAGCCTGAAATTGGGATCCTGACTTGAGGGCATTTTGAAGTGACACGTTTTCTGTGTGGATAACTCCAGTTCTAAAACTCGTGAGGCATAAATCCTGCACACACGAAAAAGGGGTGAATACTTTTGAAAAGAAAGTTTTTCGATTTCATAACTATACTTTAGAATCTGTTCTGTTCTTTGGGTATAGTTAACTAGTCCAACATTGAGATTGAGATGAATATAGGTATTCTCGTACATATCTATCTGTACACGTGGGGCAGGACATATGTACGGGGGAATAAGGTAAGAAGGAAACTGACCTTGCTAAATCCCCAGATTACATGAAGCAAGTTTGTGTCCAATAAGGTTGGATTATGAATCTCTAAAACGGAATGGAAATGAGTATTCTCGTCAAATACTGACATGCAGTATATTTCATCCGCTATGAGATGAATTTTTCGTCTGAAATCAAAACACAAAAAAATAAACTAAAAATATACAAACTTATAAAACGTGGAGGAAGCATTTAAAAATTGACTGATACATCTACACACGAAGTACAGATAGTTTTTTGACTTCACGATTCACTAGAATGCAAACAAACATATAAATTAAAACCTTTGGCATAAGTTCATGATTTCCTTCACTATTTCCACAGTGAAGACTTTTCCTAATGGATTTTCCGGATTGTTGAACACGAAGGCCCGAACCCTCCTTCCTTTCGACTCCTCATCGGATATTACTTTCTCCACTGAAGACACCGTCAGCTCAAACTCTCCAGATTCCTGCGATTCAAGTGGCATTGAAAAATGAAGAGCCGCCGGATTATACATAAAGGAAACAAAAAGTCCCCGTGCGTGTTCTCATGTAGAAAATTACCTCATTATGCTGGAGAGGAACTGGAACCATGTGAATGCCCCATCTTTGAAACCCAGCTTGATAATATCCATTATATCCTGGAGTAAGGAATACGAAGGATTCGCCCTCATCGGCCAATAGAAAACCCAAAATGTCCAGTGACAATAAAGCCCCATTAAGAACGTACAGCTAAATACATACATGTGCATACATTGAATCAATCCTTATTGGTAAGGATTTCTCATGCAAATTATGATTATTTAATTTATCGTCTTACATTCTCAAATATAATTGGCTTCTTCGGTTTGAAGAATATATTCATAAACTTGGACAATGCTTCCCGAAAAGTGTCAACCCCCCAACATTGGTAATAGCGATAATGAGAAGAATCTGGCGTAAAAAAGGATTGCTGTGAAAATCGAGTGAGCCATAATTCGTCCATGAGTCCGCTCACTGCAGTTCCGAAGTTGATGATTCCCTTTGTGGCACAAGAGAGTTATTCATTAAGAATCTTAATTTAAGTTTATTTAGGGCTAATTGGGCTTATGCAGTGGAAAGTGCAATTAATAATCAAGCAAAACGGCCTTTATATCTTTATCCGTACATACATAAATTTAAGGTGTTTTCCTGAGTTTTGACGCATAAACTTTCTCTGCGTACACCTGCACATTTATGCTAGGTCTTTCTTACCTCTGGGTTTTTTGTCTCATCGAACGGGTTCTGAAGTGCAGACCCCACCGAGTAGTTGGAGATGTAGTCCATGTCCACGGATAGCCTTTTGGCTCGGATGGATAACAGTGCTTCGGATGAGGCCATTTTTATATTTCTAGTTTAATCGTGTGCAGCCTGTACTCAATTTATTACTAATTATTTTGTTCCAATTCCAAGTACTTACAACAAGAAGCAAGGTCATTACCCTTCTTACTCTTATTCCCTCTCAGTTAACAGAGGAATCTCAACTTTGCCATTAACTGTAATGTAAGATTTTACTTTTACAAATAACATGTAAAGTGTTCAAATACAATTATTTGCATTGTATAGTAAATGGAACTGAATACATGTATGCTTGTCGTGGGACAAGATACACAATAATAAGCCACATCACCAATATTCAAAGTAAGGAAGATATGGATTGCGATTCGCAATTTGCGAACCAGAAGCATTCATCCCAATAACAAAACGGTTTACTAAACAAGTAGTTTTGTAGTAATTGAAACTTATAACAACCAGCGAGAGATAAGCAGTAGTAGATTTTCATCTCGAGAAGCGACTCAAGCCTGGCATCGTTTGGTTGTGCCACAAAAGTTTTAATTAGTTTGGAAATTGAATGGAATCGATGGATTCAAATGTGGTAAATTTCGACAATGCTCCGATCCTCTGTAGAATTGTTCAAGTTGAGAGAATTTACTTTTTTCGGTGAATAATAATGGTCCTTTCAAGTTTTTATTACATTCATCGCAAATGATGAGCTTTTATTAACGCACACATATATCTATGCAAATATGATCCACCAACTGGTAAATAAGATACGTTGCAACTATGTTATTTCAAAATTTAACCATTTAAGCGGAACCAGTTAGTTACACATACTCTATAATAATATATATATGTATATACCCATATATAAGAGTGCATGATTATTTTCTAGATGCGACGACACTTTTTGCAAGCTAGGGATAAAATTCTGTGTATATCTTCATAAACGACCAAAAACTTTCCGGCTCACTGAACGTACTTGTAATGCTCCAATTGGATTGCTGAGTTTGCAAAACTTTTACAACATCGGGGTTCAAATGGCATGGTGAAACTGTTCAATCCTGAAATGGATTTACTCGAATGAGACCTTAATAAAAAGCATGTTTTTTTTATCATATCACAACTCTATAAAATTATAATATGTATTATGTACACTCCCAAAACTCACCTTAAAATTACAGATTTTACTGAACGACATTTGTTAACAAGGATATATAATAATCTACTAATCTTAACCTAACCATTGCCACTGATAATTGTATAATGATATCATATCCAATCAATTTCCACTGTTCATGTTAACAATTTTGAAAATAAATAAGCAATGATATTCTTAAGAAATATTACATAAATTACATATACTCTGCCCTGTGTTGGATTTGGTGGTCTTCTGTTGTAGGGAAACAACTCAGCGTAAAATTCCCATGTAGAATAACAAAATATTCATCTCGACGAGGTGGAGGAAAGCTCTCAATCATGTATAAATCCAATCCTGATGTTTGTACGAATTATTATTACATACGGATAGATGACTTTCTTTGGATTCCTTTTCCTTCTGCCGACTTTTGTACCTATTTTGATCCACGCTTGGCCTTTTCAGCCAACGTGATGGCTGTTCTCATGTGATGGGTAATGTACGCGAACAGTTGCATCCAGGAATCCTTAAGGTCGCTCGACCAAATTTCTGACAAAACTGGCTGTGGAAAACATTATTAATTAAACAATATATACGGATTCAGTTAATGACAAACAATAGTTCGGAAGTTTTGTACAAAGTTTATATTTATTAGTATTTTTACCTCGATCGCTTTTATAAATTGGGGGCCAACGTGCTGAAAAGAGAATTACATTTAGTTTTCGTACCATAAGATATTTTCGTGATTTTGATGGTTAAAGTCAAAAGGATCTGTTTAATACAAAATCCACCGAAGCTTAATTGTAACGAGTTTAGTGATGTATTGCCTTCTAATTCATTCATATGCACACATATTATACACATGCAATTTATTCTCAAACAGAATATTAGTGAAACTAATTTTGTATTCAAAATAAATTTTGACAAGCAGGAAATACAGGTTTCATGTATTTGTAGATTTCCTGTTTATTTTATATGCACATATTTAGCATCGATATTACTCGAAACCCTATCACACACTCATGCAAGGACTAATTGTAAGACTCATGCGAAACAACCAAATCCACAAAACAATGTAATATTTAAATGATTCTGGAACTCGCGTACATCGATATATTTTTTTGGAGCGCCGTAGTAAAAATGAGCTTTCCCTAATTCCTCAAGCAGCTTGTCCAATTTTTCTTTTTCATCCAGACGTGCCACGGCCTTCTGCACGAATGCCATGACCCTAGAAATTACAAATAATAGTAATTAAATTATGTAGGATTTTTCTCAACGAAACAATCACAGGTGGACAAAATATACCATTTTTATAAGGACTCTTGGGGTATACAAGATTAGGGAAGCTTAGAAATAGCCTGAAATTATAAAAATATGGGACAGGCTTTGGTTCATAACAATGAAAATGGGACAACATTGATGGGCTTTGGACATTACACTCTAATATGTGCATAGATATGATAGAACAAGTTACGCTTCCCTAGTCCCACATCTTTCTGGTCTAATTTCCAACCACTCAGTTGAGGTTTCCTTTGTGCATGACAATTCTGCAGCTCCCTTCCGACCAACTCTAGACTCGGGGTGGGTGCAAGTTTAATTTACGGTCACACTCAGGCACCAGGACGAGCAACCAGAGTCAGGAATTGTATATAGTGCCAGTTCGTTTTAGAGGATGACTACTTGGAGTAAAACTGAGCTAGAACACCAGAATATCGTATATCTCGTCAGTCTCTTTCTTCCTCGAGCACGATTAATTAACGATCTTTACTTGTTCTCAGAACCCTTCCATCCGCCTTGTAGAATGAAACGAGAAAAATCCTCAAATTTAATTACCACAACGTTTCGTGTGTTGTACTATCTCTTTTCTTATGCTCGAGGAGAGCAAAATGAACGTAAATCGGAATGGCCTTATTCCGTATACCTTAATTGTATCGTCGACAGTACAATGTTTCGAAGCGGATATATTGGTTAATTTGTCAGAAATGCGTCCAATTTAGTAACAGGAAGTTACCTTAAAGCGTGAGCGCGTAATTGTTTGCTGTGCTGGAGTTCCTCATGTTTGATTCCATTGAACGGTAAAAACACCTCCTTGACATCAGGGTGTGTTTCAAACAGTCTGAAAGTGACAAAAGTTAGAAATATATTTGTAATACGAAACGGAAATTAAGGTTTCCTCTTTAGTTTTAGTGAGGAATCATTTCTGAAGTGTACACGGTATGCACTTACTACTTGCGTATAGACCCATCCATTTTTTGTGCAATGTATTATTATTAGTACATGTATAAATGTTCTAAAATTTCATCCTTTACTTTCTGCCTGGCAGGCTCAACGAAATGCTTTAGGTTATTTTTCCAAGGCTTTCAAATGAACAGAAAATAGAGTCATTTTAAAATGCTGTGAAAAATTGAACAATTCACGAGAGCAAGTTGACAAGCGGACAAATATCCATTTTGTGCCATACAAAATAGTTATGCTCAAGAAGGGTGGTGCGAATCCTTCTTCATTCTATCAACTGATTGAAATGAAGTAACAAAAAGTAGGAGAAAGCACGGAACAAAACTGTTTTCTAATGAAAGAATCTCCAGCAAAACCTCCAAAGCCAACCAAATTCCAGTTTCAATGGACAACCATGTCGTCGTTGCGGCATTCATCGTAAACTATATAGTCGGAGCTGTGTGGATATTTAGGACACAAGATGCATGTATATACTACGCTTTGGGGAAAAGTTGGTAGTTTGTTGTACACAATCTTTTTGTCTTTTACGCCTTTGAATCATGAAAAGAAGAGTCGAAGACAGCAAGCCCTGGAGATGAGAACAAGAGGGCAGGAAAGAAGAAGCAGGAAGTTAAGCAAGATTCTTGACATGTGTGTACATACATATACCAAATATCAAGACTCTTATTTTCGTCATCACGTGTTATAAAGTTATGAAGGTCTGTATTGAATTTACTGAAGTACAATTATCAATTCAATACAAATGTTTAGGCACGCATTGGGTTGTGGGCCCTTTAATAATAAGTATTAAGCACATACATATAGTTACATAGACAGATGCACGGTTTTATAATTCTGTCGAACGATGTGTATTAACTCTTGGATGAAATTTTGGAATTTTTAAAACAGACCAGTGATCAGGAAACAAGTTGAGATGGATATTAGATATATCTGGGATCACGAATATGTTTATGAAAATTCGAGCAAAATTTGATTTTTAATGATGGTTTTAGGTCAAAATCGATGAGAACGACTGGACAATTGTTTAACAACATTTTGTCGACTTTGAAATCCGATCAAGCTTATGCTTGGTAAGCATTAATGACCGAATTTAATGAAACCAATTAACAAGTCGGTAAGTGAAGCAATGCAAATAGTTTTTCACTTTCACTTTGTCCCTTTGCGCACAATATATAATGTACACACAGCATATTCTTTGTGGACACACATCTGTACATACAACACGTACCAGAGAGCGTCCAATGCTTTCTACGTAAGGACGCGTCTGGAGACTTGGACTACATAAATTCGTCCCAATTCAGCTTGTTTGTGTCATGAAAGCTTCTGATTTACAAGCCAAGTGTGGACTAGATAACTCGTTCCATCGCATCAACACATATTTGCAGCTTATACTGTAGATGAGGGAGTCCCATGAGTGTTATAATGATCGGAAGAAGGACAGGTTTCACACGAGGAATTAAATAAATGTCAAGGATTAAATAACTTGGCGGAGGCGATATACAAATAAAATACAAGTGCCAACGCCCAACAACTCCGAAGTTTTTGAAAATGAGGATGATGATGATGTGGGAAGCGAAGATAACTTTATATTACATAATGAAGAAATAGGGGCTGAAATTAGTGGAACTGCATCATGCAAGCACTTATAAGTATTTAGTCGTTGGCAAAGTGCAAACTGCAAGGACAATGGTCGGCAACAGTCCTTATAGATGCATAAAATAATGAAATGCCATCTTTATCACATGCTGGTGGGCCACAATCTCTGGCATTTGAGTCCTTAGTGGCAACTCCCACTGACTTTCACTCTAACGATTAGTAACTAAAGTTCAAATTTTCAGTCGAGGATGAAATGTTTTTCATACTTTCATGGTTGTGTGTTCAATATGATATGAGATCCAAGATTATTTCATACATCTTCCAGACTGTCAATTTCAAGACACATCACATGTTTACATATTATTCATATTGCTTGTGACAAGATTCACGCGTTTTTAATAATTCAACACATAGCATGTGCGATAGAAGAATGTAAGCATAGAAATATTTATATCGGATGTAAGCTAGTTGAGTTAACTTTCATGCACAATACATATAACCAACACATATAAATTAAGTAGGTATGTGTGTTCGTCGTGTTCGTCCATACTATTGATTTTTCTTAGGTGAGGCAAAAGTAAGCATGGGTGCCCGAAAAAAAAGTCACCATGGTTACGGCGAAGCCTAAGTATGCTTTCGTATATACCCTTTGAAAATGTCAAGAGGGGTAGAGCCTAAACGGTTAAAGATAGCCAAAAAGTGTAAAAGGCAATCGTGCAGAGGATAATGAGGAGATGATGTTTTACAGCTTTCTCGGTAGAAAAGTTGTATCGTGGGCTCTCTAATCTCGATTTGAAATTTTAGAATCGAAATTTGAGACACTTGCACCAAACGACTATATGCATAAAACCTGATTTTATCATGCAGAAATCGGTTGTGCCTCATTTAAAGCAAATCCGATGGAGATTGGTTTAAAACTAAAAAAGTTTTGATGGAGGCATCTGACACTACTCATGTTGCTAAGCATTCATCATCAGAATTATGATATTCTTAGCTGGTTGTTCTTAACAACCAGTATACAAATTTTCTATAAATGGAGCTACAGTCCGTTTACGATATGACCCTCCACGTCACCACTGCAATGCTATTAGTAATGAGAGTGATGACGTCGAGGATCGTATCGTAAAAAACAGGAGTAGTTGTGTTATGAAATTGCAACACAGGTACATATGTACCTTATATGAAGTGCCTCAATATAACCAACCGAATGACCGCTTAGAAAACAATTGAAGGCACACTTGCTGGTTGAAGTTGTGGTAAATCCTGATTATTAATCCGGACTAGGGATTGACGATTATCATTCCATACTATTTCGAAAAGTATGGAAGACAATATGGAAATGAGACCCATTATGCTCCCCAAGTAAAACTATTTCGCACGATGTGGGAGTCGTCCCACGTTTGTGCTCCGTATGGTTTTGACGCTAAGACGTTTTAAAAAAAATTCATCATGGTCGACTATTTTGGATATAAATACGTAAGTATAAGTAACAGCAGAAGGGGACATTTACCAAAATTTAGAGTAGTAATTTTTTTACAAAATTTGTATTTGAACCAAATTTCTACCTACTATAATTTCTGAGAAAATTACAATCAAACTGAGTGGTATAATTCCTTGCCAACTCTCTTGTGGTACCTTAATCCCTTAGCCGAGAAGAAAAGCAATTCCACTCTCAGCCCACTCTGTAAGCGAAAGTAATTACCAAATTATTTAACCGAATTTCAACCAGTGATGTGAAATATAAAATTAGAGTTTCTTAAACGCGTGGTAAATTAGTTTTTCAACCTCCTATGGGTATTTTCAACTGATTTTGTATTTTGTCTTCAGTTTAAAAAAAACTGACAATATTTGAAATATAGTTTCACAATTTCGACCAGTGTAATGAATTGTCTGAAAATGCATAACCCTTAAAATTATAAAATAAAATAATTTTAAAAAAGCTTGCTTAGGTGAGGCGCTGCTAAAAGTGAAAAACAAGACCTCTGGGGATCTCTTTTAAATATCTCGTCCCCTCGTCATTGTAACAGGAATTGGTGGCTTTGCATCACCGCGAGGCCAAACATTTTACGCTAAGCTTCTATTGGCTTCTAACAATCAAAATAATTCGTTAGAGAAAAATATGGGTTTACAAATTTTTCAAAATTATCATTATCACATTCTCATTCGTATTGAAAACTAGTTGTGCTATTAAACACTTTAAAAATATATGTGGTATCCTCCAAATGTGTTCGTCGGCATTTTCATTTCTTAAAATACAAACCCGCATAAATAATGACGCACAGCGCATGCCACATACATAGGTATATACATTATTGAACCTTACATAAAATTAAGAAATATCTAATAGTTACACCAGTCTTGATACAAACAGTTACTGTATTGAGTTATTTTGAATAGCTAATATTCCAATACATATCTACTACCGTTGATAACACTGTTGATAAAACTGTAATTGTTAATGCAGCCATGGGTCAAGATGGAAATACTATTCTTAAATTTACGAACCGAGACAACATTTCTGAAATTCGTCAAACGTGGTTGAAGTGATGTGCATAAGACGTGCGGAAAATTGTACACGTCCTTCAAATTTTACTAGCTGGCTGAAGTACTGGCTAACCATTGAATTAAATTGTTAGCTATATAAAGATATTTTACTACTTGGTAAATTATGCATTATTTACATCCTCCGCAAGTTTTAGCAAACTCAACTCAGGTTTACAAGCCGTCCGAAGCAATAATCGTTTGTTTAAGCATTAATCCATACGTACATATATTGGCACAATTTTAATTTGTAATAAATATCTACAATTTGTATACTCTTAGCAGCAAATGTAATTTGTATTTTCGTCGTTGTGTGTAATCAACGGGGTGGCATGTTAATGTTATATGGTCAAAATGTTTGGCCTCGCGGTGATGCAAAGCCACCAATTCCTGTTACAATGACGAGGGGACGAGATATTTAAAAGAGATCCCCAGAGGTCTTGTTTTTCACTTTTAGCAGCGCCTCACCTAAGCAAGCTTTTTTAAAATTATTTTATTATAAATGTAATATAACAGTATTATAATAGTGACACAATAATGCGTGTGCACTATGTAAATAGTTACAAATATAGGTACATACATGTACCTATTCATTTAGATAATCTCTTTTACCTTAGGTTTGAACCATTATAAACCACATATTCTCGATACTTTCAAACGAACATTCAAATTGGCTTGTCAGATTTTGGTAACCTGTACGAGGTACATATGTGGGTGAACTTGGAAACTTTTCTAGCGAACGAAAACAAAGCCGAAACTTGTATCATGCTATTTGCTAACTGTTGGTACAATTTGCTCATGTTCAATCGAGAGTAACATGTATTTATATGCACATATGTTCAGCAAAATAAATTTCCGGAACAAATTGAAATGATGAGTTGAAAATGATGATGCGGGTTATATTTCAATTTCGTAGGAAATGCAGCATTTACCAAAACCGGTATACATACATACGTGCTTACAAGGTTGAGAATATTGAGACTTGTCGTCACTTTTTCCGGCTGACGCCATCCAGCCGTATGGACGCAACATTTCGTCATTCGCCCACTGACGTCCAAATGTTCTGGCCTAAGATGGTGGCTTTGTTTGGTTTCACAAATGTCCTTTTAGTTCAGTTGGAAGTTGGAGAATGTAAATGCAGGGGTTTGAAGGTTGGGCCGTGAAGTGGATGAATAGAAATGGGGATTAAATTGAATTTTCTAAGGACCCCATCTTCAGATGAACTCCCCTAAATTGTATATTCGAATGACACCCGCATCTGAGTCAAATGCCTGCATAGTGCTAGACAAATATTTCAATTGTGAAGAATGGAATAATCCATTTATTTGTTATTGAGAAACATGCGCTGGCATTTTGTTGTTAGATTTAAATAAAATAGTATGACGATGCAGAATATTTAGTCACAAAGTTTCGTGCCAGAAATGAGCTAACCAGACTTGATGAACATGCTAAACTTCAATCCTTTGTGTTTATGCACTTCATTGAATATATATGTATGCACATGTAGGTACGCTATTTTTCAGTATTTGGGCATTGGAGTGGTTGATACCGGGTGCATAAACTTTATGCACCCTGGGTTGATACATTGATACATTGATTAGTGGAGATTTCGAGTTTTATGCATATCACTTCGGCCTCGTCCTAAGCTGAATTTTTAACGTGGTGTCTTCTTATTTGTAGACACCGTGATCTGTTCATGTATTTTAATTTTCAGAGAGGGTGGAACAAATCCTACAATGTCATTAAAGTTGCTCAAAAAAGAAATCGCATTGCAATTATTCTGCACATTAATGTTGAGATGCTGAAATAGCTTAGGAATACGAAAATCGGGCGTGTGATAAGGACCCCGGAAGCTTCTTGGATAACTCGAGGTTTTAACTCTGTTTGCACTATGCGTTTCTAGTTAAATCAATTGAAACTTTTCCATTCACATCAGTAGCAGGGCAAAGTCAGTTAATCACTGTATCTAGCAAAATCTTCATTTACATCCACTTGAACTTTCCCCATTTTTAGTCGCTGTTGGTCTCCAATATATTGGAGAAGAAATGAACCAAGAATGCATTAGATAAATAAATATAGTGGATATCCTCCTGCAAATTCCTAAAAGCGCCTCAAGTTTTATTTCCGAAAAAGCACTCAAAAGACAATTGTCCACGGGCACCACCCTACTTTCTCCATCCACGGTCTCATCCATTTTATAAATCTTCCATCCATGCACTGCAACTCCCAAACTCCGTTCATCTCGAATATCTTTAAAACTCTCTTCGATATTTCGGTAGTGATGAAGCAAAGAATAAGATTGAAAATTCAGAATTCGCTAAGAAAGAAACTCAGGGCTGCCTGCACTTCGTTTCATCCGCAATAATCCGCGTTCTTGACTTGAGGTTTCCCCCTTTATCTACATTTTTTATTCCAAATTTCCGTGCATATAATACTTGGGAACTGTAAAAGGAAGCAACAGTATAAAAAGATGCTGGTCCTTTAATCAGGACATATAAATCTTCATTTCAAATAATCATTAATATTCATTCTAATTCTGAAGAGCTTAGCTTGTATTATTATTCATTCTAAGTAGGAGAGGTTTAAGAGTTATATAATATTATACTTTTTTCATAAACTATTCATTAAAGCCAATTTGGTGTCTAGTGCAGATCCCTGAAAATATGAAATATTTTAAAATATGTATTTTATACTGAAGCAAATATCTCTCCACACAGATCAGGATCTGAGTACGACAACAATGTCCTTCAAACTAACGTAGGGATTCGATCCTAATTTTCATAATCACATCGCACTAAAGTCAAAGGCTAATTAAGTATGCACAGAGAGTGCTTTAAATTGAAATGGTTGTTGAAACACTCAAGAATTTTCTTAGTTCCCTTTACACATTCTGTCAAGACATTCTTTCGAAGCGACGGCTTTCCAACTCAAACTTTTATACATACATATACATGAAAGGCAAAGATGGCAACATGCTTTGAAAAGAATGCCTTATCTGCCCTAAGAAAATGTACGCATCCCTATCGCGAGCTGAATAGAATTTCATTCGTTCCATTTGCTCAAACGAAAGTCTTTTAGCACATGTAAATTTTCTAAAAAGCGTTCTAATTCAATCAGCAGTTCGTACATATCTCACTCTACACATCCCTTCGCATTAACTTTACTCTAAACCCCATCACAGCTACAAAGAACAAACCAATCCGTTGAATAGAATGGTTATATTTGCCCAACTAAAACTCATCCATTTAAAAGTAGTCGAAAAGTAGTCGACTCAATTGAAACTCACATCTCCATCAAGAGGAAGTGTCAAACATAGGGAAGCAGTTTAACTTTTCAAAAAAAGTAAAAGATTTTTCTGTAAAACTCGTTTATATGTCTGTACGTGTTTCATACAAATTGTTCAATCAGTAACAATTTGACGTTTGTAAGCACCTTATAATCAACAACTAAATACATGACTGTTTCCGTGCGCTGTGAAGGGAGAGAGAATGAAACAAATATTTGCATACTGAATTTATACACTGACTGAAGAGAGCAAATCTTTCGTACTTTCCGGCAACACTCGCAAGCAATATTTTTTATCGCCTTTTTACTTTGATAAAGTTTACTCATGGTTTTTTATACTTGGATCTACGCCTGTAGAACGCTGTGCGATTAGTGTGCGTCATTCCCATTTATCGTCTAAATCTCTGAGCAGGAACCGCCTACCAAGTCCTTCCTTTCCATGCAACGGAGAAAGCAAGAAATCACAAACGTCCAAGTTGACGATGAGCAATCAAGTGTTTGCGTTTATCTCGTTTAAACTTGAACAAGTTGTCACACGTCTACATCATCTGGTGTAGGACTGCAGATTGAGAGTGAGAATAATTTTTCAGAGTCGAAACTCTAGGCCTGTACCACCAGAGAAAGTTGGGACAAATAGTTTAGCTGGAAAGTAAATCATCCTATTAGAACGTTTATAATTCCTGCCTATGTTATGTTATGTATGCCTCACAGATCTCAGAGTGAGTTACACAAAATGTTTAGGGCTCTACCATTAGAGTTAAATTTATTCCGTCTAATTTTAGTATTCTGGTGATTAAGCCGATGATACAAATAATTAGCAAACTTTTGAAATGAGAAGACAATATAAATGGAGTCTATTAAACACAATTAAGTTAATATACACAGAATTGTGGAATTTTTCTAGTGTACAGAAACTAACATACCCTTTTAAAGAGTGTACTATTTTCTGCATAGGTCTTGGTAGAGCTCAGGCTTTCACAGAAATGGCAGTTCGTACATATTATTATTATGTGTCGGATCGGATCATCGGATGAGAGAAAGTAGCAGTTTTAATAAGACGACGGAGAAGCTGTCGTGATGATCAAAGGGTGCGAAGCGCTTGCAACCACGACTGAGGATGAGATGAATTCAATAATATTTGGTCTCTAACACGGCAAGGCAGGAAGCCAGCAGCAGCGTATGTTCGGAGGACGAATGAGCTGCAGAAGCGTTAAAAGCTTTTCTCTCTGGTTGGAGAAATCTTATTCGCACTTTATTGGTCCCACAGGCTGTCGCTTTCACGATGCAAAATCAGATCGGTGGTGGTGACGTGAAGTATTTAACCTGTCGCCTAGTCTGTACAAAGTGAAAATTCTGTACATTGACATCCAGGACTACTCATGGGGTTAATTGCTACCCGTGTGACAGATTTAAAAGCCATTTGTGACGTGTACAAACTTTCCACCAATAGAAAGCTAACATTACTGGATTGTATTAAAAGCAAACATACACATGGACGCATACCTAAGTACAATCTTATGCTGCATGCTGACTGATTGCTTCAAAGAGTGAAGGAATGAAGAACGGAATAAAGGGGTCGATGGAAGCCCAAGTATTATTACTGGGTCACTCTGACATTTTTATTTCAGTTGCTCTTCTTCCACTCTATTTATTTGTTCCAGAAAACACTTTAAACCTTCTCTTGTACCGACACAAGTAGGCAATCATGTGTGAGATCCTCCTTCTTAGAACGTCTTTCTTGATGCAAACACAAAGTCTACTACAAAAAGTAGACACCTACGTCTCTTATACGGTGTACCGTATAAGAGTGCATTGAGTACTTTGGCAAAGTACTCAAGTGCAATTGGTCGAATGAAATTACAATTTCGTGAGCGCGATCGAATAAGGTGTGAATTGTTGCAAAGTTACATTTGTCTGTTACATTTGTCTGAATATGCCTGGAATTTTCACCTAAATAAAAGTGTGGATTTGGTGTATCCAGCATAGTAGCAACTGAGACTAATAAAAGTAGTTTTATACTGAATCTAATTTATTAAAAATATATGTGTAGTAATTGTATTTTATGTAAATATGTATTCTAATATTTCAAAAACTCTAAGGAACAGCCATGTAAGAATTTCTAGAAAGAAAAGACAAGAAGTCAAGAACTAGCAACGTGCAAGAATGTAAAAAAAATACCCATGATGGAACTCACAGATATGTACAATTGAAATTGGAGGAAACACGTTGAGCTCAGTTTTCCTCTTGAGGGGCTCCATCTTATTTGAACTCGTATGCTTATTCCATGACATGTCAAAAGATGTGGGCGGAAGATGACTTACGAGACGAATGTGATGACCCCAACGCGGCTTATGTCAGCTTCGATAAGTTTCCAGCTGGTCCTGATGAAGATTTTTTGCTCCTCCGTGAGCCACTCGACGGGAGGGGGGCCACAAAGGAGCAGCCTCGCCTGGCTGCTCACGGTAGAATGTTTTCTGGGTGGAAGGGAGGGCGGGTGGTGGGGCGTCGAGTGCGGAGGTGGGTGGTCACTCGACTCCGACTCCTGTCTCACGATGGCATTCCCCATTTGGCGACAAAAAAATTATGTTTCTTAAATCTTCTGGTGTTGCTGCGGCTAAGTAATGCTTGTTCTATTTGGTGACTCTCTAACGACAATTCTTTTACCCACCAGTTTGTTGTCAACCTAATAATAACAGAGCAATTCACTTAGTCGGACTGTTGGCTTGCTTTACTTTCTTTTCTCCTTTCTCCAATTTTTGGCTGCTCTGCTGCTTCCTTTTTCACATCATCTCCTCACCGATTCCCGTATTGAGAGAGCAAATTGGAAATCCACAGGAAAAAAAGACACATGAGGTATTATTCTCTGTAAAAGGAAGAAAGTTGTTGAGACTTGAGAGATGAGGCGTAATCCTGAGACTTGTCACTGCTGCGGAGGCGTCTCACATTGAACCAAACAATGAGCACAACTTTTACAATAAGGTCTCTTCCCTTCCCTCTGTGCTAGCATGAGAGTGTAGAAATTTCAATTAGGCGTAGCGTAGGTTAGCTGCGGAACCAAAGTTGATTAGCTGCCTTGTTCTGTCGTCTTTGGTCAAACAAGATGTGCAGTGAAGCTGAAACACAAAGATACATCTGTTGAACTGGCATAAAAACGTATAAAGTGTCACCCATTCCAGATAAGATAAGGTATTAAGATATTTACTGTATGGAGGATGGAGGTATTTTTTCTTAGGTGAGGCATAGTAACCATGACCACATGAAAAAGTGCATGGTTACGGCGAAGCCTAAGAATGCAAACAGACCCCCCTTCCAAATATTCTGCCAAAGATTGTGGCAAAACGGCTAATCGTATCAAAATGGTGTAAAAGGCAATCGTGCAGACCTTGCTGAGAAGATGATGCCCGTCAGGTCTAGAGACACGACAATCTTATTTTAACCCATTTAAAATCGAATTTAAACTTTAAAACGACTGGCAAATTCACTTTTACCGTGCAAAGGTCATGACTCGTCCATGTTTTAATGTGCGGAAATCTATAACGTGTCATTTAAAACAAACCCGAACGAAATCGGATAAGAAATGAAAGACTTTTCTTGGTGGCACCTGCAACCAGTTACACACGTTAATTATAATGGTTCTGCATTAATTATAATAAATCTACGTTTCTATTAGGAACAAGCACAATGGAAACATGCAAGATCTGTATGTATGCACTTTTAGAAATCCAGTATAAAAATAGTACCATGCGGTATTCAGAAATGACTACGAAAGTGGTATTGATAAGTAATACTGTGCGGTAATAGCTTTACTATATCGGTAGTAAAGTCTTACCATAACGCATAATTTTAATACTAATTGTAAGCAGTAGAAATAGAATTCTATTAGAGATTTCTAACAGAGTGTATATGCATGCATAATGAGTTGGTGCATTTCTTGACTATGAGTTCACGGGAAATTTAATTGGGTATGCCACGCATCCACACCCACTGGGGAATTATTTAGTATTCCACGCATACTAAATAATCTTATGGACTTATGGGGATTTAATTTGGTATCTATTATTGGTGACAGCTTAAAGAGACTTAAAAACAAAAATAAACTAATTCTTAAAAAAAACTTAGGTGAGGCTTGCTTAAAAGGAGAAAACAAGCGGTTATCATCGTGTATTAGAATAATGTGCTAAATCAATTTTCATCTCATGATTTATAATTTTCGGTAAACAGAACAGCAAAGTATATGCGTTTGGGACCATTTGCCTCGCCGTGGGCCGTTTTGTGAATTAAAATAACTTTAAAATTTATTAGTGTTCAGAGAATTTGTTACACACATGCGGCAAATACGTCGAATACATAATTTGTTGGTTAATTTTGCTATCCATAATCGATTTCTGATCATATTTACCAAGCGTGGGTTAATTTCCAATATTACATTAATTACATACAATAGTAGAACATGAATTTTTAAAATCTTTACCTATTCTAGAAATATATTCAAAGACTGCAAAGTCACAAATTAACAAAGCTTAAATATAGCACAATTTGAATATTTATGTAAGATGACATATTTGAATTGAATTAATCACGGCCCACGGCGAGGCAAATGGTCCCAAATGCATATACACACATTATTCTAATACACGATGATAACCGCTTGTTTTCTCCTTTTAAGCAAGCCTCACCTAAGTTTTTTTTTAAGAATTAGTTTATTATTAGATCAGTTAAGGAAATAGCAACCGTTGTTACAAATTGGATCGCCATGTGGGCAAGGACATTATTTTTCTCCATTCTAGCATAAAGAAAGTGGAGTTGATGGTACATGCATAATAAAGGTCTTCTCTCCATGTTTCGAAATTCTGAGAATGTGGTTCTTTTATAAGTTTCCTTTCTCCCAGAGCTGTCAATTTCCCTTCTCGTGGCCCAACAACACATGCATACCAAATGAAAATAACTTATTATTAACTTATCAACTTATTATTTCCAACTGTAATTGCGAACCGAAAAAAATTCTTTGTAACAAAATAACCATGCATTTGAGTCAAAAAATGTTTTACTAGTTTAAACCCAAGTTTATAATTATGCGTTTTTAAAAATCTAATATCATAGAAGCAAGTCGTTGGTTGAGATGTTTTTAAATTGATTTTGTGGACCATTACCATCATAAACTCTTTACAAACTATTTTTATATGCTAGTGGCGAGATAGGAATGCTACCATTCAGACTAAACGTCTCTCTTATTTAGGACTACGACAACATACAACATACAGCATGCATAATAAAATTATACAATTTTGTGTGCATTCGTATTCGGTCCATGTCCAGTGCTGTTCTTGTTTGTGCGTGACAGATGCAGGGCATTTCTTTTGTGACTGTTGTTGTATGTAAATAAATACAGCTTTTCTTTGAACTGGCTTAGAGCTGTCTTAGAAGAACTAAGAATGAACAACCAAAAATAATAAAACGTTCAGTGGAATTTCTCTTAGCCCACCCCAGGTTAAATACAATCCATTACTTTGTTCTGACAATTTTTAACGTATCATATCTACATAATGAGGAACTTATCTGCGACAGAAATCATCTTTTGTGATTTTCAGATACCAAAAATGTGGATTTTAAATGTGCCTCCACCTAATTCATCATGTAAGATAACGACACCAAAACTAGTGGGAGGATCGTTGACTACAACGAGTCACCCAGGGAATTTTTTTTAGCTTTTACATTTTGACACGTACCAAATTCCGAATCAATCAGTTAACCCTAAGGTTTTGACCCTAAGTTCTAGCATAAGGTAAAGTTATCACAGGACCATGATGGTTTCATAAGCTCTGTTCCGGAATACAATTGTGGCAAATATAATGGAAAGCATTATCCACAATTAACAATGAAAAATGAGTGTAAGTAGTTGGAACGCCCTCACACAGATTACAAGTACCTCTTTTACTTGCATATCATGCAGGCAGAGTTCGAAAGAGGTAAAAGGATATATGTGACATACATGCTTCAGATGTGGGAAAGCAGAGATTTTGGAGTCATGATGGGAAAGCAGTGACGGTTTGTTGATGATGATAGTGCAGTGGAAAATATTATGATGACATGCCATATGCTAGCAGCCAGGCAAACAACGCGGCGACAGATTTTCTTGGATAGAGACTTGAATTTAGAATCTTGTGTCCTCCCCTGGGAAATACTCAAGATTTCACTTGCATCCTTCATCCGTCCATCCATGCATGTGTGGTAGCAGTATAAAATTGAGTAAGGATGGGAGGACGTGTGGAATGGCTTATTACTGAATTCCTTACATGTATGTATTGCTTGTCATCATTCTGTCTCTTTGTTTCAATCTCAATAGTCCTTGGGCTGAGAGTGTTGAAGGGCTGAGAGTGTTGAAAGTTCTAAGATTACTGCTCAACAAGCTCATTTGTGCTGGCCATGCGAGCATGACTGAAATGAACTGACGACGCAACAAGAGGAGGCAGAGGACAAAGAAAGAAAAGGAAACCAAGGACAAGATGAGAAATTCCTCTCAAGTGTCAGTTTTCAACTTTCTCCAAGCCACTGAACAAAGTAATATAGAAGAGCTCTTATTTGAATTCAGAAGAATGTAGGCACAACAATATCGGGGATGCTGGGACGCGTCTAACTCACTTATGTATGTATTTCTCAATTTTATTGTTAAGCAATTCAGGAGGAACAAATACGACCAAAGACAGCAAAATAATAATTATTATTTTTGAGTGGTACTATATTAAAACTATAATACTGGATTACAAAAATGTCTGTTATAAATACATGCATAAATTGGCAAAAACCCTTTATTTCTTTCTTAAATACGTGCCTATTATCTAAATGGTAGCAGGTACGCTTAAATATAGATAATAATTGAAATTTTAAGCTTCAATAATACTACTTCCTGGACTGAAATAATAGTTCACTTCTATGAATATCGAATATTTATAATTAGTACATAAATACGAAGTGGGTGGCCATCCGTTGTATAGCGTATGTTTTGTGTTCATAACCGAAGCCGTAGACATATTTAAAACTGGGCTTCTACAAATTTTATAATTTATTGTGTAGGAGAATAGCAATGGATTATGAACTTATAACTTTGTCGGCAAACACTGACGACCTCCTTCCCCATATCTCCCTAGTTATTGCTCCAAAAACTTGGATAAGAGCTAAAAGTGAAGAGTTATCTGCACCCGACACCAATTTCATAAATACTACTATGCCACCCAACCAACCAAAGCGCTGGATTATATTGTTCATGGAATTGAACCACGCTGCGCCTTCCCAGGATTTTGATGTGTATTCTATCTTTAAACCTCCTATACTTACTAACGTTGTCCTATTATAGATCCCCGGATATTTATCCAACACGAGATATTGAGAATCTCAGGAATGGAATAATATACTCTGAGAATGAGAATCTCAGAGTGTGTACAACGTAAGACGTTGGTTGCTTTTGGAAATGGAAGGAAGGGAAAACTTCACAGAACTTGGAATAGGGCAGAATTTAATTGTGTCCAAGTTTTTCACTTTATTCCGTGAAACTAATCTTTACGTTCCTCAACGAATCTTGGCGTCACGAATTGTATTGTTATTGAGGTATGCACGATTTTAACTGCGAACAAACGATTATCCGTTTTAATCGCGATTATTCTTTAAATGTATTGCATGTATTGCATTAATTATGAGAAGCAATACATTTTCACAATATACATACATACTACTGGACGATGATAAGTTGGTTCATGGTTGTGTATTATGTGCGGTGTTTTGTATCACTGCGTTACTTATGCCAAAAAAAACCTGTTGTCTCTACATCCCTCGGGGTTACACGAAGCTCTAACAATTTATTCCTTCCCTTATTTCAGGCTAAAAAGCAATACTTCAAGAAAATTAATCAGTTTATTATAAAAATATTTGCATGATTTAATGCGTGAATTTCATATATGATTTTCTCTTGAATCAGAATTATATGTAAGTAACACGTTTGAAATTTGAATAGAGGCACGTAATGTTCACAGTGGAATGATGTTTCCTGTTTGCTTTCACCTTCATGCTCAACTGCACCCGTTCGCTTATCAGCTTGTAGAGATTGTAGAAAAATAGTTACAGATAACTCGGTAAATTTCTACCAAAAGGAGACCTGACTTGCTCAAGTTCAGCTAACTATAGCGAACAATATCTATATTACTGGTGGTGATTGTTGCTTCATGTTCTTGGGGCGAGTCTGGCTGACTGTAACCTTATTAACGTTTTACTTGCTACAATAATGACAGAATTTATAATGGAGACTTAACTGAAACATATTTCTGTTGACCCAAATTCAATGGATGCTTAGAGTAGAATGGATATGAGCTGGCTTCTTTTTATTTGTTTAGAGAAGGAACGAGGGAAACTCTTTGGTTGTAATTTTCCCTACTTCCTTTCCTTATGCCAAAACTTTTCAACTTCCACTAATACCAGAAAAGACCAACATTTTCCACAAGGATTCGGATGCCCTCCATCCTTCCGGATGAACATGAACCTTCAGTTTGGCTTCAATTGTTTTCTTTCTTATTATTTACTTTTAGTTTTCCTACCTTTTCCTCCGCTTATTCGCCAATCCCTGGACAGACAGACAAACTATCAAAACAAGGCATCATCAATGAAGCACAATTCCCAAGCAGAAAGAAGAAGTTGATACAGTTGAGGCAGTCGTAGACGGATATGCATTACGATATATCTATAGCTTTAAGATTCATTATACTTTGAAATTACTTATGTTACGTCAACTCCATTTTTTGATTACCATAAAATTAGAATAAATCAGACTGGCCTAAAATTGTATTCACGAGCTGAATTCAAAATATATAAAATGTTCCAAGCTGTACACTATGTATATACCAAAAATTTTGGAAACTTTTATCTCGGGTGGTAAAACCAAGTCTTACAGACATACGCACATTAGATCGTTGACCAAACATGGGAAGAACTTTGAGACCGTAATAGAATTGCTTATAGTTAAAATGATTTGGCTTACGAGTGAGGACAGTGGTGAGAAAAAATCTGCTGGTGATAACTTGATCAATGTTTCGATGCTGTAGTGCAACGTGCGAATAGCAGCATAACTAATTCGGTCTGAAGTGAGACTAGCAGAGAATGTGATGTGCACTTTCTTTTCGTTGGTAGAACGGTATTGCTCTACAACGAGGGCAGATCCATGACTTTCCTCCGCACTATCGTCAGCCGAGACTGGCGAAAGTTCCCAAAAGTCCTGGTAGACATTCAGGAGGTTCATAGTTCAGCAGGATAAATTCCCAGTTTCAACTGAGGCACGCGCTTCTGGCTTCTGAACGCCATCGTCCTCATCACATACTGATGCCCATGGTCAGCCCATGATGCAGCGACCCTACGTAATGCATACATACTTCATTCATCCTTTTATTGTTAGGATCAGTCATCCTCACATGTAGATAAATTAGGTAGAGTTGCGCAGGATAGGAAATTAATTATGAGGGCTCATTTTGCTTATTAATATACAATTGGGAGCCAGAGGTACTGACTGTTCAAACCGATACACTGATATGCCATAGGACATAATCAAAGGGAAAGCCTGATACACGATTGTTTCATCAGCTAATTTAATATTTACTATCAAATTAAAAGCTGCGTACGTAACTTTAACATTTGTGCACGTAGTACGTACTCATTTCACGTTTCAAGTATACACACACAATCAAACTGTCAAATCCTTCACACCTAGAAATCTTCTCTCGAAACAGAGTTTTTCCATTGAGCGAGCTGTTTTTGGGATAGAATAAATAATCCATCTTGCATAGTTAGTTTATCCATTTGTCGTGTGGTTATTCGCCCTATTCATAGATTTTGTTCTACTTGGAATCAGATTCCCCTGCTATTACTAAACATTCTCCAACGAGATACATATGGAGGAACATACATAAACGAAACATGCTGGATATTTCAGGGTTCTGAAAATGCCCATGGTTCGGATTTGTGGATGGTGAACCATGGGAATGGGATGAATGTTTACAGAGCCTTCTCTAAAATGAGGGTTGACTTGACTGACTGAGTAATAGTTTCTTGAAGCTGTTCGCCAAATTTATTTCTGTGAGTCGATTCGGTGGACCAGCAGCAGAGAGAAAGCATGAGATTCCCTCTGACTGATATTCACCGAGAAAGAAAATAGCAGTTGGTTGGTTTAATGCAATAATTTCTGAGAACAATGGCGAGTGGTCCTCCTGCTGCTAGAGCACTTGTGAACCTCTCATTACTATTATTCGAAGGAAAATATAGACTTTGCCAACCTCGGCGCAGCTTTCCGTCAAGGCAAGATGACGGATGCGATTAGCAAATAGCGACTGATGATGACGATGGCGTAAAACTACTCAAGCTTGTTCCCAATATGTAACACCAGATTGCTTGTCCACATTTATTATGGGTCGATAAATCATTTATGATAAACAAACGTTACATGCAGACATGTCAACCTTGTATACATAAATGTGCACCACCGATTCCTCAGCTTGAAATTATTAGCTCACAACTTTCAATGATAATAATATGATCATATTAAATTGATTTACTATTTGCAAAACACTCACAAACTTGATCACGATGACGCTCCCTGGTGCTATCCAGTTACACATGCTCACAAAAAGATCCTTTTGATTTGGCAATTCGTCAGGCAATCAATCTGATTTCCGTTCTCCGGAGGTGGTGAGCTGCTGTGGGGCTTCATAAATCATTACAGAAAAAGAAAAGACTTTGTAACATACTCTTAAATCAAGCAAAGTTTAGTTCATTTCATAAGACTTTTGTATGAAATGAAACTCTAAATGTGCTACCAATCTGCTACCAAAGTTGAACAAGCCTGAGCAACTCAACAAACCAGTCTCAACTTGCCTTTGTCTAAATAATGTGTTGATTATGACGCTGTGTTGTTAGGAGTGTGGCGTTCCTTAAAGGTTTCAATGTTTCCCAGTAGTTTGTTGCTTTATTCCTAATAATAGAAAGTAATTTGCCTTGTTTAACAGTTGCTCGACTAGTCAAAGGAAAAGCAATCTCAAATTTTCCGGGAGTGAAATACACACACGAAATTATTCAAGAAGCCATCATGCGGTTCTTGTTGGTTTCAAAAACACCATCAATAAACTAAAGCCATTAATTTCCATCCGTTTCTCTTGCCGATAGATTCTCCCGAAAATCATTCATACATACAGTTCCTATTACTTTCCACTTTCCAATAGAAAATTGAAGCATGATGGGTCAAACTATGCAACGAGGAAGGAGATGGTTGATTTGTGAAGGCGTGTAGCTGGGATTCTATAGGAGCACCTTTCTCCAGCTACAAAAACTTGTCTCACTTTTCTCACTTGCATACGAGAACTCTGCCCAATATGCTGCAAATTAGGCTCCAATAAATCTAACCATAAAGTGAGCATGAATAAAACTGTATTTTGCATATTATGTCACACTTATCCTTAGTATTCACCTTAATCTTATATAATTTAATTATTTGGTAGTTGCTACTAAATTTCATCCCTTCTGAAAGATGATTGCGAGGGGCAAGACGTGAAGTGCAGTGGAGTGTTGAATCACTCGGGCTCTGATTGGACGAGAACTTGATGTCCGTTGGCATTTTGGGACGAGCAGAGCGGTTACTCGCTTCTTTCCCACTTTCTTCTTACGAGAGAACTGGTAGTTTACTCCTTCTGCCGTAACTTTGCTCTAAATTCTACGTTTCATAAACACAAATTAGTAAAGAATTAAATTAACAATTTTTTGGGAGTGTTTCCTTCTCAACGGCTATATCCCACCTTTACTAACAGTCGCTGAAATTGGAAGGTTTCATTCTGTGAATTTCTTGTTATATCATATCCATTCGAGTAAATACCTCGTCAGGTCAGTATTGTCCAGTTGACTTGAAGCTGGTAAGTCTGTTTTCTTTATCTCAATTTTACTCTAATTTTGGAATATTTGTTCAGTATCCGCTCGACTTGTATGCGTGGTCACTGTCTGATCCTGTTGAATTATTATAATACAAGTTTAACACTTTAATTTTTTTTTCAGAAAACACTACATTACAGAAAACTTTTATGGTATAGATTTTAGTCCAGCTTCAAAATGCTGTCTAAATTAGCCGTTTATGACGAACTTATTCGTCACTACGACCATTACTGCAATCAAAATTCCACCAAAGGTGAGTTTATAACATAAACGTTGAATTTGTTTATAGTGCAAAAGTTTCAGATTGTGAATTTTATGATATTCAGAATTTCTGGAGTTTGTGAATAATCAAGAAAATTGCAGACAAAAGTGGGAGGAGTCTGAAACTGAATGCACGCGTCTACAAAACGAAGTTTCAGTGTGTCAACAAGAAATCACACGGCAAGAAAGGAAAATCCAAGAAGTTCGGCGACATTTGGAGAGCAAGATGGAAATTGTAAATAAGTTGGAATTGGAAAATGAAAGAATTGAACTGCGTAACAATTCTGCGAAATCACTTGTAAACCATTATTTAAATGAGCCAAGAATCAACCCGGACATGAAAGAGAGACTTTTGCATATCATTTCGATTTTGGAAAATGGAGAGAACCGAGATAAGAATACATTTATGCGATCCCCTGCTGGAGCTCTGGACACTATATCAGAAGTGGGATCAACTGGTATAAGATTTTATGCTTTACGTCTTAACTTTGTATTTATTTTCATATTTTTTATTATATATCAATCATTTTGACTTCATACTTCATAGTATGAAGTTAATACCAGGGTGCATAAACTTTTTTGTCGTTCGCCGAGGTTTCTCCTCAGGCGGTGATGCAAGGATGAAATTTTTTATACAAAATTCAAAAAATTATAAGTTGAGGAATTGCATGCAATTAGGAGACACTACGGAAAACAAAAAAATGTATGCGCCTGTTTAATATAATTAATACTCTTTGCACACTAGATCTGAGCATGACACAGTCGGAGGATGATTTGGATGTATCTGGAGTTCGAACTCGTCGACAACGGGCTAGGTCAGGGAAGAGACAGTCACTAGAAAAATTAATGGTTGCCTCTAAGAAAGCTCGAAAGTCGTCAACGACGGTAATTTAAAAAACAAAACATTATTTGAGCAGATCTAGATCAAGTTATAAGTACAGTTTAAAATGGCTATGATGGTACTAGAAGCTGCTGTCTGACTTTTATTTACTCGATTTCAGCAACAGATCATGGATTCCACTGGAACAGACAAATTAATTGCAAAAACTGTAGTGTCGTTCCCCAGGGATGGACATATTCACGCTGTTGCAAGTTTGGAAACTGTTCCTGGAAATTCGTATATGCCCTCGAAAATGTCTGAAGCTCAGATAATTATGCACCCTTCGGCACCACCATTGCCCTCAAGTGGTAAGTTTGTAGTGAGTATTGGTCAATAAATTATTTAAAGGAATGAGTTTTTACTGATGGTGACAATTTTGTAGAATCGGAGTCTGAAGCTGGAGGATTGCTTACTCATCAGAAATCCCCAGTAACTCATCAATTGATTATCAACAACGAGGCTGCATCATCATCAACACAGTCTCCTCGATTTGGGCGAACATTGAGCTCTGGAGGGGCAATGGCAATGCGTCCTCATGCTTTCTGTCAAAAAACTGTTATCAAACCTGAAACATGCGAACCTTGTGGAAAACGAATCAAGTTTTCAAAGCTTGCATTGAAATGTCGAGATTGTAAAGCGACTTGTCACCCCGAATGCAAAGATAAAGTGCCATTGCCATGCGTTGTTACTGGAACTCCCAGCAATAAGACACAAATGGTTTGATTTTCTGATCTAATGACTTGTCAAAAAAATTAGATTTAGCGTTTGCCAATTTACATGTGTTCTATTCTATTTAGGGAACAATTGCCGATTATGCCCCTTTGACACATCCTATGGTCCCGGGACTTGTTCAACACTGCGTCAATGAAGTTGAGGTCAGAGGTTTCGAAACCGTTGGCTTATATCGTGTTCCGGGCCCAGAAAAGGAAGTCAAGGAATTGAAAGAACGTTTTCTTAAGGGGAAGGGAATTCCCAATTTGAGCAAATATGATATTCATGCAGTGTGTGGTTGTATCAAGGACTTTCTTCGCTCAATTCAAGAGCCATTGATTGGAAAATGGTTTTGGCGTGACTTTGCATTGGCTAGTGAAATTTCTGATCGACTTAAACGACAAGCTGAAATTGATCGAATTATTCATGATTTGCCACCTGCAAATCAGGATACACTGGCATTTGTGATTCTTCATTTACAACGGTACGTACGAGACTGATTACACACTACTATAGAGTAAATGGGCCTATGGATTGTGGTTCTTAAAGCTTTTTTTCTACGTCTCGCAGGGTTGGCGAAGTTGCAACTGTAAAAATGCCGGCTTCAAACTTAGCCAAAGTATTTGGTCCTACGATTGTTGGATATTCAGGACCAGATATCGATGCTAAAACGATGTTACGAGAAACGAGGAAGCAACAAGCTGTATTGGAGGCTCTGCTGAGCATGCCACAAGATTTCTGGACAAAGTTTGTATATCGCCAAGACCAACGGCCGTACAGTGCTACCAAATCCGGAACATATACACGCACTAAGGGCAAAACCATGTCTACTATCTACTCTACGCCACAAAGTTCAAACACAATGCATAATGTCAGTCGTACTCGAGAGTCAGGACGGAAAATTTACTTTACAGATGAGTCACCAAAGGATACTCCTCGCACTCGGTAATTACATCTATCTAACTGTATGATTTCTTTGGTACAGCAGATGTGATGTAACTGTATGGTTTGTTTATATTACAGACAAAAACGTAACTTTTTTGATTAAACCTAAACTAGCCAGGTGCTCGCTCCTTCACACTGGACCAAGATATTTCTTATTTCTACAGTTTTCACGTTATAATAACCAACAATAATATAATATAATCACGAATATGTATGTGCATGATTTCTATTAGGAAAGAAAGAAGTGTATATGAAGCTAGTAATATTCTCCTACTATACGAACAAAGATGACAGTTGCAATGTTGCTTACCGTTGTACATACAACTTTTTATTTTGAAATATAATAATGATATACAAAAGTCACATATGTACATTTATCTAATATTTTATTTATGTGATCATCATATAATAATACAATACATGACATTTACAAATAAGAGCATCAAGTTTGAACGAACCAATTTCGTAAAAACAAAGCAACAATAGAGAGATCTTTAGTCAATGTTAATCAGTTCATCGATTGACCAATCTTCATAACTTCCATCTGGCAGATAGCGACGAATTATGATGGGAATTTTTCTTAATTTCAATTCTTTCATGGCAATCTGCAGCGGATCCGTTTCTCCCTCCAATTCTACCATGACCTGATACATACAATTATTGCATATTACTAAACCCTATTTTTGTCAAAGTTACATTATTAACTCACAGGAGCACACATGGCAATTTGTAATGCTCTCGTCCCCAAAATTCGAGCTCTTTCGTATTTCGTCATGTAGGGTGTCGTAATGCGTTTAGATGGGAGGGTTGGTCCCGGCCCACTAACCTCACCTGCATTGATCAGGTCAATATTCTCTCCATCCTACATACAACGAGGGCACAAGCAGCGAATTAACATACATGGAAATACTGTTTCAAAATAACTGGTAGTTCCAACATTGCAATGTTTGACACTTGCCTCATTCTGCTCCAACTCCTCTTGATCCTGGTCCTCCATGTCATACTCATCCCCTGCCATGTCATCCCCGACACTAGACGTAAATAAATGCACGAAAAAAACACATGATCAAAATGCATCAACCTAACATTTCGTTCAATTTCAATTTCAAGAAATAGACTTACTCGTCGGGTTCATAATCTTCGTCGGCCATTATTATTTCGTCAAGTTACAGACACGGAAGATTAAGTGTTAAAATCGGAATATTTTATATTTTAATTTTTCTTTGTAGATTATATAAATATAAATTTATATTCCAATCCAATTTGCAAAAAATAGCAACAACCAACCAAACACGTTTTTGTATTTACTGGAATTTAATTTGAAGGTGGCGGAGATGTTTGTGTTTATGGGGAAAAATAAGTTGAGTTTCAAGCGGGTAGTACTTTTTTAGTCATTCATTTTCATTCGCAAAATATATGAATTGATGACATTGCATTGTGCTTGGCATATGTGTCAAAATTGTGCAGAATCAGTGAGTTTTTTTAGGTTTGCACAAATTTTCTATTTTTGTAGCCAATTATAACCGCTTTCACAAAGTTGCTCGCCACTTGTTCCCGTCAACCAGGTTTAATTGCAAAATCGACAGACTACAAGAAAATGAAGACAGAGTTATTTAGTATAAAGTTACTACCAATAGTTAATTAATATTCTCAAATAAGGTGACAGTGTAGAAGGGTGTTTTACTCTTAATATTGTTTAAATGGTTGACAGCTGACAATTGTAATAGAGATAAAAATAACTACTTTGAAGCCGAAACATTTCTTGGTCGTCTTTCTTTTAAAGTAAGTTTGAAGTTGACCATTAAATTAGAAATTGGGCATTATGTCGTATAGTGCGTATTTTTACTGATTTTGTTGTTTTACTTCATCAGGTTTCCAGTTTGGAAATTTACTCGTGTAAAAATGTCGTCATTTAGAAGCATAACTGTGATACTGATTGCAAGTCTTACCTGTGTAAGCGGATGGACAAATGAAGAATTTGAAATGTTTGATCTTGTGGAAGAGCTTGGGTCTGTTACTTTGTACGATTTTCTTGGCGTTACAAGGGTAAGTCGAAGAATAATAATTTATAATTTAAAGACAGAATCACAAATTATGGATATAAATTGCAACTCAATTTCCCCATTTTTAGGAATCCTCTCTTAGAGAAATTAAATCAGCATATCGACAACTGTCAGTAAAATTGCACCCAGATAAAAATCCGGATGACCCAAATGCAGATGTCAAATTTCGACAGGTGAGCGGTACTACGGTCTACGTGTGATTGGGATATAAAAATATTTTTAAATGTAAATATTTCAGCTTGTTGGAGCATATGAAGCGCTGAAAGATGACGAACTGAGAAAATCCTATCATAACGTACTAGAGTTTGGACTACCTAATTGGAGACAACCCTTGTTTTACTTCAGAAGAGCCAAAAAGCTTGCAATGTGGCAAGTTGGTATCTTGCTATTACTTATTATCACAACTGGTCAGTATCTAGCAGCTTGGGGGTCGTACTTTGAAAGGAAGCTGTCTTTGGTAAGATCATCTCAGAAACAATCAGTCAGTAGGACCTATTCTTATGTAACAAACAAACTTAATTCATTTGAATTTACTCTGCAGAACGAGTATGTCGAATCCAGTTTAAAGAAAACGAGACGATCAAAGAAAGCTCAGAAGGAAGGTCCAAAGATAGAAGAAGTACAAGCAGAATTGGAGGAGCAGTTTCTGCAAAAACCGAGGTATTGAACATTAACTAATTGAAGCTGGGTGGTTGAAAGTAAATATAGAGTTTTTACTCCCAACTAATCGTAAGTTTTAAGAAAAATGGCTAAACGTTCATTTAATTTCACAGTATGTTTAATACGGCGCCTTTCCAACTTATCCGTCTTGGAAAATATTTGGTGACAGAATTTCCCTTTGACTTGGTGAAATTCTATCGACAAATTCAAGAACAAAGGCGAAAAGAAGAAGAAAGGTTGCTGCAAGAAAAACTTCTTGAAGAAGAAAGCAACATTCCCCCCGAACCAAAGAAGCCACGAAAACGAAAGACATTCCAGCTTCCAGAAAAGGAGGTTGAAGACGACGATGGGGAATCTTCAAGAAGTACTGGAAGCAATGTTGCGAGTAAAACATCCACTCAAGAGACATTTATTAGTGGAGGTCTTTGGACGGATGATGACATTACACAACTTATTAAACTGTGTTCCAAATATCCTGGTGGTTTTCCTGACCGTTGGTATCAGATATCAATGATTATGAGACGTCCAGTGGCAGAAGTAGCTCATATGGCTAAAAAGGTAATTTTACGCTTCTCCTGTAACTATTGCGAGCAGTAAGTTATTTAAATTTAATATTAAATTAAAATTTATTATTAATGTCCAGGTGTTGGAAGATCTTAACAATAAGCAAGGAGAAGAGGAAGAGTCAGTCACTCCTTCCGTGAAAGTTAAAATAAAAACAAAAGGTTCAAATTTTGACGATGCTGACATGTTGCAGAAGGTTCAGGCTTGGTCCAAGGATGACCAAAAAAGATTAGAAACTGCTCTTCAGATGTACCCAAAAAGTACATTAGGAGACCGGTGGGGAAAAATTTCATCTCACGTTGGCAAATCTAAGGTATTTTCATTTTATGTCATTTGGATTTACATTTATTGATTGTTAGTTGTAAATAATGTTATGTGTGGTATTGTAGGATGAATGTACACAGAGATATAAATATGTTGCTGATTTAGTCAAAAAGAAGAAAGAACAGGAACAATCAATTGATGAAGGGGTTACTACTGCTGATGAAGGAGTAAAACATTCAGACTCTAACATGAAAAATGTTGAAGATGGTGCTATAAAAGAAGAGTCATCATCGGCAAATCAGGAAACTGATGATGGAGCAAGTGCCCCTTCAAAGTCCAAGGATAGTGCTTCTCGTCAAGACTCATCATCTTCCAATGGTTCCAATAATGGATCTGACAATGAATGGTGCGTAGTGGAAGGCCAAAAAAATTATTGATTATTTATTTTAAGGTTGGTCATCGCAATTCCGTTGGATATTATACTAGTATTTATAGATTTGTTTATACCGACTTGCTTTATATGGATGGATTTTGTCTTCATATCATGCAGGCGGAACATGTAAACGGAACACATTACGTATGTAAATAAGCATGTAAGATAAATATGCAACTTATACTATGGAACTACTATGCTACTACATAAATACCTTCACTAATAAATAAATAAATAAATAACTATAAAACAATTCAGGAGTGCGCAAACCGCTGAGTTTATTTTCGTCAAAACGTTTCCTCTACATTATATTGTGATGTATTTTAAAAATTAAATTTACAAATGCATGGAGTAAAATTCCAGTTGGAAATATTTGAATTTTAATAATTACTAATTACATTGTCTTACACAAGAGTTGAATCTCATGAAAACGTTCGTTTCAGATTAATCTGTATGAATTTAACTTTCTATCCACAACTTGTTACTGCCCTAATTAGCTGCGATGCTTGACGGCAAACATATCGACACAAATCACTGGTCACAGGTCGACTTACTTTCACAGGGCTGTTGAAAGAAACTTGAACCCCTCACGTTTATTGAATTACCATGAAATATAGGGCCAGAGGTGGGCGGGCGTAGAAGGGATGGATAGACTGAACTTGAAATTATTTCCTTCTGGTCTGGTTAATTGTTGTTGTTGTTTAGTGATGAATTTTACACGGGTCTAGAAGAGATTTTGAAAACGAGGTTGTGAATTTTTGAAGATCACTCAGCTCCGCAATGCTGACAATATTGTTGAGAGGCAGTCTTACATCATGACTAATGAAGTAACTTAACGTGGACTAAACGAAGACTTTTATAACACAATGCGGTACTTGCTCTTCTTGTTTTTGTACTCCTCTACATATTTACAAAAGCGTGTACGAAATTCGCCCATCAGATTCATGATGTAGCAATACAATAGAAGAGAGAGAGAGAGATAGTAAGAGAGGTAATTTTATGTGTACCAATATCTGGGCAGATAAATGTGGATGTAATTAAAACAAGTTATTTCACAAGTTTAGTGGAGACAACTGTACAGCAAGTATATTGGATTTGCTACAAAAAATATAGCTTGCATATATACTAACTAAAATTTGGCTATGTAGTTTTACACTTATTAAAACAGCAGCACAACATTTTCATTATCGATTCAATAAAATGAATATTACTAAAAAAACAGTACATGTATGTATATAAGTAAGTAAACATAGTTGCACAGCAAATTAGCTGCAAATCATAGGACATTTAATTGGTACATCTTATCTATAAAAACTGGCTTTACGATTGCAGTACAGTCTGTCTGTAATAGATTAAATTTGATTTTACAAAACGGCTCCTCAGATTAAACAATCATCAAAGTCAAGTTACAAACTGGAATATTTGGAACTTTGCAAAAGATGTTGTCATAAAGAGATCTGTCAGTTTCTGCATTCGCACACATGTCTCACAAATTGACATCGACAGCCAAAGACAAGTGACAAATTAAACGAGTTTCATAAAAATAGCTCGGATACGGAAATTAATAATTTGTTGATTTTTGTTATCACTGGGAATAGATTAAACCAGCAGTACGCCAAACGGTCTTCTTAATTATTAATTTAAAATCGGCAGATCGTGGTCTACAAAAGTCTTAAAAAGATATTCACTGATAGTCGTTGTTCATAATAATATATAGAATGAATACATGCTATAAACCAGCATTGGATGAAACAAGATCATGAAGAGGAGGAGTTTTGTTACCGACGCTCCCTGCATGAATCCAAAATATACTTTAGTTTTTTAGCCATCAATTTATTATCCAACAGCACGATGATTCTGGGAAGCCAACAAGTCTTACTTGTAAAGGAGATAGTCTATCAATGCTGGGGGTAGGTTGAGTTCATTGATACGATGAAGACGATCTGAAATAATATTTAGCAAAAATATGTTATTATTACTATCGTTAGCAGTGAGGCCATTTACTATTGAATTCAGCATATTGAATTGGCTATATTGAAATATATATGTACCTCTACCGACGCAATGTCGAAGGACACGGCGTGTTAAGAACATAAGAGGTAATGGTTCCGCTGAAAATAGAGACACACATATATACATGCATATACCAACTTATTGGGAGACAGAAAACGAAACGTATTATTTTGTTTCAAAACAATTTAATCGACAACTTACGGTCAAGGCCCCCAATGTATTTCATTGTTATCTCACAGTGACCCCACACTGCAGAAACTATCGGGTACATTTTCTTTCCCTTCATTCCCCTGAAAGCTATAAATGCACCGAATTAATGTTGAACTCTTGATGCACTAGTATCCTTTTGAGTTTAGTTGCTTCCAAAATCAACAGTGAAAGACTAAATGAAATGGTTACCTATTCCCAAATATTGACCATCTACTACAAAGGCCAGTGTCCCCTCATCCATATCCAACACCACTGCAAATTCAACAAGTTCAAGTTGTATATGTATCAACATTATCAACAAACAACGAAACAATTATAACATGTAAAACACAACATATATACCTTGAAACGTGTCTGGTACAACAAAATTCTCATCCGGTTTTAATAATGCGGGGTATGTGGTTCCAGACGCTGTATTTTTACTATCATGGTAAAGTTTATTTCTTCCCAAGTCCCACCCCCATGATTGGTCATTGCTACCAACTAAGCTCTGTAAGTAATAAACAATATAATGTAATGATAATTCATTTGAGCTCATCGAAACAATTATTATAATTGAGGATCAGAGGCATAAGAATCACATACCTGATAACCAACAGAATTTAAAGGTGCTTCAGATGTGGCACATCCGACAACGGCGTGCGTTCCTCTTTGCCGGGTTGACCAGTGAATTTCCCACACATGAAGCCCCTTGCTATAACCTACTTTCCCCCGTATACAGTCAGTACCTGGTAAATACAAAGAGGTCATATATACACTTGATTAATTTGTGGTCAATCACAAGTTATTGCTTATTTCGTATTAAATATTATCAATCCTGGCTTACTTTGAGCAACCGGGTGACGGTGGAATGTCAATTTTTCATCGTCCTGTCATTAAAAAATTAAATTCATATGTTAATATCATAAAATCCAAAAATATCACAAAAATAATGTTGATTAAATTGTTAAGTTATACGCACTTTGACAAATATGTTTAGTGAACGATCTTCCGAATTCCAGCTATATCCAAGAGCAATAATAAATCAATGAATAAACAAATAAATTGACATGGATCACAAGATACAATTGGTAATCTACAACATAGTGATTTGAAGCGCTATCTTTCTGCAACTATATATGATATGTTAAATTGCATTTAAACCAGTGTGTCACAGATTACCACTTGATTAATTTTACATACGCGTGTTTTAGCTGAATTTCCTTTGATGCGTGAGGCATATCCAGCAACATATCTAATCTCGCTGGTGGAGTTAGCTCTTCTGCGAGCTAGAAAGAAGATAGGAATACTGCGTTAGCTTCATTCATAATTAATTTTACAAAATAATTCAACACAACATAAATATATTCACACACATAGACATATATCGCATATGAACAATTGGCACATGAACTATGTTAGAAAAATTCAATTAAATATTTTTTGCTTGTCTAACCTCCCGTGGTCCAGGAGTTCTTGTTGTGGTTTCTCGAGAAGACATTGACTTTCCCCCACCAACTGGAGAGAGAAACAAATGCGTGTAGTAAAACATTGTTGAGCAATGGCACGGCAATAGACGACTTGTCGTCGAGATTTATGTTGTTGGAACAAATCAGGAAATGATCTTTACTTGAGAATGCTCACTAACACACTACTAACCTGAAACTTTCTGACCCATCATTCCACGGTGCCTGATTCGAGTTCTTAGTAATTTGTGTCCTCCTCGTGTGTAATAATGTGGAAGTGGAGTTCTGTTCGCAAGGCAAGGATTTACAGAAACTGTAACACTGACGGGGTTTGCAAGTCCAGGGCACACAGTCGGATGATTAAAATCGTTGAGACGGATGGTGGCTGAACTCACGTCAGGTGGGTTTGGAATTAAAGAGTTAGTTGTTGGACGATGCCCAGCAGAAATATTTAAAGAATTTTGACTAAGATAGTGCAACGGAAGATGGTTTCCCAATAGTTGAGGATTTACAGGAGGGGTGACGGTATTTCGATTACAATGATGATTCGATGGTCCTCCAGCTAAAATTGTACGACACTGGGACCTGGAAAATTAATATAAAAACGCTTGGTCAGCTCATACGACTCGTTTACCAACTAACAAATCTATCCATAAAATACAGACATTCTTTCCAGAATTTCCTGTTCACTTAGGAATTTCCTTAGACTTATACATTAGCTTAAGATATTCTGGATGACTAACAAATTTTCAATTTTAAATACTCTTGCTTTCATCTTTCACATCTCTAAAATTGGTATGTACTAGGTTCACCCTTCCTACAGAAGGAAACTCAACCATACGCGTATTTAATGATAAACCAAACATAATACGTAACGCAATTAGATTTTCTAGACAGCAAAAACTTTAGCAAGTTAGGTGATGGAGTTTTAGGGATAGCATAGGCATAAAAACGATGTACCTAGTCATTTCACTCGTAGATGATACAACAATTCTGCACAATAATAATGTGGGATAGAGGGACAGACTACAGACACATTATCATCACACAAACAAAGCAGCCAATCTTTGAGGATGGAGTGAGCGTGGCTTGTAATGACCTTCAACAGCATTTCCCATTCTGCATTTAAGGGTTCTGCTAAAATGCTCTTCTGCTCTCTCAATTCATTTACAAATGAAATAATAGCATTTGTCTATCTGCTTCTGCTTGGCTGATGCAGACAGCGAGTGATGAAAACTATCTACGAAGCTATAAAACATATTTTTAGTCTTGCTTTGATTGCAAAAAACATTCTGTGCTTAATCTGATATCTACAAAATTGGTGTCGCGTCGAGACAAAGAAGCAATTGGGCGAATTCAAATAAAAATAATATGTCCTTGGCACTGAAATTTCAAAAGACCCGAAATGCAAGGGATTTTTCAAGTGTCAAGGACTGCTACTACACTTGACAGAGTGTATGCGACCCAAGGATAGTAGTCGTCCATACTACAAAAGGAAGTATCAAGAGTAGGACCCCAAAGCAAAAGGCTTACTCCTATTAAATATACAAAGACTTGTTATGTACTTCAGCTTGATTACAGCAAACCAAGACTTTTGAACCCTCCAGTTTGTAATTTCTCTCACTAGCAAAAAAATCTACTACCGAACCCGTTCCACGGTTCCGGTATTGAGACTATGGTCACTGTCAAACAGGAAACTTTGTGCATAACTGAAAAATATGACCATTTTTCACGGTGAAAATTTTACTGTTTGCGTAGAGTCTCTCTATACTTTTGAAACATCAACAATTTCATATTATATACCGTTGTGTTACACAGCCCTCTTTCCATGCAAGACACATAATATCGATTATGGAGTGTATTCTAAATGTGATAAAATCCTGTTACCCGCTCGAGTTTTCCGAATCACCAGGAAATGCAGCACACGGCATTATTACTGAGGAACACTAAACTTGCTTCTCCAACGACTATTGTAATAATAGCAGCTCTTGTAATAGGAAAATGCGAATCCGCAGTTTATAAACAGAAAATCTCCCCCTTCTTGCAGATGAAGAAGTACGGTGGGCCGAGTTGCTGGGAACGAATTATAAAACACCCCACGAAACAGAGATGAAATCACAATGATAATGAAATTTTAGTTGATTCACTAAACCAACGTTGTTACGAAATCCAATTTTCCAGAGGTAGAACAAGTTTCAATCGTTTGCAAATTTGAGCCAAAATTTGAATTATATTATTATAGGATTTCTAGTCCTTTTTCTTCTCTTCGTTGGCATTATTCACTTTGAACAAAATAAACTAGGTGCACATGCAGGCAACAGAAACAATTGAGATCGGTTCTAGTTTCGTTTGCAAAATCACAGATAACCAAGAAATCCAAATTTTCATCTATGCATACAATATTGAATATTAACTTTCTGCATATAAATGAAATCCACAACTTTTTGCAATCTTTGTACTGGCCTCCAGTCCTGAATTCCCAATTACATTTGCTTGCGATTGCTGCAGATAATTTGCATAAACGAGCATTTTCGCACAGCCCACAAGCTTACAGTCCAAGTGCGAGTAAAGAACAGGCAAAAAAATTGTTCACATCACAAGAGCTACGAGAGAGCTACACACACTCGCAGCACCACAACTAACTAACTGGGATGCCAGACAAAGACTAACTAACTAACTGACTTATTTCAATGTTATGAGTATCTCGTAGCTCACACACTTTATGCCATCCATCAAAAGTGGTAGCCAGCAATCTAACTAAAGTTATAATATTTTTGGCATAGCTCAATGCAATTCCATGCAAAACAGCATAGTCTCGCGGCATAGTAGTGATACATAGCAGCAGAAGCATGGGGAACAAATTTATTTATTTTACAACGCTCTCGTCACTCGTCTGAGTGGTAAACAGGCTGCAAATAGTAATCTGTGGTAATTAATTATCAAGAACAAAGTAAAACATCTTTTTTATGCTACGCATAATGCAGACATGAATTGATACTGATACCGACAACTTGGTCGCAAGTTCATATGACTGCTTATTACTATGTGCAAGCTCAGTTTTTTTGTTTCCTGGGCCAGTTTCGCCAGTTTGCACTTTGCAAGTACTCCATAATGCCCAAATTGATTTGACGAATTTTTAAGAGTGGTCATTTGAAAAAATACTAAGTTGCATAAAAGAGATATGAATTTGCATCGTAATTCAGTAACACAAAACAGCCAGCAAAAGTGACGATAGTTTTTGCAAACACCTAAAAAACTTGTGCATGTATATGGACGTAACAACACTACCGTCATGTATACGTATACGTAAGTATTGCCGAGGGAACATAGACAAGGTCAGTTCAATACTTGTCTAGGTACCTTTTCCACTTACTAGTTACACAGCATGCAGTGAGAAGGGTATTGTTTAAATCAGCCATGCTCACGAGTCCATCCAAGGAAGAGAAGAATTATATGGTTGCAGCAAAATTGCACCAAGCACTATGTACATAAATATGTATGTTTGAATGTACATAGTTTTTAGCTAGGTTTTCATTGCATCAAGCACACCTAATTCCTATTGAAATTGAATCATTGAAAATGGCAAATCATTCTGTTCTGACAAGCAAATCATATGAAGACAAAATAGGAATGCTTCTTCCATTTCATTAAATAAGATTGAGTGAGGTGAGTCCCATATAAAAGTATCCCCTGGGTTTGTGTTGAACGACTTGCTAGTTTTAAGGCATGAAATATTTTGACTGCATGTAAGTATCGCATAAAAACGATAACACTGGCTGATGATGAGACATTAGACGTCTAATTTTGAGGTAATAATAACAGAAGTAGTATATACTATTGGTATTATTTAGGACCGCCGGACTACGGAGGAAGCTATACATTTTGCACTAAATATATAGATATCTATAATAGATATATATATATTTCTGCCACAAGAGCGAAATAAATATACCACTAAATAATGCTGTAGAAAAGTAACAGTTAGTGGTATTTCTCATTAGCAGCACAAAATATTATGTCGTTATAATATAATCGTACCATCAACCATATAATAGTGGAACCAAAACCATCTTTCTGTGTTGGTGACCTTATCCTTGGTATTCAGTTAATTATTTGCAGGAGGTTAGGTGTGTATTATTTGCCTTCATTTTAACTATGCAATATACTTATTTTATATTAACAGCAAACGAGAATTACAAACATCATTAGGAAATAGTACATGTTGTGCAACCTGAAATAGCAATATGTTTCAAACCACACTACACTAACTAATAAATATATTATATGCTGATGCTCGTCTATAGGCCGAAATCTCTGACCAGGGAGTTGAGAAAAAAACCTCAAAATGCAATAAGAATGACAGCTTCATCCTGGTCATCATTACCCCCCAAATTAAACTGTTAGCTGAATAGACAATCGACGACATTACTAAATGACATTTCTTGCTGAAGCACCCAAGAAATAGAAACGAAAAAAAACTGTCCTTGGCATTGACTTCAATGCAAGATAATTGAGGAACGGCATAGCACAGCGGCAGCAGAAGTTCTGCTCATCCGGCCGAATTGGTAGTGCTTCATTGATGTTAACATCATCAGAAGGGAAGTGGTCAATGGGTCAAGGTTGCAGGTACTTGCATAACAATGGATAGGAAAGGAAACAAACGCAGCCGAAGAGTTGGAATTACTATTATACAACAATGACAGCCAACAACCATAAGAAGAGCGTATCAGCATAACGAACGCACGACACCTCACCATCAAATACGTAATGAGTAAGGTGCTCCCTTAATAAATGTTGATGGGTGTGATGTGATAATCTCTTACTTTCGCTTTTGTTCCTCTGCACATGCACAAATGTATAGCAACAGATTAACATTGAGTGTATGCATGTAAGACAAGTGTGTAATATAGATACGATCAACTATATTGCTATACATTTGTGTATCCTTATGCTGACGGAGTTGCACTTTACATCCATTATGTTAGGTTCAGTTGAGCAAAACAATTTTACACAGGTTGAAGTTAAGGTGAATTATTATACAAACCCTAACGTGGTGGTAGTTATTAACTTTGCTCAAGTTTAAACACATTCATACCATAAAGTAGATGCGATCTTGACCCAAAACCACGAGAAAAAATGGGATAAAGTTATAACATAACTATAGCCATATTAACCGTATAAAAGTTTCCTGAAGTTATTTTGTGATGAAATTTTTACGAGTTTTCAAGTTCATCTCTTACATTGATTTATCATGTATCGTTGTAACAATGTGAGAAATAAGTGAGAATAACCAATTTTATTCAATACTGAGATACGACAAGAGATATTATCTTTAGACATACATGCAATTTCCTTCAAATCCAAAACGCATGAATTGTTTTAGTTCTCACAATTGTTAAAAAACTAGATCATGGCATATTACCTAAAGTCTTGGAGTAAAATAATAAATGATTGAAATATAAAACACGTCTGAAAATATATGTATGCATTTAGTTGAATTTTGCATTCCAGTTCAAATATTAATATGTTTATGGTTAGCAAAAGGTGTTAGCATGTATGTAACTAATCATTTATGGTGGTAGAAAACTATTTAGAGTGATACAACAGTTGAGAATGGTTCAGAATACTTATGATATCATGAAGGAAGATGGCCGAATAATGATAATAAAATCATAACCACCTTAAGAGGAGCTGATTGTTCCAGTTATTGAGGAAGATGGATGAGCCGAGCCAAGTATTTTGCCTGGATGAGGTGTCAAACCACCTTCCACAAGGGATACAGGCTAAAAGGGATCCACACGGACTATTGGTAGAGTGTTGATGATTTCGATAGGGGGAACATCCCAGTAAACCCACGCGAAGGTGAACAGTGAGGGGACGGCAACAGTGAAGACAACAGAGCGTGGTGGGTGTGGAGTTAGAAAACGCGGGAGGCGCTGCGCCGAAAGGGTGGCATGTTGTGGGTGTGGTCAATAATGGTTGCTGTTGGTAGCCTGCGCCACTAATTGGTCCATTATTTAGTATCACAACCATTTGAAAAGTCAGTTTTCAACAATTGACTCCATTCATATAAATCAGGAAAACCACCACGTAGCTGACGTAGTGGTAGAAAAGACCAACAAACTTTTTAGACAAGTGTAATTATATAGCACTAGGTAGCACAGAGTTGGGTTGAATTACTGTTTTTAAAGCTAATTTATACGACTCTTTGGAATACGATAACTTTGTGAATTATATAATCCAAGTGGTTAATAAGAAGTATTAGAAACTATATAGTCTCTCCGACCTATCAGCTTTTTTTAACCTTTGACGATTTTTATATATGCATTCACTTAACCGATTATAAATTCTCAATCTTCAGGACCAATATTGCTTTTAAAAATTTATTGCTTTCTTCATTTCAGTTATCCGTAGTAGGAGTTGTAGTTGTATATGTAATGTAGCTTGGTTTAGAGATTCATGTAGAATATTATTGCGACCGTGGTTATGAAGGATTATGGCAGGAAGTAGTACTACAGTATAAATTATAATGCTATTTAACGAGGGCCAAGAAATTGAATTTGTTGCAGCCACTGAGGAGTGGATATTATTTTCCTGGACTGCCTGGAATCCAATATGGGTGTTGGAAAGGGAAGTGGATGGAAGAAGAAGGGGCTGAATTTTCCGATTCTGAGGCAGTAAAATGCCAGGGCAGTATAAGTTGTGCGCGTAGTAAAGGACTTTCTTCCCTTGTTCGGCGAGCGAGAGAAAGTGGACCGAGTTCACATGCAGGAGAGTTGCAGTTGGTGGTTGGGGTTGGTGCTTCTCCTGGCTTGTGAATGTGACAGGACGACGAGTAGTGAAGGGGAAAAGTCGTCCCAGGGATATATCTCTCTGGATATTATGCGGGGAGAGTGAGAGTTCGGGTCGGGACACTTCGACTGCTGCTGCTACTACCCGCTTTCTATTCACTTCCTTCCTTCCCACTGCTGACTTGATAAAAACAACTCTGCTGAACCCCCAACAAGAACGAAACGACCAACACCACCACCACCACTCACTGGCACTTGCATGCTGTTAGAAAGTAAAATGCCATTTTACTCTCCGTCTGCCTCCTTTTCTTCTACGAATCACAAATATACTCCTTTCCGGACTTATTAGCAGAGTCACTCTCCGGGTTCCTTTTATCCATGAAGTGAGGTCCCCCACACTCCTCCGAATTACCTTTGTGTACCCTACGTATCACGACTCCTCTAACTCACCCACTTCACCATCAATTTTTTAAAGACTACAGTAGCTACACTACTCTACGCAACTTTCGTCATGCAAATTCACCACGAAAAGTAATTAAATACAATTTTGAGATTTTCAATGCAATGCAATGCTGTCCAGAACAGTAGTTGGTTACAACAGATAGGCCATTGGTATGGCAAGGGACGAGATGAAATTTAAACCACAAAAACGCCCATGAAACAAGATACAATTTCAGTTTCACCCAACCGAATTTTATTTTCTGCCGCTGCTCCACCAACAATACTCGAATTTTGAACGATATTAGCACAAATTATGTAACGAAGAGCAATTGTGTATGATTAATTATTGCTACGTGTGACTTTATAAATGGATTAAAATGATGAACGAAAGAACGTATACAAAAGCAAACTGTCTGCAATGCTATGACGAGTATTTTTCAGAAGCAGTAATCTATCTGGGAAGACTATTCATAATCTGTGAATCTGAAACTCTCTTAGACTCTGAATTTGCCGAGGTCACATTTTTCAACATTGTGTGCAGATTGCACATGCGAAGTATAACCGAGTACATCTTGGTGGTTTGTGAAGAAGAGTTTAGAAAAAAAAAGTAATAGGAAGGTGAAGAAACAACATAAGCACGTAGTAGCAAAAATCCTACTTTTTTTCACACTAAATATTAACTGAGGAGCATACTATCAAGTACTATACGACAGCAGGACCAGTTGTGTTTTTCACCGCTTTTTAAGTGTTCCTGTGCAATATATTAAGTAGCTCGGCTCAAGTACATTGGAGGAGACATCACGGAACTGTTGGCACGAGTTCATGTATGAAACTTCTTCTGCCAAAATTGCACAAATAGTACATGCATGCATACATATTGGCAACTCGTCTGCACAGTGAAGAAGAGTACGAAACATCCCCGAATCAAGAGGACACGCTAAATTATATGAAAGTTTATAAAAGTCACTGCAGCCGAATACATACATACAACACGATATTGTGGAGATCGACTGGGTGCAATCTCGCATACTTGGAATTTTTCATGGAATTTAATATCCAGAAGACAATACATGTGAATTCTTGCATGGTGTGCCACACACACACACCAGGTCAATAACAATATGTTCATAAAACTTTCACTGTGCTCACATTCTTTCATCGAATTTTCTTCCTGATAACGCTTATCCAATTAAGTCAAAGTCTTTGACTTAACGAGGGAGTAGTACGAACAATATTACCAATTCTTCAATCATACACATGTCATCCTAGTAATAATATTTAGTTTGAGTTTCGCTATTATTTGTATGAAACAAGCAAAGAATGTTTTGGTACCCAGTCCCCACACGGTATGACAAATCGTTCGAAGACAATCAGATCAAAGTGTCCTGGCATCAAGAACACTAATTATATGCATTCATTGTAGTATTATAATTATTTAATTTTTCGGACGTTGTCACAACCGTCGTTGTGACTTCAGAATGGACCCCTATTTCAATGTTAATGTTGCTTATAAAACTTTTAATTGAGTAAAATGAGGAATAACCAACTAAAAACCGCTAAAAGCAATAAAATAATTATTATTAGTAGTGTACATCTTTTTTGAGAAGAATGTGTTTCAAATCAAACACATGACAAACATGATGTACAGTTTCCCTTCATATTATCGTTATCATGTTCTGATACTTCCGATTATTCAGTGCCCTAAGCTCTTTCTAGGAGGAATTAGTAGCCCTGTCCTGAGTGTCCTTATCATCCAGTTTATCCACTCATATACAATACAATACTGCGTCAGTCAGTTTCAATGTTGAATGAGTGTAAATGCATGGCATACGATTTATCTATCATATGACTAACCCGACGTTCGTTTCCGTTCATATTAAATTGCGTATCATCACTATCACCTACATATGCTAATTATGTAAAACCTAACAATGCATAGTAAAAAAAATCACAAACTTTCAGTAGTAGAAAAACTCACCAGAATAAATCAAGAAAGAGGTCCAGCTTCCAAGTGTACTATCTAAGGCAAACGTCCTCAGTCCTCAAAAGAATGTGAATGAAGTTGAAGTTGAACCTTGTCCGAAAAATTCACAGAGCAGTAATAGTGTGACAAATCGGCAAGCTTTGCTTTGGTTGGTTTCCCCGTACGGAACAGAGTGTTTATTTTAGCTGGAGTATAGGTATAGGTTGAATGAAATTTGAAGTTTGTCAGGAGTCAGGAACTGCATTGTTCAGTTGAAACGGCAGATTAGACTGGACTTGTCAGTAAAATTTAGTCATTATAAAGTTATTGTAGCTGTGTACAATTGACGATGGCAAAACACAGTTGTTGAGCATATAATAATATAACAATTCAATTATTTTATATATCAACTTCAATGTTGATAATCACAATACAACACGGATACATTCACTACCACGCACACACCGCTGCCTGATAAGAACAGAGCATTAACTGATTTATAGACTGTAAATATTATTATTATGAGGTTAGTTCACGATTGATTGGCTGGGTCGTTGACTGCTCCGAGTCACACTCAAGTCTCAATCATTCAATTATGCGTTGTAAATTTTCTTCCGTTCAAATATTCAAATCTTTTAGGATTTTCAGGAGGGTTCCCACGCACGTAGATTCGAAATTTTATCCAACCAAACCAAGATATTTGAATTTAGATTTTAGACCACGCGATGAAATGTACAATAGCTTCCAATCACTTTGTTTTCAGTCCTTTTGTCTCTTCAAATCTAAAACAACAAATGAGAAAGTCAATGACTGATACATATATAAGCACACATATATTTAATACTTGTTATCCATTGGTTTTAACAACAATATATAATCAAACTAGAATAAAATTCGTATGCAAAGGCATCACATACGTGGTTCATAATTGATCTATCATATGCTTGTATTAAAGATGAAGTATAAATAATGGTCATCAACTATACATTCAAAATTGTGATTTGGGTATTACGATAACTGAAAAATATGTAAATTCGTGAATGGCGACAGATGATTCAAAATGAATGTCATAAAAATCACAAATTATAACATGTGCACAAACGAACAAGTAAATAACCTACAGACACTAATACCTTGTACTAAATTATTCCTTATATTATCAGAAGACGACACGAGACGACGAGACTTGCGCCAAGTCACTTAAGAACCCACCATCAAACAACCAAATTACCTTTTCCACCTCTGTTCGAAAAGTAGTACTCGTAAAACCCGGCCCGTTTCCCTCCACTTCTTCCTTATCCGGCCAGATAACCCGTAGTAGTAGTAGGTGTATTAATTCAATCTACTTTTTTGCACACCAAAACCAAATATCTGCGTTTGGCTGTCTACTTTTCGTCAAAAACTTTTGCAAACTGACTTGTTAATATGCACGTCGTTGCTTCCTGTCCTGCTGGGCTTGGCACAACTTGGCGTCAATAATACTGCCTCTCTCCGCCAATAATTGTTGTCAAGATAAGCGAGCAAGGTTGTTGTTGATGATGCAAATAATTCAGTACAAATAGTTCAAAATATTATTGTCCACCAGCCGAAGAGGAGCAGTGGTGATGATTTTGAGTCCGACGACCGTACCTTTGTGGAGTGTACTAGCAGCAGCATAGAGTGAGTAATAAACGCAGTCAGGGCAATGTGGTGCAGCCTGCTCCAGCAAAGGAGACATCCATCCACCTCGCTCGCTGCTTCCAAAAAACTCGCCTTTGTGATCAGTTAGATACTGCTGTTTCTCGGCTTCATAAACAGAGAGGAGGCTTGTATATTTGTGAAGCCTGGTTTTATGACTCCAGCAGCAGTAGAGCTGCAGCTAGCTCCAGCATGAGTTGAGATGGACAAAATATTCTGAAGCCAAAAGGTATTCGTATTAGGTAACAAAGTTGTATTAACTAAGCTGCACTTTTTCACTGTGTGTGTACAACTATTGAACAAGCTATGGACCCGTAGTAAGTAACCAACAGCGAGAGATGAACATTCAGCCCGATTGCAAACGCAGAGAGATTCTCACATGTAATATAATAAACAAACACACAGGCTGGACATGTATTCATCAAAATATTACCACTAATATATATCCAAAGGGTATGGAAATCTTTGCTTTGAGATGTTGATGACTTACTTACGAGTTGCTAAACATGGTCACTCACTTAAATAACAAGCTAAACAACCCTTTCTTTAGCATGCCTTTTTAACCACACATATTAATCTTGGAATAGTAGATGAGCTAATGTTTGCATGCTCTCGATGGCTCTAATCATTTGTGTGGGCTAATAATCGCAATAAATAATGCATGCAACATGATTACTTGAAAAATTAAAACATGTGAAATAATATTGACCATGGTTAAGTAGTTCAACCAAATTATGTTTAGGACAGCATGAGGACATAAAAATATGTAGATTAAATAACCCTGTTCCAAGGGTAAAGCCCCAAAAAAACAATTTTGTACCAAGTTCAAAATTCCAATAAAGGGAGTACAAACGTGGTTTGATACAAAACATATGAAACAAAGACGTTCTGGGGAAATCATAAAGATGAGGATAAGCAACGTGGCTCCAGCAAGTGCAGAATTATCTATTGCAAAAACATGGCCTTTTAGTACTTTTGCTTATTTGCTAAAGATTGCACAACATGTTTACTTGCACACAGGCTTCATAGCTTGAACAAAGGAAGAGATGCTGATCGGCTGGGTAGGATGCGCTGCTGCTGCTGTAAGCGGTCTCATGTCCAGCAGCCAAATTCAAGTCGAGACTTGATCAAAACTAAAAGTCAACACCATCAGGATTCTTTCAGCGCACTTTTGCGAATTTTAAGAATTTGAAAGTTTCGTCTATTTTTTCAAATTACAAAGGAAAATTATTTTTAAATGAATCTATAAAGTCAGCTGGCTTGTGTTCTCCCGACCCAACTGGTATGTCTCCAATCGGTGGTGGATGGAATTTAAATTTCTAACTTGTTGATTAGTTTGTACTTTCGATCTGTAGTGATAAACTTATGTAGTCAAAGTCAATAATTGAAATAATTCAAGGCTTATCTACCAAGTTCAGGTATGTGTTTGTGTTTTTCTAAGATTATTATTGTTTCGTCGATTCGTTCTTCTTAACGTTCTTTAAGAACGTTCAGTCACAAGTCTAATAACGAAAAACTAGGTGCAAGGTTCGCACACGTTCATTTTCATCATTTAATAAGACCTTAAATATAGTGTGTCCCCTCTAAGCTAAATCGGTTGTTTTAATCATTCTCTTTCGGTCCAAAAACTTTGAAAAGAATTTCATAATCATTTTATTATGAAGAAAATTAAATAATTGCTCCTACTACTAAATACATGCTAGTATGACGCATCGATGTATTTCGACTCCATCCTAATTCCTAACACATGTAACGAAACAAGGTGTTAAGATTAAGATACAAGGTCGAAATATTTCGGAACCTCAGAATTGTTCCCTGAAAAGGGCTCAAGTATTAGGGCATAATTTTTTATGAGGCCACCAGCTTCGTAAAACCTTCCCTGCGTTCCCAAATCAACACCAAATACAACATTCGTCATACTTTGAGTGAGTAACATAATCATAATATGCTAGTCTACATATCATTTGTTGTAACGATAGTTTATTGTGCGTCCGCATTGATTCATGGTGGATAAGATCAATTGCAGATTCATTGAATAACATGCATTCAACATGCATACAATGAATTTATCTTGTTTTTAAAGTAAAGGCTCACTGTGTAATCATTGAATCTAATTATATTGTTGTACATTGATGTAATGTTCTACCAATATTTTTACTTTAAAATAGGCAATTAGTTCGCAGGTAGTGGTTGCCATTTCTCGTCACGAAGCAACAAGAAAAGGAGAAAATAACTTCCGAACACTGAAGGGTAGTCGTCGTCCTCACGACTTCGGACAGAAAACCATCATCCGTTTTTGGTTGCTGTTGAAGTGAAGAGAGAAAAGAAGTTGAACAACGAGTTGAAACGCGAGCAACGTAAATATTCATTTTTTTGTACAATCTTTATTTAAAAAAAACAGTGTATGAAATCGCACACAATGCCATTATTGCCAATAAAACGAACGTATGTTGGGTTGAGAATTTGTAAGTAGGCACCGAGAATCAAAAGTAAGGGAACCAGGGAAGTGTGGAGATTTGGTGGTAGTGTTTGAAATTATTAGGTAATAGTTTTTATAAAATCACAATTTTAGTATCCTTGCGCGCACTGTTGAATTTATTCTTATTCGTCGTTTTTGTTTTTGTTCAAGGTTCTTGGCTAAACAATTCAGGAAAATGGGATCCTTTTAAGTTTATTATCACACGAGGACGACAACAATTATGTCTAACAAGACATCGGACGAGGCGGCTATGACGCCTTCGGAGATTGAAAAAGAAAAGGATAATATTACAGACGATGATGGAATTGAAAATTTTCTAAGCGAAGCCATTGGCCAGGATGTCGACGTTGACGTTTTTAAAGATATTGGCGATTCTGACACAATAGCTGAATTAATGGAAGTTGTGACGGCGTCTTTTGTTGGTACCAACTCGAGACGAAATTCTAACCAAGAAGAGAAGATATTACCCGAGATACCAAAGGAAGTATCTCGTTCATTAGTATCTCCTAGACCAATAAGAAGACCCGGAAAAAAATTTCCAGCTCTACAACCTGAGGAAAAAAGAACCACAAATAAAACAAAAAACAACCCACCAGGCAAAAAGAGGATGAGCGAAAAGGAAGGCCCTGGCACAAGCGATAAAATAAAAAATCGGCTAAAAGTTAGACTTAAATTCTCTCCTCATCAGCAACATAACATTGATGTTTCTCCTAAAAATAAAACTATTAAAAACTCCAATACAACAAAACCAATCACAACGTCAAAACATGAGTCTGTACCTAAAACGACACAGGACAAAAACAATATTTCAAGTCTAAACGTAATTTTGAAAAAGCGACAAAGTAACGAGAACATACTTCTTCACAAAAAATGCACCAACAACAAAAGCAGGAGGATGGTTGGATCCAAACCTTGTTGTATCATTGTGTATGATATATTAAAAACCGACAAGTTCTTTGAAATGGTTACTCCTAGTACACAGCAAAAGTCTTCTAGTACTAGCATTAATTTGTGCAGTATTACAGAAGATAAAATTGAAGAATTTCATGCAATTGAAGCCAAAAAAAGACTCTATTATCATGATTTATTTAATCCATCAACAAATACGACGACGGTCCTTTGTAAAGTTGGAGAAAAGAAGAAATACGTCGTTCTCGTTGAGCCACAAAAAATCAATTTAAAAGAAACATGCGACAAGAAAAATTATAATGCACATAAATCCGGAAAAGAAACTGCAGACAAGATAAAAACACCATCGACTAAGAAGACTAGTGTAGATGTTGTGACACGTGATAATCCTGTTATTAATTCCAAATCAAGAGAAATGAGAAAAGACATTGTAACGACGCCAAATGCACAACACGAAGAGTGTAAAGGTAAAATAAATGCAATTATTAAGACATGTGAGCTGGAAATCAAGCAATTTTCAGTAAGTGCTTTACAAAATGAACCTTGTAATACAAACGACGAAGGCCTTGTGAAAACTCAGCCTCTTGTAGATGCAATCACCCCAAGTTCCTCCAAAATAATTAAAGATGAGGCAAGTATAACGAAAAGTAAAACTAAAGATGTAAAACATGATGACGAGGAAAAAGGAAAACCACTAATCACACCAAGTCCAAACTCTTCTAAAGAAACTTTGACCGTGGGCAATAATTCTACTAGTACTACAAATATTGCCAGCACTGACGTTGACGTAAAGAAGCAGAAAATAAACATGTTGAAACAACAAACTTCTACCCCTGATACATATGTTGACGATGCGGATGATCAACAGCGAAGACGGCGACGCCAAAGAGAAAAGGATGAAACAAAAAGAGAAAAAGATAAGAAGTTTGAACGACTGGAAAATGAGAGGCAAAGAAAATCGTCTGATACTAAGAAATCTATAGTCACTGATAGAGAAACGACAACATCGAAACTCTTACAGACTTGTTATTCCCCTACAAAAGGTTTATCAATGCCTCAGTCCTTTCGGTAAGTAAAAAGTTAATAAATATATATATTATATTTTATTAATGATTTATCATTATGTGTTACTAACTTTCTTCAAAATACGATATGAAAATATTAATCACACTATAATAAATCAAACATTTAGTAATTCGCGTCGTCAAGTCGTGCCTTATATCAAAGTCAAAGTGTTTTATTCCCAATGGACCAACCAAACATGTTGCTACTTCATTGAAGTTCAATATTTTATTTCGATTTGCAGTTGCGTGTAAAGATAGCAAAATCGGCATTGTTATAATTCCTAACGTTTATTAATTATTGGTATTATTTTTATGATCACTCATTTCTGCGGTTTTCGGGGATTATTTCTTGATTTTATTGTTGAAAATTGCTAGCTTTCAATGAACTACTGTCATTTTCATCAGGCAAGAATACAAAGATATTATGGTATTATTTTTGTATAGTGGACAAATTTAAATCTTTCATATTGACAAACACACTTAGAATTACTACTATTATTTCAGAATTCCCAAGGCTCAAGGTGACTACCCGAAAATACCAAAATTGCAACAAATTTCTACACTTCTCCCGAAATTAGATGAAAATGAAATTCCTAAACCAAAAGTTGATGCCACGAAAGAGGAGGATAAGAAACAAACTTCTGCGACGACGAGTGCCATTATTAAATTTGAGCCTGACCAATCAGCAGCAGACGAGCCAAAATCCCAGGTCGATGGTGGCCATGATGAGTCCTCCATATCAGTCCGTTCCCGTATTATCGATGAAAGCGAAAGTCTTCTGCCTAAACTGCAATGTATCAGTGACGAAAATAAGAAACAAGCTTCTACGACTCCTGTTTCTACGAAACCTAAGCATGACGAACCATCAGAAAAACCAAAGTCCCAGGTTGATGACTCTACAAACCATCAAATTAAGCATGAAAAACAAGCTCTAGCCTATAGTAATTATGATAAAATAAATACGTCGCAACAATCTCCTAATCGTCAAGTACAACCAGAATTTAATTGCCCTGCTACTCCCGCTATGCAAAATGATGCTGATGAGGCTGTTGATGAATCGCATGCTACTATGCCAGATCCAGATGATGCTGCTGACGATTCCAGCGTACCAAATGATTGTGGAGCAACTTTACCCCCACTTTCAGAAATAGTAGAAATTGGGAACTTTGCCAAAGCTGTTACAGTATTGATTCAGAAAAATTTTGATATATCAGAGCCCACCTTTAATAATTTCACCAGTACAACTGATGCTATCACTGGAAAATGTGCTTGGTGGTTTTCTAAATGTGATAAGGAGCCTCCAAATTTGGAAGATATAAAATTGCCCAGATTAGACTCGGTGAATTCTTCGTATGGGAGCGATGCTGGGAGCGATGCAAGCTTCCTCGGAAATGTTAGCGATTCGGACAGGCATGATGACAATTGTCAGGTTCATGAAATTTCCTCAACTAGTCATAAACTAATCCGTGGATCGACTTCCTCGACTGTTGACCCTGACAAGGTTGACGAGTTTTGCGTAAGTTTATTTCTGATGGGTGGGTCGGGTTATGAAAGGTGGGTGGAGTTATGTTTGACAGATCTACGGGGTCAAAATATTATTCTTATCGAAGTACCAACGAAAATTGACTTAAAAACTGCAAAACTGGTTTGGCATTGTGTGCGAATTTCGTGTTTGATAGTGATTTACAGTCTATAATTAATGTCATTTTAATTTATTTATAGGGACGGTCACTACTACAAGCTAAAATTAGAACATCTGCTGGCCAAAATTTTCGAAACATATTTGATCTTCGTTCTGGATCTTCGTTTTCGTACGACAAGGAAAACTTCCAGGTACATTATATGGTTTATAGATAAATCAGTTTCAAATGACTCGTCGTCTTTAATGCCTTTAATGTTTTTTAGGCCAAGTGCAACTTGTGTAATCAACTTATCGTAGGGAAACTAAATTTAGCCACACACGTTCGTGGAGCAACCCACAAAGAAAATCTTCGTAAACTTGGTAAGTGGATCTTTATTACCATTGTTGAAAGTCTTTAATAATTTGCTATGAAATAGATTTGCACATGGAGAAGTCTGAGAAAGCCGAAGACAATTCTGTCACACAGACATCGAAGACTATGTCGATCACGAAAACTGAAGAAAAGAAGACAAAAGAATCAAAATCGTCTCCTAAAAAAGATTCCTCAAATGAGAAGGAAATACGACTTTCAAATGAACGGGTTAAAGTAAAAATTGAACCATCTGGAATGAAAATGCAATATGGAACAACGTCCACAGGTACTTAATTAATAGTTAATTATACTTTGATTGTCTTAGGCGACTAGTCATGTCTTCCAAAAATAGCATACTCGGTCACGAACCTAGGCGGTCACAATTGGCCGGTTCTGGTCTAAAGTATGACCTCTGCAATGCTATTTAGTTTTGCTAATTAATTGTATATTTGCATTGCCTACTCCAGTATGGCAAGTTTATTCACAATAAGTATCTGGAATGACGAATTAAATTGTCTGTTTAATACATTAATTAATACAATGTCAAGTCCAATATTCCATCCCACAACAAGACGTACATAGTTTGATAAGAATTTAACTATTTACCATGCAATAAAAAATAATCATCCAATATTTATTATTAGGTTTGAGCGTTAAAATTCCAGTGGAGGATGATGTAAGTATTGTAAAAAGATCAAGGTCTCCTTTGGAGGTAATATCTCGATCAAAGAAGTCAAGATCACGTTCTCCCAGAAGGCGAAGGTAAATAAACAAACAAAATCTATAATAATATCCTGTTAAAATGGACCAACACTCTTTTAAGGCAGCGACATATCCACCTAGGGTATATTTTAATCGCTAATAGTAATACTTTTGTCTGTTTCATATTATTGTAGGACACGTTCTAGGTCCAGATCTCCAGTCTCCAGAATTCCTAGATCTCCAACGGCATTGAGACTGTCACGTAGATCTCCAGAACATTATAGTAGAAGTAGAAGACACTCTCGGAGATCACGGTCTAGGTCTAGGTCTAGGTCTCCAAGATCTTCAAGAAGGAGGAGAACAGATTCTGATGAATATCGAAGTCGTAAAAAATCACCTCCACGAAGGAGTCGAAGAAGGTCAAAGTCAAGGAGTCCTCCATTGCCGAAGAAAGATAACAGAGAGTTTCACGCTAAACTAGCTCTTACTGCCGATGGAAAATGGACTGATGAGATGGAGAAACAGTGGAAATTAATGGAGGCAGAAGAGGCCATGTAAGGGATTCAGCATAATTAATTATATATATATTTGATTAAGTGCATGCGGTAGTTATTTAATAATAGTACTCACAATTGTTATAAGAATTAAAAGAATATTTAGTAATGAACACCCTCAACTTTATATTATGCACAGGTTTCGTGAACAATTTATCGATCGTCGAAAAGAATACGTTTCAGCCCCTGAGGAGCATCCTCGTTATGCAAATGAGTGGACAGAGTTTTGGGAACGGAGATATCAGGAAGTTGAAAAAGAAGGGAAAGATCCTGATACATACAATTATGTCGTCGAGTGGAAGGATTTTTGGTCAAAGCGACTGAATTTTTTACTTCAAGAAGAAGCGGATGAAAAGATGTAAGTTAGATAGTAAAGAAAAATTAACTAACAATTGTTAAAATAAACAATTAAGTATTTACATGCTTCGTATTCTAGTACTATTTATAAATACTAGGGTTGTGTGAACTTAAACATTCTTTAAATATACTTTTTGTTCTTGTTTGAATAGTCGTGAAATCAAGAGGAAGTACAAAATGGACTTTGAATCTTTGAATTTACTCCGAAAGACTATACATCAATCAACTCCTGTCCCTGTGAATGCTAATAAAATTCTTGAAAATCCCGAACGAGTCTACTTTGAACGAAACAAAGCTGACCAAATTATGAATGGATCCGCATCTGCTACAGTAGATCCCGCAATAATGATCATGCTGGGTAGTAACTCTAGCAAAGGAAATGGTAGTATTATAGACATATCTGATGAAGGAATGTCGGCAATTTCGAGCGGAAACGTAATTCTCAATGGTATATCAAAACTAATCAAAAACTTTATATTGCATGTATATTTTGATATTTTATTTTTTTAGCAGAACAAAATAAGGTCCCTGAAGCTGCTAAGCGTTCAATTTCCGTTGAAGATTTCAAGTCGACATGGGAAGCGTACACTCGGCCTAAACCCGATGGGAATTATTTAAGGAATCCTTTAGGGACAAATCTAACAGATGGTTTACGCCAAGGCCAAGATTCAGTTTTCATTCCTGAATTTAGCGTAAAAACGCCATTTTCTCAACCAAGTATAGCCCCATCAGACGATACTACTACTACGAGTAGTGATGGTAGTTTAGATTCTCTTGGATTTGATTTGGTTCAAGTTTTGAGGTTGATGTGTAAAACTGAAGACCAGTTAAGTTTTCTAGCTCCTAAAGTGTTGGAATATTTTAAAATTGTAAGCCAATTCAACATTATTATTCGTAACTTACCTCTTCTTGCAGCATTTAATAACTAATTTAATTTTGAATCACCTGCTATTCATCCAGGCGGAAGAATTAGAACTGAAAAAGAGCAAAGGATCACATATTTTGTTGGGCAATGAAGAGCTCGTGACTATTTTATTTCAAGCAAGAGACCGCTTTATGACTATGGTAATGATCGTTCAGATAGATTTTCTAAGTGGCTACAATTAAATTAAATAATATTACATATATGATGTTAAAATAATTATCTATCTACAATTTGTGCAGATTCGCTCAAATGTGCTAGGAAGGGATATTTTACAAAAATTAAATTTAACGGTATATGGACTCAATTCAATCCTTGAGATCCCTCAATGCCAGAAATTTCGGCCCGCTCCAGTTCCAGTTGCAACTAGTCTATCACCTGAAACATTTACAACGCCAACTATTTTAAAAACCAAGACTTTGTCGAAACCAGATTCGCCAGCAGCTGTGGAGACTGTAAAATCTGATTCCCCCAAGGTTCCAGCAATGTCGGCTGCTGGAATAGAGGTTGCCACCGTAGCAGCTCATCTTTCCCCTAGAGTGAAATCTTTTCTAGCAGGAGAAATTTCAAAGTACCTTCTCCTTGTCGGAGGTCAAAGTATGTCAGGCCCTGAACTGGCAGAATTTGTATTAAAGTTAATTTCTCCATTAATTAAAAAAACCAACAAGCCAATGATGGAAAACAAAGCTGATTCGTCGTCGTCCGAGAAGCGGCCAGAAAGGAAAGAACAAGATCCATTCGACATAAATATCTCACAAAATTCTCAAGCGACAATTCTTGGGCACGATTACACTCATTCTTTTGATATGAGGATCACGGGCGTTAGTGGAAGTAAGGCGGTGGGAAGTGCTCTACCAACGCTGCCAAATATGTTTTACAGGTAAATACATTTGCACATACTTCTTTGTTTTAAATTTTGTTCTTGGATTATGATTATGAACATAATGCACGAGAGACTTAAATAATAATTGTAATTTATTTCCAGATCGGCGAATGTGGAATCACAAGAGGAACCAATGATTGACGTCAGAAATCGACGAAATGCTACTCCTGCAACCAACAATGATCAGCCACCATCTAAATCACAAACACGGGAGGATGACGGGAGGCAATCCCCATTTTCTAGACGAGAATTGTCCATGAACCCAGACAGAGATGTAGTTAGATATTAGTCACATTTTTATTACTTGGACTTGCATGTGTATCATGTCTATGTGTTATTTTTGCAACTGTCGTGTACGAAAATTAATTTCTTATGAATCTTTATTCACCAGCCAATTCCTCTAATATCCAATAGTTTTTTTGTGATGCTAGTTTTATTATTTAATGAATATTAGTTATTACAATAATAAATATATCGTTAAAAAACCAAAATTGCTGCTGCTTGTGCATCATTTCTGCATTAATCATTAGGAATCTAAAATTATTTATCTAGATCAATTCACTTACTTACACGATGTACAAAACTTTCTTTTACTTGTAGGAAGTGGTTGAATGCGAGGACCAACGACTGTGAGGTAAGTTTTACTGGTGAATGAATGATGATTTAATTACTTGATTTGATTGCAAATTATAATTTTAATTGTGTATTGAAAAAAATTGCAATAATTATCACAACTAAGTTTTCTTAATAAACGATTTTTAATCAACAATTTTTTTTTGATATCTAGCAGACTTACCATTTTTGTCAGTGAGACGACACAATAATTTATACATCGTTCCATTCATTTCAATTAATTTCAATTAATATAAAAAGATACCAGAAGTACACACAGAAGAAATATTATTGCTACATACAATAAGTGATAATTTCATAATAATAAGTAACATTCATTCAAAAATGGGGATTTGCGCAGTATCATCTTTAAAACGACTTAGACTTTTTAATCACTCTTATCCTTTTCTCGATAATGGAGGAATACGCAAGAGAAAATAAATACTCCACCTATCATAGAAAAGGCACCTGCATAGTATGGGTAAGCACTTGGAATGAATCTCTCATACTGAGTGTGCTGTAGGGGTCGGACAGATACCTGAAAATATATTAATTAGAATTCAATTTCCAAAAATACTGGCAAAACTTTTAGTTTCATAAATGTTAAAAGAATCTCACTTGTGTTGTGCTCGACAGAAACGTGTAACCTTTTCTGTGATAATCAATCTTAAATTGGAAAACTCCATAAACGTCTGGAATTTTGAACTTGGCTTCGTAGAGGCCGGCTTTGTTCCCAGCAACTTTGGTCAAAGTGGTTCTAACGAATGGGTCAATACGAACGAATTCGAGCTGCACATCGTTTCCATTGTATCCGGTCCACGACCCATCTTTCAATTCTTCGAGGACGACATTGTACACCACATCTTCGGTAATGGTGTAGGCGGCAGGAGCATTCTTCTCGCCAGCCTTGTGATGCGTCACGTTGCTTAACCTGAGAACTCCCTTTTCTTTGAAAACCCACTGAGCAAGAGCCGTCGCCAGTTTTTCGTTGCCATATTTGACATTCTTGCCACCCTGTAAAATTTTAAAATTTCATAACCTTGCTTAACAAAATAACATGCAAACATATTCAAAGTTATTTAACTTGAAATATTATTTTTCTCACCCTTTGTGCAGTTGCCACTGCATACTTGTCAGAAAACAAATCCAAAGATCCACAGAAAATTACGCGAGCATTGTTTCTTGCTTGAAGTCCGGCAACAAGTACAGTATTTTTTCCAACAGTGTGAGGATACTGCAAAAAATAGCACATTATTATAGCATGATGTTTATGTAGTGTATATATAAATAACTTGGTAATAAATACCAACCTCGGAGATTTCTTTCTCTGGATCATACGAATAAGCAGTGCTTGATGCAGTCAAAATTTCCAAAACCAATGGATTATCCGGATCCAGCAGTAAGCTTGCCCCTTCATACAAAATTGCTTCTGAATTTGAAGATCCGACTAGAATTTCGGCTTCAATCAAATTTTTAGGGTCCACAGAAACCACTGTATGCTGCGCATGGGTGATTATTAGATATTTAGGTAATCGATTTCCCAAATTCGTTTCAAAACTACATACCCTTCCAGAATCAATATTGGCATCAAAATTGAGATGGTCTATAACATAGGACCCTGGATCATCAAGCTCAACACCAAATTCAGCAGCCAAATCTCGCACAGCATCTCCGCTTGCAGGACTTGCAGCGATAAGAATATTTCCACCATGATCCACAAACTCGGCCACAGCCTCTGGGTTCAAGTCTCCTCCGAACTCATCCGTCCCAGGTGCAAAAAGGATGACATTTTGATAGAGCCACATCCCGTACTTTTTTAAACTCAGGCCAGCATCATCTGCCATCTTGAACGTTAGCTGATAGCCAGAATCTAACCATGCATAATAAAACAAATCAGATTTATGAATAAATGAACGTTCTCACCAATGAACCGTTTGCTGGTTGTATGATTACCTTGCAATTTCCTGAAGAACATTGAATGAGTCTCTTTTATTGCCAGGTTATCTAACAAAACCAACGTGTTTTTGTTCGCCGAAGAGTTTTGTGTCGTCACCTTGCCCAAAGAGAACGAGGCAATCAGCACGATAAGGCAAGAAATCCATCGCGATGTGACAGGCATGTCGGACGACAAGAATTTCCCTCCTTAAAATAAAACATAAGTGGTCAATTAAATTTTATTTTGATGAAAAAAAATACATACACCTCATCCTTAAAATATTAATCGTCAAATTAAAATTTTAAATATATTTACAAATTAAATCACTTTAGAACATTTTGGACTTACAGACGACGACGGAACACGGTCACAGGCTGGTCGCCAAGATGGTCACCGAAATGAGAAATTATTTTTGACAGGAACTGCTGGATCTGAATTTTTATTTGATACGTGTCCAGCGAAGAAGGAACCGGCAGAAGATGTAGCATAAAATCAGATGGGGCTGGAGACGAAGAGATGGCAGGTGCGAGGGCTTGACAGACCAACAACCAATTCCCATCCAAGTCAGCCTCACTCACGTTGATTTGTTTTTATTCATTATATTCAACGAGTGATTGTTGTTATTATTATTATTCTCTAGATTTCAATTATTTACTACAAAAATTCAAGTAAAAGAAAAAATAACGGTTAATGCCAAGACGTTGGTAGAAATTCAGGTAATTTCATAATTTAAAGTCTAGGATCTATGATAAGATTGGTGAAAGCTGTCACCCAAAATACGAATAATACAAGGTTTTTGTTATTTTTTAAAAATTTCTGCCTGCCTGGTAAAATAAAAATCACAAGGTCGAAGATTAGGATTACAGATTAACGAGCTTCATTGTGTGTTATTTTGTTTTCAGAATATAAGGACGGATCCCCTAAAGAAAGTATAAAGTAAAGACTAAGGACTAACGTTGAATGTCGAAATAGTAAAATGCGATCGTTTCATCGTGACCACTTTTTCGTGAAAGGATGGCCATACTCGTATGCTTTAATTTTCTACGTCTTGTCACTCCACGTCCTGGACACAAACACCAGATCTTCGTCTCCACATTGGAAACTGGAGAATAATGGAAATGATCTAGTACCAAAACCTGTGGGTACAGGGTCAGCAGGTCAGCAATTAGTAAATATTGTAAATAAGTAACTTATCGCGACATAAGGTTGACGACGATTCATTTAGTCACAAAGTAATATAATAACCAACAGACCATTACAATTATTATTAGGCGCTGATCTCAATGGAACAACTGTCGCGTCATTGTCATTAAGAGGGTTGTTAAGTACAAGAGAAGAAGATGATCTCGTGTTCCAGATTCTAGCTTCAACCGTCGTGAATTCGGGAGGATGGATGAAAAACGGTCAAGAGGTGTATTGCCCAAGTTGTCCAATGGGCCAACACCACAGACTTCAAGATGACGATGGAAGCCTTTATGTTACTTCAGTGGACGATGGTACCCATGAGCCGTTGGAGTGTGGAAAACCAGGTATGTTAAACATACATTATTTTTTATTTAAATATATACGATTAAATTAATGATTACATGATGATTACTCACGTTAACATACACTAAATACTAATTTTCATCATTTCAGAATCAGTCATAACCTATTACGATCAGTTGATGGGTATTGCGAATCGGCATAACCATCCGCACATTCCAGAACCCCAAGTATATTAAGAACTTCATAAACATGTATGCTTTTACTATGTGGAGTATGCATTTAAAATGTGGTTTGTGTATCCCTACAGGTGGCAATGCATTTTAAAAAGAAGGGCAGTAAAAAAGACACAATTGACTTGAACGCCTTGGAAAGAAAGTTGCGTAAAGCAAAGAAAGAGGTTTGATTGAATTGCCAACTATACATATAATCAGCAGTGTTTTTGTCTGATCTGATTTATGCAACTATCTATTGTATTTATTTTAGAAACCGAGTTCAGTACAGTTACAGGTATTAGTCTTATTAACTTTGAGAGAAATGATTTCCGATTCAGACATGATATCTTATGATTATGTACGATGATATTATGATTATGATACGCTTTGCAATGATAAAAGCGTCATTTCTCTCGTATGCTTATATTATTTTGACTGCGATTTTATATGTGTATCTCTTGCTTTTAACTTTTAGAACCAGATTGGAAACTTTAACCGGTAAGACTTACTTTAATTTAAACTATAAATATGGTAATTTTTTGTGGTATTCAAGGAAGACATTTTTTATAACGTAGTTTACTAAATCAAGCTATCAAGAACAACCATTTAAGTTACGCAAATTGGGCAATTACTCTTCCTACTTCTTAAGTTGCTGATTTTCTGACTTGTCAGCCAGTTCTGAGGTGAATTTTGTGAAAAGTTGCTTGCCTTTTTTATTTCGCACTGGAAAGCGGATCTGAATCCCTTCAAAATCTTCTTTTGGTCCAATAATGCAGTAGTTTGATCTGCCCAACCGATACGCGCGTCGAATTTGGTCTTCGGTCAATTCACCTTTGACCCCTTCCAGACCTTCAATCGCCTGATTCAAGTATTTGGCACGAATGGGAGCTGATTTGGTCTTTCTTTGCCCTGCTGCTGCGTACTATTATACAAGAGAGAAAGTCATTAATTATATTATGATAAACAAGATCATTTTGAGAGAAAGTCATGATATGAAACTAAATTACTCACAGTATGGAAGCTTTCCCATTTGAATGCATCTTTCTGATTCTTTTCGGAACTCATGCCCGAATCAAATGTCAACTCCTAAAATAAGAAAGATTAATAATCATTCTAATATCGAATTTAGTAAATTGTGGTAAAGTTTTACACTTACATAATGATAAGCTCTCCACTTCTTCTTACCATCATTGTTCTTCTCCTGCAACATTTTTGCAGGGGATGAGCAGTCTCCAAGTCCGTCTAACATTTGGTGAATGATGCACCCACCTCGTTTAGCACATGTTCCAATGTATACATTGTACTTGCTCAATTTATCATTGCAATATTCATCCAAATCATCATATTTCACTCTTGCTGGGACAACTAAAATCACGTTGCCGAAGTATGGCCGCGTTTTTCCTCTTCCTATTATGGCCAGTCGCATGAATTCATTTTCGTCATCATCAATAGGGTCGTCTTGTTCAACATCACCTAAGATAAGAATAATATGAAATGGAACAAAGGGCCTTCATTTGGAAAAAGTGAGATTTTCATATTACCAGTGAATACTTCCAATTTATCTTTTTCATCAACATTGCAGTAACTACCGAGCTGATTCTTCTTATTCCAAGCCTTCGCACCCTCACGATGTTTCTTTGCTTGTACTTTCCTCCTAAAATAGACACAAAAAGAATGATGATAAGAGATAAAGTACTTGGTTAGCGTCGGGATGCACTTACTTAGCGTCTGAACCGACATGATGATTACTGTTGTGCTTTCTTAAAGCGCCGATGGATGAACATCCAGTACCACATGTTGGGCATATCACACTTTTCGATATTTTGCTTTTCCTCCCATTCCTGACTTTTCTCACAATTGGAAGACTGTCGTCACCTGTTGCTAATGTTTTTCGACCCATATTTACTTTCAATATTCACAATATTCACAAAAATGGTGCGAAAGTGAGTGAGCGAGTGAGTTCAGCAGTCAAGGAAAGCCATCAACATTTCATCATAATTTATCCAAGTCTCAACACGTTTTATCGTGTTTATGAATCTCGACTTTTTTTATTATCTCATATGATCTCATGTTGATTTTCATTGTTAATTTTAATAATCGCAGGATTAAAGGGCACACGCTAAGAGCAATCGAGTGTTTCCGAAGGGCCCTAGCAGTCGCTCCCAACAATCCGGAAGTATGTATTTATTTGTGCATCGGTTTCAGAAATTGGCTGCATTGACAAGTTGTGCAGGCTTTATAAAGTGGCCGGTTTTATTTTGTCAGGTTTTATTGAATCTCGCTCGATTGCTGTTCACCCTTCAATATCTTGACGACTCTCTCTTTTTGGCAAGACGGTCACTAGAGTTGCAAGCTCCTGACCGGAATGTACGTTGCATTTCTTGCTCATAGTTATGATATATATTATACATATTAAATAAGCGTTAAACTAAATTTTATCTGTTTAGGCCTGGGCTCAGCATTTTGCACTTGGTGAGTTGTATTAAATTTGGGTGACTGCGAGAGTTATTTGTGAAAGACCAAGACTCAGTTTATAACGACCAGTTCCAGTTGTGAACATTTTTTTAGACTTCGAAAATAGTAAGGAACTAATCGATATTAACTTACCATGATTTATTGAACTATTTATAGGCGAAATTTTACGGGCGTATGGCCATCACAGGGAGGCTTTATTACATTTTAAGGTACTATCTAACAGCTCATAAGAGCTCGTATATATGTATGCAGCCACGAGGGTTGGGATATTTAATTCATATATGAGAAGTCCCATAATCTCGTGGTTGCGCCCATGCATATCAAGTCTATAATTTTTTAACATATGTGTACTATATATATAGCATACGCTTGAATTACGTCCAGATCACACGGAAGCACAAGAGCAGGTTTGTATTTCAATCCATTTGTTTGTGACTGAAAGTTAAGAAAAAATCTTATATTTCTATATGGAATCTAATTTGTTTCAGCTTCGCGAGCTTGAAATTTTACTCGCAGGTATTAATAATTAAGTAGTTTTAAGGCAATGACCTAGCTGTGAATACAGTGTACTGTTGTATTGAATTTGTGAATTAAACAATAAATTATTTTCATTTTCAGGAACAGGATTACATACCGTTACATTAATAATAATCATCTTGCTTGTCCTTGGCGTCGTTCTGGTCATGGTTTCCAGTTTGGAAAATGATGAGGCTGCAGATTCTAACCAAAATCGTGCAAGTCGTCATTTCAGTCGAGCACTAGCAATGCGCAGTTTGAAACTTGGAATTTCACCAAGATCATTACGAGGCGGCAAAAGAGGAACGTAAACTAACCACCTTATATTGATCAAGATGTTCGTAGACTTCTCAAAAAATGTCAAAATAGAAATTTAATTTGTTATACATACACAATTTGTTATTATATATGCGTTGACACGAACGTTTAATTTGTGACTGTAAAATCTGACTGATATCGGAACATAACTAATTTAATTGACAGTAATTTCAAGGTGTCTTTTCTTTTCGAAGGAAAACTTTGTTCTGTTCGTTCTTGTCGTTTCGAATGTCTTCAAAAGTCAGAATACTTATAACGCTTCATTATTACTATATTATACATTACAGAACTTGATTATTGTTTGCCGATTAATGAGTCCCGTCGTCCTGATTAACTCAAAATAATAATAATGTTGCTCTAGTCATGACCGATAATTACCTTATCTGAACAGGAATATGATCAAACCCATAATAAATTCATGTAATAATAGTTATAACATGAAATGTGTGTATAACACTGTATCACACCATGTCCATTCTTTTTGATTCATGATCTGATCATGAGCCAAAATCTCAGGAACTGCAGAGTCCAGCAGTAAATTAAATGCATCAACAGCCAAGTTATGTTATTATACGGCTTTTATTTTTAACTTTATAATACTCTGATACCTTCTTTATATTCAAAGAGGAAGGCATATCATTTTCATACATTTTTTCTAATTGCTGGTTCCGAATATATTTTTTTTAATTCATGCACTAGCAGTTTAAACCCAATACTTTATGAATGGAAGTGTACACCATGTTTAATAGGTATAGTATGTATGATATTGTTTTTCTTTCTTATCGTTTATACGTAGTATAACTACGAGTCTAAAAAATCTTCATCAGATTGAGAGTAGATTGTGACGACATCGAATCTATCTCTCGTCAACTGTATTACATTGTATAAATGACCTGCTAAATGTATATATATTTACATAGTGTTGTGGATATATATTGTTGATTTATGCTGCTGAGAGAGAGAGTATGGTATGATGATAGAATAGTGACCTTCTTTAGTTAGAACTGTACCCAACTACTATTTGAGGCTGCCTCACCCCCAGATGCTCCTGAGGATGCTGGGTTTGGTTGATGCGAAGGTGAACTGGTTGGGGTAGCTTCTCGTGAGATGTTGAGCGAAGCTGATGGAGATACCTTCGGTCCAGCCGCTGGAGGGGGAGGTAATAATATTCCCATCCCCCCACCACCAATTTTAGTTTTGGGCTTAGATGGTCCGTCATTACCATCCTTCTGCAAATATGGAAAACTAAAATCAGATCGAGAAAATGATGAAACATTTTTTTATCCATAATTATAACCATATTACATAAATATGCAGTACGATATAAGTAACTAACAAATTACAAACCGTGATAAATTGTTAACAAGCTAACCTGATCCCGTTTTTTGAAACATTTGGTTGGAATTGAAATTTTTTCGCCCTCCTTGAAACCGAGGTCCAAGGCCGGTTTTGGCGCATCTTTCTCCTTCTCAATATCTTGCTCAACTTTAAGTCGTTTAAAATGATCTTGCAGTGTGACGTTAAGGTCAAATGCATTAGATCTATCAGCAAACCCCACCCCAATAAATGCAGTACGTCCAGCTATAAAAATAAAATTTAGTCTTTTATCGACTTGTGCGTTATTAATTATTCTTGCACAGCATCCTGTCTGACTTCTTACCGCTATCATCAATAATTCTAAGTACGAAATATCGAGAAGAATCTGACACTGCTTCAATTGCTGGGCCAGGATATTCTACGGTAGGCATATTATTAGTTGATCAAATTAATTATCTTCAACTATTATCAACTAACCGTCAATTGGGGCCTTTGCAAATAATTCTCCCGAATTTTTGTCCTCCAACTTAATAACACATTTATTTCCAACTGAAGCTAGCCGCAACCTCCCACTCCAATCCGGGTTGTCCAAATTCCATTCATTAGCTCTAAATATTATAACCAATTAACGGTTATTATCAAGTTACACAGAATTCATGATATCTGCATAAAGAAGCAAACACCATGAATTATAACCGACACACAAAACTTTATACCTGTAGCTTCTGTTGGTTGCACGTGGAGGAATTTTGTACATGAAAACTTCAGGCAAAATCAAAAGAACACTTTCATAGTCGTCCATCTTTCCTTTATCTCCTTCAGTATTTATCTTTTATGCAAAAAATTAAATATATTAAACAATCACATAGTAGTATGACGTAACCGGGTATTTATGTATTATTACTAATTAGCATTAAGAGTATTTACCTGAGCGAGTAGTGGCTGTGATTCCTTAATACCAAACCCTATCAACAAAATTTTAAATTAATTACCAATAACAAGACCATATGAAATATCAGTACTCACGACAGAGTACGAGGCATACTAAATCAAAGCTTTTGCATAAATAATCACTAATCAAAGAATAATAAACCAAAACAAACCACTAATCAACTAATTAACCAACCAATCAATAATAATCAGCAGGTTGAATTCAATAAATTCCAGTCTTCGTGTCCTCTAGCCAGACGGAATGTGAAGTGTATTGCGAATACGTAGACTAAAGGAAAGATGAATCACCTTCTTTCCACACAGCGTGAGTGAATCCGAATGAATTAAATTAAATTAACTAACTAACTTCAAAGTCGATGTTGCTCAGTTGACAGATCAGCGAGCGTGTAAAAGTAAATGTGGAGGTGCAGTGAAAGTCTATATGTTTTGATTTGACTTCCCCTCCCACTACGTCTCAAATTCCCCAATCTCAGAGCCACTTTCAAACACCGCTACTCAAATAATAGCATCTCTCTCACATGAGACAATTTTAATTTCTAAAAATCTTGTTCATATTTTTGAAAACCCACAATTCAATATCCAAATTATATTTAGTGTTCAAAAATTATCTTTAAGGGAATAGGATAACTAAATATGAATGCACCTATAGCGGAGAGAAATCAAGGTAAATATTAGTAAATCAGAAATCCTGGATTTATAAAATTTGTATTGTCATCACTAACGAGGTAGAACCCTAATTGCAAGTAATTGATTTTGTTTGTGATTGTTTCAGATGCTACGGTTTACGTTGGTGGGTTGGATGAGAAAGTATCCGAGAGTTTATTGTGGGAACTTTTCGTTCAAGCAGGGCCTGTGGGTAAGTTTAGGAAAAAGATAGATATAAAATATTGTTTTTGAAATTAATTGGTTTAACAACAAATGCTCTAAAACTCAATTTTAATATTCATAGTGAATGTGCACATGCCAAGGGATCGAGTCAGGTAAGGTTTGATACTTATATAATAATGTTTCTTGCTTGTAATTACAAATTGACAATTATTGTCAACTGTACTGTAAAAAATTCTAAAGATTTTCTGTTTAATATGTAGTCTCAACCATCAGGGCTACGGATTTGTGGAATTTATTGGAGAAGAAGATGCAGATTATGCCATTCGTATTATGAATATGATCAAGGTAGAACTCATCAGCCTATAATACCGTATTAAGATATACAAAATACTGAGAAACGTTAAATGGCTATAAAATTATTTTTTAAATTTCTAATTAGCTGTTTGGAAAACCGATACGTGTAAACAAAGCTTCAGCTCACACTAAAAATCTGGACGTGAGTGGCAATTTTATTTTAAAATTGTAAAAATAGATGTTGAATTTATTTAACTTTTCAAGGTGGGAGCCAACATTTTTATCGGAAATTTAGATCCAGAAGTGGACGAGAAATTATTATACGATACATTCTCTGCATTCGGTGTAATTCTTCAAACTCCGAAGGTTTGTCGCACGCAAACATATATTAGTCACATATTAAATGTATATAATTCTAAATATTTTTTAGATAATGAGGGACCCAGAAAGTGGAAATTCCAAAGGATTCGCTTTTGTTAATTATGCAAGTTTTGAGGGTAATCAAAAAACCATACTTAGAATGACATTAGGGCTTAGAAATTACTAAAATTGCGCCCATAATTTCATTATTTCAAAAAATATTGCTAGCACACAAAGACACCACTATGTCCCTTTTTCGTGTTTTTTTTTTAATTTCAGCAGGTTGACTAATAATTATTTTATTTTTCTAGCATCGGATGCAGCCATTGAAGCGATGAATGGTCAATATTTATGCAATCGTCCGATCTCAGTGTCATACGCCTTCAAGAAAGATTCCAAAGGTAATATAAATCATATCGGTTAATAAGTATATGTACATACATATTTATTATAACAAGTGTTTGTTCTCATCTTCGTTTCAGGAGAAAGACACGGGACTGCCGCAGGTAATATCACCTTCTTATACACTTCATATTCATCGTGATCATTTATGACATTATTTATAGTTTGACGACCTAGTTCTCCTTATACTTAAAAAATGTTTTTCTTTATTTAGAGAGACTACTTGCCCAAACAAATCCTCTGGCACAAACTGAACGTCCTCATCAATTATTTTCTGGTAAAATTCTATCTACATTTGAATTGGACTTAGCCAATTTTCTTGACCATAGCATGTATTAGAATCTTTCAATTTTGTAATTAATTTTATTTATAGATGCTCCACCCCCAATGGCAACACTACCACCTCCTCCACCACCAAACTTTATGCCACCACCTCCCTCAGGAAATCACTTACCTCCACCACCTCCCATGATGATGGGTCAAATGGGAAACGTTCCGGGGGGTCAGTTTTTTCCTGGGTGGCCAATGCCTCCTCCTCCACCATTCGGACATGGCTATATGCCTCCTCCACCTCCAAACATGCCTCCCAGGGTTTAGAGAGGATATGTACAGCCTGTCATTCAATTATGATTCTGCATCACTAATAATTATATTACTTTGGTTGAATATTTTTCAACTTTAAGTTTCATTTAATTTTTTTAATATGTAGGTGTTTATTAATTTTTGACATTTAATTTGGAACAATTTACATGTTGTGCATTTTATGATCATGCACATTATAAATCTCTTAAGTGTGTGTGCAACATAAATTCTAATAATAAATTGTTTAACAAAAAAGAAAATCAATTTTGTATATGATTTTAAGCGTTTTATTATTCGGATGAATCTGGAGGGTTCTTTCATGAGATGTATATATACTAATTTAAGGGAAGTTTTGGTTGAATATCAGATCAACCCGCTATAATTGTTTTGGCTAAACTAAATATGGTACATAATCATATGCGTGTTCATTCATATATGGTTGTGAAGCGTATAACAGTGCAGTTAATTAAAATGGAATGATTTACAAACGTGAATCACAGTCAATTGTCTTACTGAATACCTCCCACCACCACAGACCTATTAATACAAGACATATTTCGGGAGAATTTACATACAACCCGACTTTCATGAGTCAGCGGTGATGACGCCGCCGTCTTTTCTTTCGAATCCGTTTCGGCAATAAATTACATTACTAGAAAATAATTTCAATAACGAATCCACTCATTGTAGTTTTCATAATAATACATAAAGGGTTTTTTGATCACGGCTTATGATAAGAACTGATTTGTAATAATAAAACGCTTAAAATTGCTTATTGGTTCATCCAGTATTTAACCTCTTACATTTTAATCTATCGAATTTTTTTAAAGGCATAAAATGGGACCCGAGGTTTGCCTTGTTGCTGCGCAGCACAAAATAAATTCGTCTCTCCTCTTCTGCAGAGTACTTGATAACAATTTTGTATTAGTTTGCGGTGACTTTCACAATCAGATACTAAAGTAGAAATGGAGGCAGATTGCGTCTTCCGGGTGTAGATTTTTAGCAAATACATGTATGTATATAGTGTGTCCCACGAACGTAAGTACGCCATTGGTATAACAAGTGGTCAATTATATATTATTTATGTCTGCGCTGTTGCTGGAATATTTAATGATCGTTTTGTTATCTTGGAAAAAAGTCAGTGCGGATTTGAGTATGTGTACAATACATTGCTGTACCTATAAAACCCTATTTAGGTATATATAGTTTCAATATGAAAGTAAGGCTGACAAAGTGGGCAATATATGTATATAATTGTTGTTTTTTTGGATCGCAAAAGTTATCCTTCGTCATCATAATTTGGTCTCTCCCCTCACATGACGGGCTGTCTATATAGATAATATTGTGGTCATGAAGGTTCTAGTCCTTATTAGTAATAGTAGCAGTATGAGATATATGAAATATTTTAACAGTTATTTCAAAGCCAAGCAGCTTTATACATCCGAAGATTTGGAGTTGCTTTTAACGAAAGGCTTGTCATTATTTGTTTCACGGAAAAAGTCGTCCTGAAAAGTCATACAAATTTAGAATTCCTTAATATCTCATCATCAATAAATGTTAGATTAAAGTATTTATTATGGTTCAATAAGCGTAATTATCTGTTTAAGTACCTGTGGTCGGTCAATATCTTCTAGCGATGCGTCTAATCTAGCAATTGGTGCTTCAGAAATATCCCACGAATCTGGTTCACTTCCTTTTGAATCCTCTCTGCTATTGTCGGTCCAACTCTGAAAGCGGATTTGATTTACAAAATTAGAATAATCATACAACAAATTGTATATGTAGGAAACTGTGCGTGCATGGTGAGCATAGTGTAAGCAAATACTCCAGCTAAATAAATTACGATAGGACAGAAACATGATAAGCACTGTCGGGGAAGATATGATAGAATTGCTTGTGTAAGCTTGACTAATTTTGTGTGCACATACTTTGTTGAGTTTTGAAGAGTGTGAGGTGGACCGAGGAACGTCATCATGAGCTATTTGTTCAGAGTCGTCAACGTTCTCAGCTTTCCTTAGTTTGTATTGACTAGTAGAGGCCGTGGGGGGTGCGTCTTTAAGGGAAATAATAGGTTGCAATAAAGTGGTGGATGGTTGCTGGTAGTGGGAAACCTTTGCTGGCTTGGTGGCAACCCCACTCATTGGGTGCTGTTCCGGACCTAACTACAAAAGTGGAATTAATGCTGTGAAATTATGACATGGTCATCACGCATATCCCGCAATGCCTGATTTCCCTATCGACCCCTTCCCTAATTATTTTATGTCTGGATAATAATTCTCACAATTGAAATACTGCAAGTGCCCAGGTATATACATACGTTACAACAACACACACGGGAAATGCGCGATATTCACACTGCTATGCTAGTCAATTACCTTTGCTGAAGGTTGCAAGTTTTTCATCATAATGAGAATGGTATGAATGTCAGAACCCAGTTTTCGCTCAATGTCTTCCATTTTTCTATGTAATCACAAAATTATGACGACACATGGAAAATGGTAAAGAAATGAAATCGAGACGTGGATGGAGACACACCTGCTTAGATGATCAATCCGTCTATGCAAGTGAATGTCAATAGGAGCGTCAGAATCGAATGAAACGTCCGCGTCCGGGTAGGAATGTGTGATTGAGCGGCGATGTGATTTGCTACTGTCTTTCTTCACTTGTTCTACTAGTACTGACGTTGTCAACTTGTTGTTCCCGTTTGTTTCGACCTGTTGTTCACCAAAATCACGAGATAGTGGAGTCATATCAATATCCGCCAAATCGGGAGCTAATTCCACACAATTAGTACTGGTCAGCCTTCTACAAGCATCTATGAGCGTCCTCTCCATCCCGATACGTTCCTCTTCGTCAGTACTGCACGCACATGAAATTATACTCGTGGAATTATATTTGCAGATTCATTCAAAAAATAATTTTGTTGGAAAAAGCGATAATTTTACCTTCCGTCCATTGAGTCAGTAGGCTTCTCTCTTTTCCTTCTTCGCAATCTCGGAGGCTTGTACGCTTTTTTCCTAACGTCAGATTCCCTCCCTTCAACAGAAGAGCATGATGCACCATAAAAGGATTTGTGTCGAGCAATGCGTGGATCCACGCCAGAAAGTTCCTCCTAAACATTAATTAAATTTTGTAATTGCTAAGAACATGATTCTCGACCTGATATATGGTGTATCTTACATCACGCAAATTAAACGTAATTTCAAGATTGGTTGAGAACGAGTTTGCAAATTCTGGGTACCTTCAGGATTCGGGTAGTACATTTGGAATTTAGATATATGTAGAAATTATGACAGGTCTTTATTTAACACAAGATAAAGAGTTTATTATTAAGTAGTAGCATACATATCAAGTACATCCAGTAAGTCATCGCGAAGAATTTTGTGAAGATCTAGTAAATTTCAAACGAAAATTGTCAAAATAACACATGCATGTACCTACTAATAATCGAGAAGGCTAGATTGTAGACTTACCACAGTACGTCAAAGCCCTTAAAAGATAACAAATGTCCATTATTAAGTTTGATTCAGATTCATGGGAGATATACAGAATTTGTAATATTGTGAATAAGTTTTGATATGAACAAATGTTGGGAACTTATAGAATAATACTGATTTGTTACCTGACATTACAGGACGATTTTCCAATCGTGGGATGAATACATGGATTCTCACCAAAAATGTCGTCTTTGCCTATAAAATTTTCGAAATATCGTGAAATTTAATATATATCAGTGCATTCATATAGCAGTCTGGAACATACTGAGTATCGCCATCACAATATCTTGTTGGGATCCCAAGGGACTATAAATCATGATGATTAATTTTAAGATGGTGCCAATATATCATCACAGTTTTGCTGTGTTTGGCGTCTGACTTACCCTTTCAGTATTTCGATAGAACCTCTCGAAATAAAGTATAATGCAGTAAGCACATCCCCTCGATGGACCTAATATTAATATAACGATCCAATAGTTAGTTAATACTCATATCTTAATAAATATAAATATATAAGCAAAAATGTTTAGCGTACCAGTGTATCTCCGGGTGGTGCGTGTGTTGTCTTGAATTTCATTGACAAAGCGCTAAAGTATTTAGAACAAGATTATAATGCATGTACACATGTAGATATTTATGTATGGATTGTATTTATAGAAATACTCCTACCGCAGACACCCCTGAGAAGCATCTTTGAAAGCCGGACAACTGTGGAGTTATTTAAAAATTAAAAATTATTTTAATAATCGTTCATTTCATACGAGTCAAAATTTTCCTCACAAAAATCATTTAAATATGTGCATAAATCAGGAGAAACAACGCAAGAAAAACAAGAACTACTTTCTTTACAAAAAGGACTATTCCGAGGATTAATTATTTCTAGTAGGTTTTAGACTCAACTTTGAATTACAATTAAATACAATGAAACTCTTATTTCTTACCTGTTGAGCAAGTTTCGATTTAAATGTAAGCAAATGTCAGCTTGAAGGCATTCTGCAAAATAAAAAATTGAAGCCATCAAAAATCATACTTTTTTGGCTAATGAAGTCGTTACCTGGAAATCCTTTCAGGACGCTATTCATGTCGATACCTACATATAAAAATCTCTTACTTTCATGCCCATATGTCAGGATACTATATCATGCATTTTGTATTTTGATACCGTTGGTGTATGTCCAAGCGTGCTATAACACATTGCAAAATTACAATTCCAATCAACCCGAACCCACTAATCATAATGGTTATCAAAACATTAGCAAACCTGAAAGTACTCTTCGAGCCGTTGCCTGTAAAAATAAATTAAACTTCAATACTCTAGTCGTTTAGTTTCTTTAATAATTTCACTTACCGCAATGGATTTGGAATTTGATGAAACTGCAAAATTATTAATTAGTTCAGTAAATTAGAATTATTCTGTATTTAAGAGCAGAAATTTCAGTGACATTGGTTTTAAATTACCCTAATGAATTCTCTGACGCGAAGCATTTGTGTGTGGTATCGAGCAGTCCCCGAGTATAGCCGTTGTATTATCGCGGAAACATTTCCAAAGATGCTGGCGTACATTAAGGCTAAAATAAAAATAATACAATTTAAGGTCAGAAATTACCACCGTCGCGACGGTCGCCACCCTTTCAGTAACTTACATCCAACAAGCATGACGGCAATCGTGAACATTTTTTCGGCATCCGTATTAGGAGAAACCTATTTTATATAATACATAACATTTCAGAATATTTATATTATGTGATCGTGTTGGATTTGTGAACTTACGTTGCCGAAACCGACAGAAGTTAGACTACTGAAGGTGAAGTATAAGGCAGTAACGTACCTCGACTGTTGGAAAATGAATTTTGTATTTTTAAAAAATTCTGGGCCTGAATTATTCTTCTAATAGATAATTGCCTTTAATGTAGGACCGACTGTTTTATTGTTTTCATCAAAACCATAAAATTGATGCGTGTCGTTTGCAAGATGGTCCAGCCACCTTTGATGCAAAATTAAAATTCGCCGTTAAAATGTCAGTTAGTCTAATATATTAAAAATTTCCGCTTGTTCAATAATTTGTATGCTATCGACTCACCCAATCCCTGGATTGCTAAATGTCCTCTCCGCATTGCCAATTGCATACCTTTAATTACGAAATTTGTGTGTCAATTATCATCACTATTCATTCATCATAATGATAAAAACAATAACTGACTCTTGACTTTAGTCTGACTTGGGAAATCTATTTTCTAGCAACTTAGGAAGATGACATAATAATATTAATACTTATAAATCCGACTCACCAAATACTGCTCGGAATCAACGACGCATTGTGTGGGAGAGAAAAACAGGTATTGTTAATTTTGTTGTTGGGTATGTTTTATCATGAATAGTTATGAATTACTCACCAAGCCAGCCAATGGGCAATAAGAGCAAATGTCGCCATTAAAAGCAATAGCACAGCAGCCCCATACTCGCTGTAACGATCTAAAAAATAAATTAAACATGTTGGGTCGTACATATTAATTACTCGCCGAACGTACAACCCAGTCTTCCTAATCCAACTACATTTACAACCAAGCATAGCAAAATGCCTGGAAAAGGTCACGCGAGATACAGCAAACATACCAATCTTCCTCGCAACCCGGACAAGCCGAAGAAGTCGTGCAGTTTTTAACAGTCCGATTAGTGTCGTAGTTTCATCCGTATTCGTCCCGAAAAGGTAAAGGAGTAAATCGAACGGTATGGCTGCAACCAAGTCGATGATGAACCACCCACGGAAGTAGTGGACAGCGATCCTGTTATATTACAGAAAATCCCATCCTATCAGTTCCATCGTTTTACCTCAATGTCAACTAATACATAAGCTATAGGCTACATAAACTCTAGTACATAGACATGTATGAAAAAAGTTGTGGGGATGCTATCCAACAAACGAACGACACAATTTTCGCCAACAATTTTTATACGTATTGATACCAAGAGATTATAAAACTCTTGGGGCATGTTGAGATTTTAGTATATTATTTGCTTAATAACCTAAGGGGGAAGGGGTTATTAATGATTGATTTAGATTTAATATAGGGGTGCAAACAATCTCTCCCGTATCAAAACTTGTCCAAAGGGTTAAAACTTGTCCAACTTGTAAAAACTAAAAAAAACTTTGGCATTTTTTGACTTTTCATGTCCGTTCTCGAAGGCTTCAAAATTGAGAATCTTTCGGTAGTATAAACGGATAGTAGTAATTTGAAATTTTATAGCCGAATTTCTTTAAGAAATTAATAATTTTATGATTAGCAAAAAATAAAGCTTATTGAAATCAAACCAAGATCTTTACCTGCCAGGATTTGACACTACTTCATCATTTGCGTTCTGAAACCAATATTAGTATTTAGTTCAAAACTTGTGAAAACAAATCGGAAAAAAAAGTTTTAGAAAATTCCCCTTGCTCACCACATACGTTGTCCGAAAATTTATCAGAATGTCCACTATAAACATGATGTCAACTGTGTAAGAAAAATAAATAAACTTTAATCTTACTGACTGAAGTACCAAAGTTTGCTTTTATCGATTTGATACAAATCTATAGGAGGTGCATTTTTTACGACCCATGGGCATGAAAGTTCTCGATTTTTAATCCCATGCACGTAACAAAATATATATGCATATTGCAAATGTGTAGCTTATGTCAATGGCGAATATTCAAGAATCAATTTTTTGTACTCGTGACATTTGACATTAGCCAAGCTGGAGAATGTGCAAGTCCAGAACTTTGTGTGGGATAAACATGAAAGGGTTCCTGGTTGACTTTTGTCATTGTTGCAGACCGGATATCAAATATGACACAAATTTTGAGAGTCTTTGAGAAATTGAGTCTGTCAAGATTTATGGGCACTCGTTACCGATAAAGTCGACGACGACGATCGGATCCTCACTGTAGGGCTTTTGTTTGTTTTCAGCAAAATCAGGTTCATTGAGTAGGAAAGCTGGAAAAGTAAACAGCATTTTATTATAATCCTCAGAATTATATCCCCTTAATTGTATTATCCTCAAAACAATTTATTAATACCTGCAACGTAAGGCGTAACAATGGCCGTGTACATTACTGAAATGGAATTGAACATAATTTTATGATTTAACTAGAATCTAAAATATGCATTTACGTGAAAAAACAGATGAGATGTAAACCATACGAAGTGTGCAAACCCTTTCTCACTCATGTATGACATGTAGAATTAGGAATTTTTTAATTACAATACTATTAGTCAACATTTGCGTCCTATTTTTTGTCTCAAGTTAATCCTTATTTAGCTCCCTTCACAGTTACAGACAATTTTATACTCAAAACGTTTCGAAATTCTAAAAGTAGGTGGGTGTTAGCCGCGTGTAAAGTTTCCGTGAGCTGCTGCTTTTACGTGAAAAGAAAGTACAGGGCAGCGAACAGGGCAATAATCCAAGTCTGTGGCAGCGAAAGGTAAGTTCATCACATTCCCTTTCTCAGTTTCTCACTTTCTCTGGCTATAATTCGGTCTGCTCAAAATTGCGATGCACAGTTCGTATGGTTTAATCAGAGGATGATGATAATTGTAAATTATGGTTGATAAATACCTAGGATAAGAATCAGCCAGTCCCACACCGCCTGAAAACATCAATCAATTCATTAAATGAATTTAATTGATACCGTAACCTTTGGCCCTCGTCATAAGTAAATACTTATCCTTAGATATAATCTTTGGATACACATAAGTGATGTAAGATTTTTCACCTTAAACGGCGAATAATGCAAAATGGTCCACTTGTGAATGCGAGGCGACTGGAGTCGATATTCCTATTAAAAAATATAGTTGAGGTTAGATTATGGAACCCTGCAAATTTAAGGTTATAAATGATTTGGATTTGAAAAAGTCGAACGAAGGATACGATTAGTAAGTTCGCAAAATTTTAAAATATAAAGACCAATTAAAAGAAGGCAACACTTACTGGCAAAACATCTGCCCCCAGGGACAGCACCTAAAATAATAAAGTATACCCAAACCATTATAAATAGAGTTTAAATAAATACATACATCTTGCTAAACACATGTGTTGATAAAATTTAAATATTTGAAATTCGATTTAAATAAACTAATTTGGCTAATTCGCTATACACAAGAGAATTAAGTATGGTCCATTTAAGTTGAACCTGAAAGAACATTTTAATTAAAATCAGGTCTGAACTTTCCCCTTCGTGTTGGTAGATATCCGATTATATAATGCATTTACATTTGCATTATTGCCTGGAAGGATTTTTCTACCTCATTTCCTTTGTGTCAATCAACTCTAATAATTATACAGCAATCATTTAAAATGTACTGAACTCGCATCCATCATAAAACCCCTAAAGCTTTATATACGAAAAGTAATGGGGGAAAATACGTGTCGTTGGAATTTAAATGTTGCAATTAATTAATCCATCTATGCAGTTTTTCTCAATTCTGACAAATAGTTTAAGTAAACTTTGTTCATAAACAGGTAAGGAAAAAGTGTTGGTGTAGAATTAATACCGAGTGTGGCAGGCTAGTTGCTGGCACTGTAATTGCCTTGTTCATGAGCACCCGAGTTTTGTGCCGGGTGGTGGAAGTGGTGAGAGAGAGATCACTTCCGGTACTTCCCAAATAGTCACTACAAACGGGATTAGAAGAGGAGAGAAAACGTAAAGCCACGAATTTCTTTACCCCCGCTCCTGTACATCAGGGCCTTCTGAACTGATATGAACGTGAATATGTAATACCTGTCTCTATCCCTGTCCCCTTTTGCCCCCCTTTTGTGAAGTCGTGTCAAAATGCTGCCTACGATTGATGACCCCCCTTTCTCGGACTGATAATTAGCACAATGAATGGGATTAAGAATTGGCAGACGCTCATCGCTCACTTCATTCGTCATCACAGCACTGCCTGTGGGCTTAAGCATTATCATTTCCGCGTGGAGAATGGTGTTGGTCTCCGAAGGAGTAAGTGGACTCGCAGCCAAAACTGTTGACGGAGTTGAAGGAGAAAGAAACATGGAAGTTCGACGCGGAGGTTCTGTACAATTGGCGGATATTGGGAGTGAATGGCGATAGTGGCGAAAACGCCGCTTCGTCCGACTGTGATACTGGTGTGACACTTCAAAACTTGGTCTCCTATGTTTAGTTTTACTTCTAGATGATGAAAACTCCTCCTCCTCGTCATCTTCTTTGATCCATAATGTAGGAATATCTAGCTGGGAGGAGCACCTCCGCCCAACAAACATGGCTGCAGAATTGAACATTTTCCTAGCTTTACTTTATGTCGCAAGCAACGAGAACATCAATTAAAAGCTTCTTTTAATTTAGCTAGTTTCAAAGCTGTTTCTTCTTCGTCGATATGTCGAATCTAATGTGTAGTCAACCAAACCGAAAGTTTGTTTCAACAATGACATTTTCCATTCCTACGCAATTAATCCTGTTTCCTGGTGGCATAAAGTCCTTAATTCATCAGAGTGGAAAACTTGATACTGCCGTCAACGAGGATGTTGTGGTTAGCCAATACTGCTAACAAAGCGTGTTTGAAGGATATCTCACACGTCGAAATTCGTCGTCGAAATTCGCGAGCAAGGTTCTGCTATCCGCCACTAATGCGAAAGAGAAAGCGATGAAGAAAGGCACAAACAGATAAAGCACTGAGCTTAATTTTGAATCCTCAACTGCTCTGCTGTTTCTGCTACTACTCGTACAACTAACTAGTTATGCCTGCTAGATGCTAATATCGGTAATATGACATTCAATTCTGAAGGGAAATCACGATTCAGCACTGTTGGAGAAAATCGTGAGAAATTCAAGAGAACTGGCATTTGTATGTTGTTCAAATTGCTTTCAGGTGAGAAAACTTTTCCACTTTCCAGTGTGTAGAGAATTTACAATTTGCTGCCACAACCACCATCAAGCAAACAAGGAAACAATCTCTCTCTTTTCCAAATCACATCGCACGGTGAACTGGTATTCATCAAAAATTCAGGCACTGTATTTTCTTATCCCGTATTATATTGGTTAGGAGGAAGCACATGCACGCCACCGCAGGATTCCTTCCATTGCTAACACGTCTCATCTCATGTCTCATTTGTCTTGCAAAGCTCTGAACTTTCGGGAAGTTGAGATTCTGATATGCGATGATCCATAGGAAGTCCATTAATCAGAGAAAATTTGAAATAGGTTAGCAGTGCTAACCATCAACTCTCTTAGTACTTTTATGTACCGAAGTATGCATGTAAGGTCATAGTTTTGCGTTGTATTACATATTGTGCATAATTATACATGCGCATTTATGCTTAAACACGCCAAGTACTTATTCCATTGATTGGACATGTAGAATTTGAATTTTTTATGCATAAACATGTAACTTTCACGGTGTGTCTGCCTAGACCACGCAACTAGCTATACAACTTCCCTAAACATCTGCATGCAAAGTCTGGAATAAGTGGAAACGGCGGAAAGTGTGTTGATGGCATTAAGCAGGATTAGTTTAGCTGCTGTGCTGCGGCATTTTTCCATTTTCCATGCCGTCGTCGTATCAAATAACGATCCGTGTTTTCTCTCGCATCCATGTCCGTTTTCTAATATTCGTGATCAAAGTCATTAACTTGTGAACAGAAAGCACTAATTTACTCCCGCAGATAAACGCTGTCACTGTACAGTTTTACTACTACCAGTTCACTCGTAATTGCATTTCGTCGTCAGAGGGTCGCCTTGGTTCGCGTCGAGGGAGGACGATAATTAGGACAACGCACGGATCCATTTGTAGGAAAATAAAATTCCCACTTGTGACACACCAAATATTGGCAAGTTTGTCCTCGTTTGTCGCAGTTTTGGCTCTTTATTGCTGGCTGATACGTTGGAAGGAGGAGGTGCTTTGTTTCCCCTTGATCGTACCCACTACGAGAGCAGTGGTCACCCTCACTCCATGTGATGCACAAAAACTTTGCATACTTTCACCAAAGACCAATTAACTATGAACACCTCGGTTACTATTTACTTATAAGGCTTTCTTCAAGTGTTGTTATTTCTATAAAGTTACACCAGCCTATGTGAAACTATACTTTTCTTCTAATGTCACTACTACAATAAACTATGAACCAATGAAAACCAGTGAGACTCGCAGTTTGCACTGCGAGTAGATTTTTTTAACAGCCGAATATGTATGTATTTCTTGTAGTAGGATCATTCGACGCGAACAATAGTGAATTGATGCCCCCAAGACACAAGGAACGAGCAACGTGCACACGACTATATGAAGTCAACCACTCTGACAATTTGTCGGGAGGAACGGGTGGTCGGCTCCCTGGGACGAGGGAGAAAATGATGTGGGAGAAAGCACTGCGCGATATTTCGCGTCATAATTGGCTATGCCTGACTTTGCACAAGACTTATTAATAACGTCCCAGAAGAGGGTTAAGTAAAGAAAGTAAGTCCAAAATAAATAACCGGTCGTTGTTGAATTGGACGCACACGGCTCAACAAGCCATGATTCCGCAAACACAATTTAGTACAGAAGCTCTTTCTCTGCGTATCTGTCCATTGTATTGGAGCAGTCGTTTTGTCGTAGGCCAATTGTGTCATTCCGCATGCTCAACCCCACTCTTTCTCTATTCGATTATAATGCACATCAACAACGGCAGCATGCACAATAATACCACGAGAACAACCCCTAATCGAATTATTTCTCATCCATGGAAGAGGATGATGACGATGTTGATGACTATTAACTGAATGGATATGCACACACACACACACATTCACCACTTGTCCACTAGTAGCAGTATGTCCGTAACAGCAGCAAGGGGGCTGGTTGGACGAAAAACATGCTAATGTCGTGTAGACGACGTGTTTCGCAATTTTTGACCATTAGTAAAATTGAACCGAGGACTAAATGCAAGGAGCGAGGTGGGAGAGAGAGAGGAAACGTATAAGCAAGGTTGGTGCACGACTGACTAACCCCTCAGAGAAAGTGACAGAGGTGGGAGAGGCAGACGAGAAAGAAGCAGAAAGATGTTTTCCATCATTCCGTTGTAACATGTGGATAATGATAAACAAGGAGGTTGTTTGTTGGATGGAAAACCAGCCACACCTGAATCAGGCTCCAACAGGGCAGCGGCATGCATTAACGCTATTCTGCTTTCTCCGTATTATTGCCTGCCTGGATCAGAGATCCATTTCCATCGTCTATTCCATTTTTCCCCGTGAGTCTGACTGCAATTGCTCCGCAGATCATACTCTCTCTCTTTCTCTGTAATGTAATTTACCTCATTTTTTCCTTTGACTTTGTTAGTGAGCAGCAATGACTCCACCCAGTACACACGTATAGCAGCAGAGTACATATGTACATATCACTGACTGAGTATGAGGGGTTATCTCGGTATTAAATTTCACTCTTTCTCTCCTACATGAAAATAACAGAGGATGGCATATAGTGAGCAAGGTAAGTACTTGTGTAAGTAAGCATGTGAGAGGGCGAAACCATTTTTAGATCGTTTACTTAGATTGAAATGACCTTTTCTTCCACATTACTTTTCCTATCAATCTCGTTCATGCTACGCACCACGAGCCCACACCACACCGCATGTAATACCAACTTCACGCCCCTTGGAATCCTTCATTAAATCATTAAAGAGCAAAAGTGGAATCTACGAAGGAAGTATAATAAATGCAGATAAATATGTAGGCACTTGCGAAATGGAAACAAATTGCAGATTCTCAAGACCATCACGAATGGTGTCTAACACAATGCCGCATACAAAAGCCTTGCTTACTCTTGAATTTTTTGCTGCTGTGTAACTTTGCAGCAAAATGGAAATTGCAGTGATTACGGTCATAGGCTTTTAAATACCAAACAATAAGCTACGTCAGCTTTAGTACATACATTATATATTCGCATTCTAAAAAATAATTTCCCAAGTCATCACTAACTGTAATAAAGTCGAAACTTTCTTTGTAACAGGTCTGTATCATGCATGGCCCC